GCTGTCTTGGAGCGTCGGAAGCCCGAACAGGCGAGCACGCAAACATTTTTGGAAAATATAAGAGGATCAATGATTCGTACCTCTTGGGGCCTTTTTGGGGGGGAGTCCTCTTGGGGGGCCTCTTGGAGCCCTCTTGGCGTGTCTTGGAGAGCCCTTGGGCCGTCTTGGAGCCCGAAGTGGCTCCTTGGCCCGTCGCCGGTCCTCCCTGCCGCCCGCCCGCGAGGGTCGGGAAGACGACGACGACGAAGACGACGACGACCCCGACGACGTCGACGACGACGACGACGTCGACGACGATCGACAAACGCCGACGACGACGACGACGACGATGACGGCGACAGTGATGACCACGACCGCGACGCCGACGCCGACGGGGGCGACATTTTCGACGACGAGGAAGATGGAGTCGGTGGCGACGACGACGACGACGACGACGACGGCGACAGTGATGATCACCACCGCGACGCCGACACCGACGGGGGCGACATTTTCGACGACGAGGAAGATGGAGTCGTTGGCGGCGAGCATGACGACCACCGCGAGTCAAGCAGCCCGCCGCAGCCTCCAGAGCACCTGTGAGGGCCCCAGGGGCAGCGAAGAACTGGGGGCACCTTGGACAAGGGCTGGACCTAAACGATGTTTCGCTGGACTTCGGCTGTGTTTTGTTTTTCGTTTTGGGAGCGAGGTGCAGGAAAGCAGGTATAGGAAAACGAAAGTCGACACGACCAACAAAAAACGAACACCAACGTTTAGGTCCAGCCCTGCCTTGGACAAGGGACACCGTCCCGACATCCGACGATCAGATTTTTTGGGGTAGGTTTCGGCTGGAGCCGATGGCTTATCTTGGCGATAGGCCTAACCATGTGAAGCTGCGAGTACCGCGAGGCAGGCGAGAAGGAGGGGGCAAGCAAAATGACGGATTGGCGCGCGGGGCGGCGCCTTGTGAACACCGCCGTTTGGAACTTCGGTTGGCTCTCTTTTGGGCAACGAAACGCGCGAAGGGTCTGCCCCATTGGGAGCGGGCATGCCATGCAGACCCTGGCACGAGGGGCCTCGGTGGAGGCCCCTGTGGGGCCACGAAACGTGGGAGGGGCGTGCCGAACTTGGAGAGATAGCGGCATGCGGCATGAGAGATGGCGTTCGGTGGCGTTCCCTTCGGCATCGAAACGTGTGAGGTGTGAGCCCAAATGAGTCGGCACCGCCATGCGGCCTTTGACATGTGAGCCGTAGTGTGAGCTCCCTATGTGTGCACGACGCGTGTGAGGGGTGTGCTGACATGTGCATGCGGAGGGCCGAGGCAGGGATTGGAAGAGGGAGTCACGGGAGGAAGAAAGAGGACTGACGCTGGGCGCTGTCTCTTCAAAACGACGACCCAACACCGCAGGATTGTCAGGAAAAACAGTCCGGAGAGCTGCATCGTCGGAGACCTGGGCTTAGCAGCCCCCGCACGAGGACGACGCTCACCACGACGACGACGACGACGACGACGACGACGACGACGACGACGACGACGACGACGACGACGACGACGACGACGACGACGACAACGACGACGACGACGACGACGACGACGACGACGACGACGACCACACTGGCAGCGCCAGCGGCAACGACGACAGCGACGTGCGCCGGCGGCAACGACGGCGGCCACGCGCGGCAGCGGCAACGGCGACGCCGACGCGCGGCGGCGGCGGCAACGACGACGCCAACCGTGCGGCGGCGGCTTGCGGCCCTCCCGCGCCCTGGCCGAGGACCACTACGGCGGGCAGTGGCGGGAGCAGCCCTCCACCGAGCGGCCTCAGGTGGTGCGCCTCGCGGCCGCGGCGGGCGCCAAGGGGGAATTTCGCCCTCGTCGTCGTCGTCGTTGTCGTCCTAGTCGTCCTAGTCGTCGTCGTCGTCGCCGCCCGTTGTCATCCTTGCCGTCCTCCCCCGTGTTGTCGTCGTCGCTGTCGTCATCGCTGTCATCGCCGTCGTCGTCCGTGTCGTCGTGGTCGTCCTCGTCGTCGTCGACACGACCGTCGTCGTCATGACCGTCGCCGTCATGACCGTCGTCGTCGTCGTCGCCCGTTGTCCGGGCAGCCTCCGAGCAGAGCAGCCCTCCGCCGAGCCGTTCGAGCGAGGGCCACCCCGGCAGGCCTCCAGCGCTGCCGGCCCTGCGCCGCCCGGCCCCCGCGGTCGGGCGAGGGAGGGGCGCGGCCGGGCGAAGCGCGGCCAGGCTGACCTCGGCCTGGGCCGACTGCAGCCTGTCGGGAGGGGAGCAAACACACACAGACACACAGACACAACGAACCGTCGATCCCGAGGAAGATATGGGAAGATATGGGTCGTAGAGGGGGGAAGACAGAAGCCCAGAAAAGATTTGAGAAGATCGGGGATCCTGGGCTTTGGGTGTATCTATTTGTGTGTGTTTGTGGGCCCCTTCAGCTTGGGCGAGTTCAGCCTGGACGAGATCAGTCGCTGTCGGCCTCCCAGAGCCCTCGCCAGGCCCCAGGGCCGCAACAACATCGACCCTGTACGGAGAGCAGGCCGGCCATGGCGAAAGGGTCGGGACTTCTGGGGAGCCGTTCCGCACTGAAAGACAAGACATCGGATGTCCGGGCTCCTGTTCCCTCGCAGGCAAAACTTAGGGCGCCTGTTCTCGTTCGGCGGCGCTCAGAGGAGGAGGACGAGGTGTCAATGCCGCTACCCAGTCCTCGTCGCCACGGTTGTACGCGCCTCGAAATTCGAGTCGGAACGCACCCCAGAAGAAGTCCAGGGCTAGTGGCACAGTATCTTTGTGCTTCCCCAGGCGCGCCCCCAGGGGCGAAGGCGAAGGGGGCGGGAATCCTCAGAAGGCTTAGTAGGCCGCGGGCCTTCGAGAAGCTCTCTGAGCCTTCTCCGAAGCCACCAGAGGGCTCCTCAGAAGGCCGGAGGGCTTCTGAGAAGCCCCACCACCTTTCGGGAAGGCCTGCCCCATCTCATCGGCGCGCCGCCAGCTTGTTGCCCTGTCTTCGTTCCATGGCCCGTGCAGCTTGTTTCATTCTGCTGTGCTTAGCTGCCGCGCCGATCGCCCAGTCCACCCGTATCCGAGCATGGCACAAGCGCTGGGGTGGAGGGGGCGAGGGCGGGAACGGGTGATAGCATCGTCTAACCCATCCCCCTCAGTGGGCCATGGCATCACAGCCCCGCAAGCCCGCCTTCCCCGGTGGGGATAGGGCCCGCGAGTTCCCGAAGAACTGGGATGAATCCCCACCTTGAAAAGTCAGCCGTCCAGTGGGGCCAAGGCCACGCCATGGCGGATAGGGAGCGGCGAAACGATGCTCAGGGCGGGCGGGGAGGCCTTAACATGCCAGCCGCCGCTCTGGCGGCTTGCACGCCTGGCGATGCAACTCCTGGGAGGTCAAATTCGGTTTTCGCCCTGGTCCGAAACCCGGCTTAATCCAGCTTGATCCCGCTTGTTCTGGCGTAGTCCAGCTTAATCACGCTTAATCCGGCTTAATCCTGCTTAGTCCGAGGCCCTTTCCGGCGTAACAGCTCCCAAATGGGGTTTAATCCTCCTCAATCTCTCCGACGAAAACCTCCTAGTAGTTGCCTCCTAACACGCCTCGAGGGGGGAGGAGCGCGTTCCGCGGCCGTCTTGCCCCGAGCCGTTGCAGGGACGCGGCCGTGCCACGAGAGGGCGCGCCCCAGGGACCAGCCGACGCCCGTCGCCCGCCCGCAGTCGGCGGAGCCCGCGGCGCGAGGGATGTTCGGCAAGCTCTCGTCGGCTCGCTTCCAGAAGGACCTGGAGGAGACCTCGGAGGCAGGATGACCTCTGCGAAAGGAGGAGGAGGAGGAGGAGGAGGAGGAGGAGGAGGGGGATGAGAGGGAGGCGGTCAAGGGATCTAGGGGTCAAGTCAGCACCCGCCTTGCCCGCCGCGGCAATGGCCGAGGCTGCGGCTGTGGAGATGGTGGCTGCTTCGCCCTCTGAGGCCGTGATGCGAAGACGGCGACGACGGCGCTTCCGGCCAGCCCTGGGCTTACGACACGAATGGCGAGGCGCTTAAGAAGCCCCGGTCGGTGACCAAGGAGGGTCGCGATCCATGGCATCACAGACATGACTCCCAGAGGAGCAATGCTGTCCAGAAGGACGGGATCTTCGGCATGGCGGTCGAGAGGGACGAGAACGGAACGAACGCGGGGCCGATGTCGAGGTGAGACCGACCCATGGCACAACGGAAGCGACTCTTGGAGTACTGCCTGGGCATGACGGGGACGAGTGCGAGACCAGAGCCCGAATGGCAGCAAACACGCCACGGGCAGCGGCGTCAAGGTTTGCCCTGTCAAGGGCCTCGCCAAGGGAAATATGGAGAGGACGAGCGAGGAATCCTGGAACTCCATCTGCAACAGAGCTGTCAGGAGTTCCATATTTGACCAGTTCCAGCATGTCACAGACAAGCTGTTTCAGATCGAACACAAGGCGGCTTCGTGCGAGCCTGAAAACTTGAGTCATTCAAGAAATTGCCCCACCTTCGAGGATCGAAGGAGTTGATGCTTTTTTCCTCGTCGGAAGGCCAGTGGAAGGCAGCGAACTCAAAACGAGGCCGCCTGAGAGAGAGAGAGAGAGAGAGAGGGAGAGAGAGAGAGAGAAAGAAAGGGGAAATTAACAGAGAGAGAGAGAGAGAGAAAAAAGAGAGAGAGAGAGAGAAAGAGAGAGAGAGAGAGGGACGAGTACCACTTCGGACGAGGTTCGTCAGGCCCCGCGGCTACACTTGCTCCGCAGACCTGCCGCAAAAGGCGGGAGGTGCCGCTTACGAAGCAAGGGAGGTGGAATGAGCACCCCCCCTGACACGGCCTACAGGGCCCCCCGGCTGGAAAGCAGTGCGGGCATGCGGTGACCAGGCCACTCGCAGGCCCGTCTGCGCACCCGCGGCAGTAGCGCCGCCTTTGCACGCGCGCTGGCATGCGCGGTGCGGGGCATGTGGGAGATGACCAGCACCGCCCGGGGGCAGCCCCCGCGGCGGCCCAGAGAGAGCAGGGGCCGGAGCAGGTGCCGAGTGTTCGCGCGGCCTTCTGATGAGGAGGGGTGCTGGCATGCGTGTGCGTGCGTGTGCGTGTGCGTGTGCGTGTGTGTGTGTGTGTGTGTGTGTGTGTGTGTGAAAGGGAGCTCTCAACGGTGAATCGACACTGCGCTGTTGACACTGCGTTAACTGAGTGAATTGACACTGCGCTGTTGACACTGCGCTGTTGACACTGCGCTGTTGACACTACGCTGCGCTGTTGATGGTGCGTTGTTGACACTGCGTTGTTGACACAACGTTGTTGACACTGCGCTGTTGACACTACGCTGCGCTGTTGATGGTGCGTTGTTGACACTGCGTTGTTGACACTGCGTTGTTGACACTGCGCTGTTGACACTACGCTGCGCTGTTGATGGTGCGTTGTTGACACTGCGCGGTTGACACTACGCTGCGCTGTTGACACTGCGTTGTTGACACTGCGTTGTTGACACTGCGTTGTTGACACTGCGTTGTTGACACTGCGTTGTTGTCACTGCGTTGTTGACACTGCGCTGTTGACACTACGCTGCGCTGTTGATGGTGCGTTGTTGACGCTGCGCTGTTGACACTGCGCTGTTCGCACTGCGCTGTTGACAATGCACTGCGCTGTTGCCGCTGCGTTGTTGACGCTGCGCTGCGCTGCCGGCACTGCGCTGTTGACACTGCGCTGTTGACAATGCACTGCGCTGTTGCCGCTGCGTTGTTGACGCTGCGCTGCGCTGCCGACACCGCGCTGTTGACACTGCGCTGTTGACACTGCGTTGTTGACACTGCGCTGTTGACACTGCGCTGTCCCACACCCCGCCTCATCCACTCTCCTCATCCACTCTCCTCCTCCACCCTCCTCATCCACTTTCCTCCTCCATCCTTCTCATCCACTCTCCTCCTCCACCCTCCTCATCCACTCTCCTCCTCCACCCTCCTCCTCCACCCTCCTCCTCCACCCTCCTCCTCCACCCTCCTCCTCCACTCTCCTCCTCTACCCTCCTCATCCACTCTCCTCATCCACCCTCCTCCTCCGCCCTCCTCCTCCACCCTCCTCCTCCACCACCCTCCTCCTCCACCCTCCTCCTCCACCCTCCTCCTCCACTCTCCTCCTCCACCCTCCTCCCCCGCCCTCCTCCTCCACCCTTCTCCTCCACCCTCTCCCCACCCTCCTCCGCCACCCTCCTCCTCCACTCTCCTCCTCCACCCTCCTCCTCCACCCTCCTCCTCCACCCTCCTCCTCCCTCTCCTCCACCCTCCTCCTCACCCTCCTCCGCCTCCCCTCCACCCTCCTCCTCCACTCTCCTCCTCCACCCTCCTCCTCCACCTCCTCCTCCACCCTCCTCCTCCACTCTCCTCCTCCACTCTCCTCCTCCACCCTCCTCCTTCACCCTCCTCCTCCACTCTCCTCCTCCACTCTCCTCCTCCACTCTCCTCCTCCACTGTCCTCCTCCACCCTCCTCCTCCACCCTCCTCCTCCACCCTCCTCCTCCGCTCTCCTTCTCCACCCTCCTCCTCCACTCTCCTCCTGTATTCTCTTCCTCCACTCTCCTCCTGTATTCTCTTCCTCCACTCTCCTCCTCCAGTCTCCTCCTAGGTGGAGGAGGAGGAGGATTAGGAGGGAGGAGGAGGAGGAGGAGGAGGAGGAGGAGGAGGACACTGCGCTGTCGACACTACGCTGTTGACACTGCGCTGTCGACACTACGCTGTTGACCATGCGCTGTTGACACTTCGCTGTTGACACTGCGCTGTTGACACTGCGCTGTTGACTTTGCGCTGTTGACACTGCGCTGTTAACACTGCGCTGCCGACACTGCGCTGTTGACACTGCGCTGTTGACACTGCGCTGTCGACACTGCGCTGTTGACGCTGCGCTGTTGACACTGCGCTGTCTGACACCCCGCCTCATCCTCTCTCCTCCTCCACCCTCCTCCTCCACTCTCCTCCTCCACACTTCCCCTCCACTCTCCTCCTGTATTCTCTTCCTCCACTCTCCTCCTCCACTCTCCTCCTCCACTCTCCTCCTCCACTTTCCTCTCCCACTCTCCTCCTCCTTCTCCATTCTCCTCCTCCACTCTCCTCCCCCACTCTCCTTGTCCACACTTCTCCTCCACTTTCCTCCTCCGGACGAAGAGGTGGAGGAGGTGGAGGAGGAGGAGGAGGAGGACGACGACGACGACGACGACGACGACGACCAGCACCTGGTTCCTACTGCCATTTCGGCTCGCGCCAGGCGCCCGCGTCAGCGGCGGGTGCCCCGGCGCGGCGCAATGTCCTCCTCCTCCTCCTCCTCCTCCTCCTCCTCCTCCTCCATCCTCCTCCTCCTCCTCCTCCTCCTCCTCCTCTCCTCCTCCTCCTCCTCCTCCTCCTCCTCCTCCTCCTCCTCCTCCTCCTCCTCCTCCTCCTCCTCCTCCTCCTCCTCTCCTCCAAGAAGAGGAAGAGGAGGAGGAGAGCAGGAGAAGGAGGGGGAAGGAGAGGAGGGGAGGAGAGGAGGAGAGGAAGAAAAGGACGAGAGAAAAGGAGGAGAAGGAGGAGGACGAGAGGAAGAAGGAGGAGGAGAGGAAGGAGGAGGAGGAGGGGAGAGAAAAAGGAAAAGGTGAGTGGGGGGGAGGGGGGGAGAGGGAGGAGGGAGGAGGGGGGGAGGGGGGGGAGGAGGAGGAAAAGGAGAGGAGAGGAGGAGGAGGAGGAGGAGGAGGGAGGAGGAGGAGGAGGAGAGGAGGAGGAGAGGAGGAGGAGGAGAGGAGGAGGAGGAGGAGGAGGAGGAAGAGGAGGAGGAGGAGGAGGAGGAGGAGGAGGAGGAGGAGAGGAGAAGGAGAAGGATGAGTAGCAGCAGCAGCAGGGGGAGGGAGGAGGGGGAGGAACGATGGAGGATGCAATGTCATCAGCGAAGAGAGGACGGACGAGCGAGACTTTGCTCCCAGGACCACGACCTCGGAGGAGGCCGGGAGGATGGAGGAGGCGGGAGGAAAGGGGAGGTCCCCCAGGAGGCTTCAGAGCTGCTTCCGGAAAGCCCCCCAGAAGGCTTCCAAAGGCACCAGCAAGCATCCGAGAGGCCTCTGACCAGCAACCTGGGCACGGTGGCGGCATGGGCTGCTGAAGGGTGTCCACAACGGCTGGGGGGACGCAAGGACCAAATAACTTGGCCAAACTTTGCCGAAACTTGTGGCCACATAGGCGTATCCTGAAAGGCAGCGGCGGCGGCGATTCGCCGCAGGAGTCTTCGATTCGTCGCCACCTGTGCTCTTGCCACAGGGGTGCTTGAAGGATGGAGCACGAGGATGCAGCTCCTCCTCCTCCTCCTCCTCCTCCTCCTCCTCCTCCTCCTCCCTCCTCCCTCCTCCCTCCTCCCTCCTCCCTCCTCCAAGGTCCCTCTCCACAGATCCCTGCAAACAAATTGCTGTCACTGCTGGAAAATGCTGAACTGGAAGACAAGAATCCCATAATCTTCAATCCTGCCAAGACAGCCTTCCGAGGAATTCAGCGCCGCGAGTGCACTTGATGATTGCGTCCTGGCAAACCCAAGTCCCATATCGCGCCAGAACACTGTTTCTGGGACAACACAGGGAATCTACGTGACCGCTGCGTCCCGACAATCCCGAATCGCGCCAGAACGCCGTTCCTTGGACTTCAAGCAAACGAATCCCTGAAACTGTTGAAAAATGATGAGGCGAATGGGCGTGGCGCTAGGGCGAGTGCCACATTTTGAAAAAGAACCACATTACACCCAGGAAATGTGTTCCCTACTCGCACTATTGCGTACAAATGCGTGTGTACGTGATACTATTACTCGGCCACTCACGGCCGATCGTCTGCGTACAGCACCTCCGGTATCCAAACATGACTTCGTAAGTACGTCCCCTAGTACATTGAAGCATGTTTAACTGGCCGATCGGGCGACGATGGACACCCTTGCTTTGTTAATGCTGGCCGTGGGCTTTGGCGCACGTGTCGTCGAATTTCCACGCGTTGTCCACAGGCTTGCACCATACATATATATATATATAGACATATACATATATGTATACATCTGTATATACAGATACAATTATGCATGATTGTATGCATACAGTTGTACATATATATATGCATTTAAATATACATGTACAAATACATAGTGTGCATCGAGCCCCCAAGCAGTGAACATATACCTTAATGTTTATTATAGTTCCATACGTATGTGTAAAGGGTATGTGTATATGCTTTTTATCTCTCTCTCTCTCTCTCGCTCTCTCGCTCTCTCTCTCTCTCTCTATCTCTCTCTCTCTCTCTCTCTCTCTCTCTCTGTCCTCTCAATATCCTCCCCCTCTTCTTCCTCCTCTCCTCTTTTGGTGGGTTGCAGGTTTTTGTTTTCCTCAGGTTACCCTCTAGTTCTCCCCCTGCTCCTCCTCGTCCTCCTCCATCTCCTCCTCCTCCTCTTCCTGGTCCTCCCTCTCCTCTTTCTTTTTGGAATTGGGCAAAAGGTTTGCTTGCTTGAGCCGTCGCGTCGTTCCTTTTCCTCCTCCTCCTCCTTCTCCTCCTCCTCCTCTCTCCTCTCTCTTCACTCGCCTCTCCTCCTCTTCATCCTTCTCCTCTCGCCTCCTTTGGAGTTTTTTTTCCTGTCGTTCCCTTCTCCCTGAGAGGATGACGTCGTTTTCCTTGTCCTCTTTGTGCAGGGCAGCATTCTTGCACAACGCAAACTATGCAGTTGGGGGATGTTCCATGTGTGTCCATCGTTTGTTCCTGCCTGTGTGCCCTGTCGTTCCCGCGGGGGCCGCCCCCCGCCCCAGGACGAGACCACGGAAAACCGCGCGGAAACCATGAGAAGTAAGACAGCCCGATTGCTTTGCACAGGAAGCGGTATGACACATCCGTCTCCGAGTGGTGGGGGAGGAAGAAAGGACCAACAGTCGTCGTTGTATTATTCATTGTTTTGCAGATCGGTGTGGGCCTCCTTCCGCCCAACGTCGAAACGCCGAGTAAGAACACGTGTGCAGTCCGTCTCCGAGGGCGGGGGGAGGAACAATGGGTAACTTGATGTCCCCCCCCTGATTGCAAGGATCTCCTTGTCGTGGCGTCTCCCCGATGGAATTTCTCTACTGTGGCGGGGTACAAACGAATTCCTTTCGACACGAATTTCATACGGATTCTTTGTGTGGAGGTTTACACAAGATAGGTTGCTCCTGGCGGTTTCAAAAAAAAAAAAAAACGGAATCCTCCTGTGGCGAGTTGCATGGGGATTCTTGCTGTGGCGGCTTACAAAAAGGGTTGCCCTCCTCTTCATCCTGCTCCTCCTCCTCCTCCTCCTCCTCCTCCTCCTCCTCCTCCTCCTCCTCCTCCATTCCTCCTCTTCGTGAATACCTCCTCCCCGTTGCGCCCCAGAGTGTTTGTAGGGTGGGCAGGGCGTTCCGCCTGAGACCTCCCCACTTGTGGTCCTCGGGGTGGAAACCTGCAGCAGTCCCACGGACGAAGCTCGGGCCGCCCTCCAATTGAGGTTCTCGCCTACCTTGGTATCGCTCGGACGTGTGATTTTTGTTCCTTCGGCGGGGGCCTTCGAGAAGCATCCTTGATCATTTGGCGAAAAAATTAGCCTGACGAAAGACCCAACCATACGTAGTTGTGAATACCGCAATTGTGGATATATTCTTCGGTGGCGCCCCCGGGCCACGAAACGAGTGAGGGGTGCGCCGAAATGGGGGGGGTGGAACCGCATGCGAGCGCAGCCACTGGGGCGCCCGGTGGAGCTCCCTATGGAGTCACGAAGCGTGTGAGGGGGGTGCTAAAATGGGGGGTGGAACCGCATGCGAGCGCAGCCACTGGGGCGCCCGGTGGAGCTCCCTATGGGGCCACGAAACGTGTGAGGGGTATGCCAAAATGGGGGGTGGAACCGCATGCGGGCGCAGCCACTGGGGCCTTCGGTGGAGCTCCCTATGGGGTTACGAAACGTGTAAGTGGTGTGCCAGAATGGGGGGTGGAACGCAGCCATGCGGGCGCAGCCACTGGGGCCTTCGGTGGAGCTCCCTATGGGGCCACGAAAACGGGTGTGGATGCCAGAATGGGGGGTGGAACCGCATGCGGGCGCAGCCACTGGGGCCTTCGGTGGTATGGGGCCACGAAACGTGTGAGGGGTGTGCCAGAATGGGGGTGGACAGCCAACGGGGCACGAAACGGTGAGGGGTGTGCCAGAATGGGGGGTGGAACCGCATGCGGGCGCAGCCACTGGGGCCTTCGGTGGAGCTCCCTATGGGGCCACGAAGCGTGTGAGGGGTGTGCCAGAATGGGGGGTGGAACCGCATGCGGGCGCAGCCACTGGGGCCTTCGGTGGAGCTCCCTATGGGGCCACGAAACGTGTGAGGGGTGTGCCAGAATGGGGGGTGGAACCGCATGCGGGCGCAGCCACTGGGGCCTTCGGTGGAGCTCCCTATGGGGCCACGAAACGTGTGAGGGGTGTGCCAGAATGGGGGGTGGAACCGCATGCGGGCGCAGCCACTGGGGCCTTCGGTGGAGCTCCCTATGGGGCCACGAAACGTGTGAGGGGTGTGCCAGAATGGGGGGTGGAACCGCATGCGGGCGCAGCCACTGGGGCCTTCGGTGGAGCTCCCTATGGGGCCACGAAACGTGTGAGGGGTGTGCCAGAATGGGGGGTGGAACCGCATGCGGGCGCAGCCACTGGGGCCTTCGGTGGAGCTCCCTATGGGGCCACGAAACGTGTGAGGGGTGTGCCAGAATGGGGGGTGGAACCGCATGCGGGCGCAGCCACTGGGGCCTTCGGTGGAGCTCCCTATGGGGCCACGAAACGTGTGAGTGGCGCGGCGCTGACGATGGCGATGGTGATGATCATGATGATGCTGATGATGATGGTGATGGTGATGGTCATGGTGATGGTGATGATGATGATGATGATGATGAGAATGATGATGATGATGTTGATGATGATGATGATGATGATGATGATGATGATGATGATGGCGATGATGACGATGACGATGACGATGACGAGGAGGAGGAGGAGGAGGGAGGGGGCAGCGGGAGGAAGGAAGGAGACGCGGGGCACCGTCTCTTCAAAACGAGGACCCAACACCACAGGATGGTTGGGAAAAACACGCACGAAACCGAAACAAACAGTGGGAATGGACGTCCGAGCGATGGCCAGCTACGGGCCGTGCACATTCGTCCTAAGACCTGCAAGCGAATCACGGACCCAGGGTGGGTTGTTTTCAGAGTGTGGTTCCCGCCTGAGCGCCAGGAATATTCGTTCGAACGCACCATACAAGGGGAGGGCCCCGAAGGCCACCACGGCGACGACGACGACGAGGACGGGGACGGCGGCGGCGGCAAGGCCTGAGAGCCTCGAACATCGATCCTCTCCTGCTCCTGCTCGACCAAGCACTGAAGATGGCAACCGCTTGTCGGGCTCGCTTCCACTATTCGCAGAGAGTGCGCTCACGCAGTTTCGCCGCAGGCGGGGGAGCCGCTTGACCGCTCGGGACTCTGAAAGACAGCATGCCGATCCTTGAATTCAGGAGGGGCCACGATGGGCCACTCGGAAGGACTCCACGGGCCCAGCCAACTCGACAAGCTCACCGAGGGCCACGAGGGGCCAAGAAGGGCCACGAGGGGCCGGAAGAGGGCAATCAGGAGCCACTGGAGGCCGCGAGGCCACAGGGTATCCAGAGACCGAAAACAATCTGAAGCTCCAGACGACGACGACGACGTCGACGACGGGGCAACGAAGGGCCACCAGAGGCCGCGAGGCCAGGTATTCTCCACGAGTCTTGGGTCGTCACAAACCAACAAAAGGCGGGAACCACGGAGTTCCCAAGTTTTTGCCTTGGCCATGTCAGGGAGGCGTCATGGGGGAAACTTGGGAACTCTGTGGTTCCTCTTGGGGATCTTGGGGGTCGTGGGTCTTCTCCACGAGTCTTGGGCCGGCACAAACCAACAAAAGGCGGGAACCACGGAGTTCCCGAGTTTCTGCCTTGGCTATTTCTGTGAGGCGTCACCGCGAAAACTTGGGAACTCCGTGGTTCCCGCCTTTTTGTTGGTTTGGGCAAAAACAAACGCCAGGGAATGTTGACGGTGTGTGTTTGTGCTATGTGTTGTGGGATCTCTTCGGGTTAGTGGGGGTCTGGGATCTGCTCCACGAGTCTTGGGTCGTCACAAACCAGCAAAAGGCGGGAACCACGGAGTTCCCAAGTTTCTGCCTTGGCTATTTCTCGGAGGCGTCACGGCGAAAACATGGGAACTCCGTGGTTTCCGCCTTTTTCTTGGTTTGGGCAAAAACAAACGCCAGGGAATGTTGTCGGTGTTCGTTTGTGTTATTTGTTGTGGGATCTCTTGGGGGTCATTGGGGTCTGTGGTTCTTCTCCACGAGCCTGGGGTCGTCGCAAACCAACAACAGGCGGGAACCACGGAGTTCCCAAGTTTCTGCATTGGTTATTTCTGGGAGGCGTCACGGCGAAAACTTGGGAGCTCCGTGGTTCCCGCCTTTTTCTTGGATTGTGCAAAAACGAGCGCCAGGGGATGTTGGCGGTGCTTGTTTGTGTTATTTGTGGTGGGATCTCTTGGGGATCCTGGGGGTCTTGGGTCTTCTCCACGAGTCTTGGGTCGTCACAAGCCAACAGAAGGGGGGAACCACGGAGTTCCCAAGTTTCCGTCGCCATTTTTGGCTCGATGGTTTCGACCGCGCAGTTAATTGGCAAACGACGCTTGCATTGGTCCATTGGGAAGATTGCCCAGTTCTACAAGATCAGGAAATTCTCTGTGTCTGTTGCTCTTCGTTCCACTGAGCCTCCTGCCTCGCGGAGGGAGCAGCTTCCAGCCGCCCGCCTCCGCGAGTTCGGCAAGTTCGTGCAACTTCGCTTGCTCGTTGCAGTGTATCAGGCGGGGCTGGAGCGGCAGCAGGTTGAAAAGCGGTTGTGGGCGTCACGCGCTGACCCTTTCCTTGGCTTCATTTTGGCGCCTGGGCACCATTGCGAGCACGTCGTTCGGCATCTTGATGCTTGCAGTCGCGCCTTGCTGGTCGGCCTGGATCGCCTTCTTCGGCAGGGTTGGTGCGCCATGTTGTGTCTCATCATCTGCGCGCGGGTGCTCCTGATCTCCTCCGCCGCGGTGCCCGCGTTCATCGACGCGTACGTCGCCGACCCTGTGGGCTCTGTGACCCGTCGCGCGCGCTTCGTGCGCATGGCCCCGGGCGCTCCTTCCTACAAGCCCTACGGGAAACACGTCCTCAACGAAAAGCTCAAGAGGAAGCAAAGAGCAGGCTTTCGAGCGGTCGCAAAACTCCTCCGTGAACGCAGGGTGCTGCCCCCGTCTGTCCGGGAGATGAGGTCTACCCTCGGGCTTGCTGACGGGGACCGATGCTCTTTTGCGATTATGCAGGTCGCCATGGATGCCGCTATGCGCAACAAGTCGTGGCAGGCGAATTCTGCGCACTTTCAACGCGTTGGGGGCGGTTGCCAATGCGAAGAGTTCTGGGGGAGGAGTCTTGATCACAGGGATCTCTGCGACATAGCGGCCTGGATCCGGAACCAGACATGGCTCCACTACTGGTGCGATGTGCTCTCTTTCACACAGAGGGGCTGGTGGTTCCTCGTCGAACACTCCCTGTGCGCCTTCCGCAAGTACAAGCGGGCACGCGGGAGTCGCGCGCTTATCGCGTCCAGAACTGCCCTGAACACAGCCCTGCTGCATTACCATGACGCGACAAATGAGAAGCACTACCGCGATGCTGTAGCCGCACGCAGCAGACTTCTTGAGGCCAGGGGCGCGGGGCAGGGTTAGCCTATCACGTGGGCGATAGGCCTCCCTGGTTTGGCCAGGATACTCCAGTGCGGCGCGGGGCGCTGCAGCTCGGTCAGACGAAAAAACAGATTCCGAGCGGCGCAGCAGCGACGCAAGGGCGGGCGCGCAGCGGCGACGCAACCGCGGGCATTCAAGGTTGAACGCCGCCGGTGGCCCGGCATCGGCCGACATGGCAGTATCCGCACGATCGGAAGGTCGCGATCCTGCAAGGTTGATCGATCCACGCGACGTCAGAGACCGACGCCGGTGTCCTCTGGACACGAATCTGGGTTGAAATATGTTTTTTTTTTTTTTTTTTTGTTTTTTTCGCTCTTGGAGCCGTCTTGGGCCATCTTGGACGCTCCAACGCGTCGCGACCGGCCCCGTCCAGGTCAGTGGGGAGGGGTAAGGGGAGGGGCAAACCCCTCCCCGAAGGGGAAGAAGGAGGTTGGCAGAGGAAACGCTTCAGACCACCTACGCCCTAAAGGACTGGTGGGATTCCCCTCCGCCAGTCTCCTCCTCTTCTTCCCCCGAGGAGGAGGAGGGGGGGAGGAGGAGGTGGGGGAGGAAGAGGATTAGGAGGGAGGAGGAGGAGGAAGAGGAGGAGGAGGACACTGCGCTGTTGACACTACGCTGTTGACACTGCGCTGTTGACACTGCGCTGTTGACACTGCGCTGTCGACACTGCGCTATTGACACTGCGCTGCTGACACTGCGCTGTTGACATTGCGCTGTTGACTCTGCGCTGTTCACAGTGCGCTGTTGACACTGCGCTGTCGACACTGCGCTGTTGACACTGCGCTGTCCGACACCCCGCCTCATCCACTCTCCTCCTCCACCCTCCTCCTCCACTCTCCTCCTCCACACTTCTCCTCCACTCTCCTCCTGCATTCTCTTCCTGCATTCTCTTCCTCCACTCTCCTCCTCCACTCTCCTCCTCGACTCTCCACCTCCTCCTCTCCTCTCTCCCACTCTCCTCCACCGCTCTCCCCCTCCACTCTCCTCTGCCGCTCTCCTCCTCCACTCTCTTCCTCCAGTCTCATCTTCAATTTTCCTCCGCCAGTCTCCCCCTCCTCTTCCCCCGAGGAGGAGGAGGAGGGGAGGAGGAGGTGGAGAGGAAGAGGATTAGGAGGGAGGAGGAGGAGGAGGAGGAGGAAGAGGAGGAGGAGGACACTGCGCTGTCGACGCTACGCTGTTGGCACTGCGCTGTTGACACTACGCTGTTGACACTGCGCTGTTGACACTTCGCTGTTGGTGACACTGCGCTGTTGGAATTGCGCTTATCATTATGCTTTGTTGACAATAAAGTTGTTGACCAACACTGCGCTGTTGACACTGCGCTGTTGACATTGCGCTGTTGACACTGCGCTGTCGACACTGCGCTGTCGACACTACGCTGTTGACACTGCGCTGTCGACACTGCGCTGTTGACACTGCGCTGTCCGACACCCCGCCTCATCCACTCTCCTCCTCCACCCTCCTCCTCCACTCTCCTCCTCCACACTTCTCCCCCACTCTCCTCCTGCATTCTCTTCCTCCACTCTCCTCCTCCACTCTCCTCCTCGACTCTCCACCTCCTCCTCTCCTCTCTCCCACTCTCCTCCACCGCTCTCCCCCTCCACTCTCCTCTTCCGCTCTCCTCGTCCATTCTCTTCCTCCAGTCTCATCTTCAATTCTCCTCCGCCAGTCTCCTCCTCCTCTTCCCCCGAGGAGGAGGAGGGGAGGAGGAGGTGGAGAGGAGGAGGATTAGGAGGGAGGAGGAGGAGGAGGAAGAGGAGGAGGAGGACACTGCGCTGTCGACACTACGCTGTTGACATTGCGCTGTTGACACTGCGCTGTTGACACTGCGCTGTTGACACTGCGCTGTTGACACTGCGCTGTTGGTGACACGGCGCTGTTGGAATTGCGCTTATCATTATGCTTTGTTGACAATAGCGCTGTTGACCAACGCTGCGCTGTTGACACTGCGCTGTTGACACTGCGCTGTTGACACTGCGCTGTCGACATTGCGCTGTCGACGCTACGCTGTTGACACTGCGCTGTTGACACTGCGCTGTTGACACTGCGCTGTTGGAATTGCGCTTTTCATTATGCTTTGTTGACAATAGCGTTGTTGACCAACACTGCGCTGTTGACACTGCGCTGTTGACACTGCGCTGTTGACACTGCGATGTCGACACTATATACGCTGTTGACACTGCGCTCTCGACACTGCGCTGTTGACACTGCGCTGTTGACATTGCGCTGTTGACACTGCGCTGTCGACCCAATTCACCGTTAAGACGTGCTTTCGTGTGAAAGTGTGTGTGTGTGTGTGTGTCGCGCGTTGAGTGCCAGTACAGTCGGGGCCCTGAAGAAGACACCCTTTTCGTTGGGGAGGGGCTCCGCGTTCCTTACGTGTTTCGCAGCTTGCCTCAGGTTTTCCTTATGTTTTCGCTCGGAAATCGAAGTGTAACTTACGGAGCAAAAAGGGGCCTCGTTCCTGATTTTGGGTTCTTTAGGTCAAGGCCCCGACTGTAAAGGGCTTGGAGGTTGCCGGGAGGGGCGCCCCCGCAAGGCCACGGTGGGTCGGGAGGGCTGCTGCAGGCCGCGCTGGGTGTCTTGCGCTCGCTGGGAGCTGTCAAGCAGTGGGGCTGACTGTTCCCCAGTCCAGCGCAGTGACTTGGCATCGCTCGGACGTGTGCATTTTTCCTTCGGCGAGGACCACCGAGGAGCATCCTTGATCATTTCGCGAAAAAACCACGCACGAAACCGAAAAAAACACAGGAAATGGACGTCCGAGCGATGGCCAGGTGATGGGTCGCGTAAGTGCCGGCGATGAGGGTGGTCTCGCAGTCCCCCTGGTGCTGACTGTTCGCCGCAGTGAGGTGATGCGTGAGGGCTTGCCTGCGGTCCATGCGTTTGGCGGCGCCGCTGGCGAGGTGGCCGTCATCCCTGGCCCCAGGCCCACCCCCGCCTGAGCCCTGGTGGGACGTATGGGGAGGCGGGTTGAAAGATAGGGCTCGGGATGACCTCCGGGCGCTAACGCTCTTGGGCTGTCGTCGACTGACCGAGAAAGAGAAAAAAAGAGAGAGAGAGAGAGAGAACGGAAGAAATAAAGAAAGATGAATCGAGAGAGAGAGAGAGAAAGACATAAAGAAAGAGGAAGAAAGAGAGAACGAGACAAAAAAAGAGAGAGAGAGGGATAAAGAGGAAGAGAGAGAGAGAGAGAGAGGAAGAAATAAAGAAAGAAATAGAGACACATATACCGAGAAAACGATGTATAGAGAGAGAGAGAGAGAGAGAGAAAGAAAGAAAGAAAGAGAGAGAGAGAGAGAGAGAGAGACAGAGACGGATACAGTATGGCTGCGCACGTCGAGATGGTCCTCGACCGCGCTGTCCTTGCCTAGATGCCTGCGTGGAAGGAGGTCGGCAGCCCCGTCGCCGCTCCTCGAGGCCCCGAACCCGAGGGGGTCGAGATCCTCCCCTTCGCAGTCCTCCGGTGGTGGCGACCAGGGCAATGTGTGGCGTGTCCCCCTACAGGGGGATTTCGACGACAAATAGAAAATACCCTCAAAATGCACCAAAAAGATCAAAACATATTCAAAAAAATGGTCCCCAGATTATTGTTGGATTATTTTTTGATTATCTTTGGGGTATTTTTCGTCGAAAATCCCCCTGTATGGGGGACAGGCCCGACTAAAGACCAGGGGTGGTCGAGTTCGTGGGAGCGGTCCGGGCCTGCTCGACCGCCCGCCGGAGGCGGTCCTCCTTGGGCAACTGCGCCCTGCCCCCCATCCCCAGCGGTAGCCGGCTTCGGTATCATTGTAGAGAGCTCCTACCTGGAGTACCTGGCTCTCTTGTGAGGCAATGACAGCGCCCGGTGTCGCCGGCCGTAGGTGGCGACGGCCGTGCTATGGAGGGCCGCGTCGTCGCCGAGCTGTTTGCGGGAAGCATTTTTTGATAGACCTATGGCGTACCTTCGGCTTTTGTTGCGCCGTGCCTTCGCCGCTTGTGAAGCGGTTTCCGTTGATTGGTGCAGCGCTTGGCAACGTGCCGTGGGCAGTTCCTCGGGCGCGGGCGTGATCGCAATAGCGTCAGCGTCACAGGTAACGGCGCGGATCCAGACTACACTGTCAGCTGGGTCGACAGCGACTTGGATAACGTTTTGGATGCATTGTGCCTCGCCCCGTCAATGCTGGTAAATGGTCCCTTGAATGTGTCCTGGCGTGGGTTATGGTAGCCTTGGCCGTGCGACGGAGGACTGGGATTGGGATCTCAAGTCCTGGGCAACCCGCGCCGATCGGTCCCAGGATTGCGAGCGCTAGAGAGATGAGGGAGTAGCGCAGCATGGTGTAGCCGATCCTGTTTTGTCCCGCGCAATATTATCAGCTCGCCCCTGTGCCCTCGTTGGTCGGAGCTGTGTGCGTGGTAGGTAGCATCGAGATCAGCGTGGTGCTTGCGAGCCAGTTCGTCGTGGGCGGCGACTGCGCTGTCGACGCCACCGCTGCCCAGGAGTGCGACGACGCAGGCATCCTGTCGGAGCATGCTGCTGTCTGGTATGGCCACCTTTGGGTTGCCTCTTCCTGGCGGCTTCGCCTGCCGCGGCGCGGGGGGCGCGCGGCGGGGACCTTTCGGATCCGCGGCGCGCGCGCTCAGGATTGAAGGGATGTGACGCCAACCTGTCTCGGCCGCGCATCGCAGCGCGATCGCCGCGCTGGGGTGGGGGATGGGCTCTGCGTGAAAAATTGAAAGGCTTCTCGAGAATCATCGGGCCGCGTCAGGGTTTTCTCGGGCGTGGCCTCGCGCGTCGCATCGGCGGCGGTCTCGGTGCGCGATTTTCGCGCGGGGGTTCGGCGCGGGGCGCCGAGCAGCCTCCTCGCGCGACCGCGTAGGGTTCGCGCGCGCAGGAAAGGGCTCGCGCGTGGCATCGGCACGTAGGTTGTTGCGCTGGGGCAGACTCCTGGCGTGACTGAGCAGCGCCCGAGCACGCCGACGCGGGCGTGCTCGCGTCGCCAGAGGTCTCAGCACGCGATTTTCGCGCGGGGGACGGCGCGCGGCGCCGAGCACTTTCTTCGCGCGACCGGGTAGCGCCCGCGCCCGCGGGGGAGGGCTCGCGCGCAGCGTCGGCGATGGTCTCGGAGCGCAAGTTCCCGCGCTGCGGTCGGCGCGCGGCGCCGCGCGGCGCTCGAACGCGCGGGGGATGGCTCGCGCGTCGCGTCGACGGGCGGCCCCGCGGTCTCGGTCCGCGAAAGTGGCGGCGCCTCGCTGCGCCACTGGGCACGCGCGCGCGGAGATCTCTGCGAACGCGCCGCAAACGCGGCGCACATGCGGGCGCGTCGCCGCGCGGCCACCGCGCGGGGGGCGGGGCGGGGGGTCTGCAAGAGAAGAAGCTGAACTGCTTTCTGGGGGTCCGTCAGGCCGCTTCGACTGAGGCTTCTTAGATCTTCCTGTGGCTTCCTGGAAGCTCTTGTGGCTTCCCCATGGCTTTCTGGACCTCCTCTGGGGTCTCCTGGGGCCTTGGAGTGTCTGGGGGCGCTTGCGTTCGGGAGCGCTTGGGGGCGCCTCTGGAGCGCCTGGGGGCGCCTATGGGCGCTTGAGAGCGTGCGGGGGCGTCTGGGAGCGCCTGGGCCCGCCTGGGGGCGCCTGGGCCCTCTTGGGGGCGATGATCCGGGCGATGGGGCGCTCTTGGAGCGTCTGTGAGTGTCTGTGAGCGCTTGGGGCCGCCTGGAAGTCTGGGTGCTCCTGGGGGCGCCCGCAGGCGCCTTGGGCCGGCCGAGGGGCGCATGGGGCCGCTGAGGAGCGATTGGGCGCCCCCCGAGCGTCCAGAAAGGCTTGGGAACATCGCGGGCGCCCGGGGGCGCTGGAACCGCCCGGAAAGCGCCTGGAGCTACCTGGGAGCGCTCGAGCGTTCGTGGAGCCTTTGGCGACGCCTGGGAGTGTCGGGGGGCGTCTGGGCGGGGGCGCTCGGGGCCGCCTGCGGGGGGCGTCGAGAGCTTGCGGCCTTTGCCGGGGATCGATGCTTCGCAGGCGCCGATCGCGCGTCATTCCTTATTCGGGGATTTCTGGTCCCGGACAGGACAGAGTGCGCCGCGCGCGAGCGGGCGCGCACGGGGGCGCTCTCGACGCGGGCCAGGGCGCGCCGCGTGCGAGCGGGCACGGTCGAGGGAGCCCGCATGACGCACCTGCGCGCGTCGAGCGTTCTCGGGGCGAACCAGGGAGCGCCGCGTGCGAGCGGGCGCGCATCAGAGCGCTCTTCGGCGCGCGAAGGGGTGCGCCGCGTGCGAGCGGTTACGCGCGGGAGCGCCCTCAGTCGGGCCCCGCTAGGCAGCGCCGCGCGCGATCGGGCTTGCGCGGAAATATTCTCGGGGCGCGCCAGAGTTCGCCGCGTGCGGGCGGGCGCGCACGGGATCGCCTTCGGTGTTTTTTGGGCTTGGCGCCGTTCACATTCCTGAACCTCCACGTTTTGTTTTGATTTGAAGCTCGTGGGCCTTCGGTGCAAGTTCCTGAGACCCGCTCGACCCCGATTCAGCTCAGAAAGGGAGTGTAGGCGGGCGAGCCAACTCACGCCCGCCGACGTAGTGCATGTGGCATTCCGCAGAATACTCCGGCCACTTGTCGCTCGTTCCCGGACGAGTATAAGGACCGACGCTCTTCCCCGAGAGGGAGAGAGCATGAGGGAACGAGTGAGCGAAAGAGAGGGAGACAGAGAGAGAGAGAGAGAGACATGATCAGATATATCACAAGATAGCGAGAGAGAGAGAGAGAGGGAGAGAGAGAGAGGGTGAACAACAACCCATGTTTCCAGAAAGAGAGAGAGAGAGAGAGAGAGAGAGAGAGAAAGAGAGAGAGAGAGAGAGAGAAATAGAGAGAGCATATAGAGAGAGAGGGAGATATAGCGATAAAACAACAGAAAGAGAGGGAGGAACGACAGAGAGACAAAGACTGAGAGAGAGAGAGAGAGAGAGACAACAACACACAGGGAGAAAGGCACAACGAAAAGAAGGCGGAGGACATGAGGGAGGCGGCGGTTGGAGAATGAGGAGGAGAAGGGGGAGGAGAAGCAGGAGGAGGAGGAGGAAGAGGAGGAGGAAGAGGAACAGGTGGACGAAGAGGATCAAGGGGGGCGGAGGAGGGGCAGGAGGGGGCGAAGGGGCAGGTGAATGAGGAGGAGGATGATGAGGAAGATGACGAGGAGGAGGAGGAGGAGGAAGAGAGGGGGAGAGGAGGAGGAGGAGGAGGAGGAGGAGGAGGAGGAGGAGGAGGAGGAGGAGGAGGAGGAGGAGGAGGAGGAGGAGGAGGAGAGGGTGCAGGCAGGAAAGGCAAAGGTAGGATTGGAGAAAGGAAGGGAGCGGGACTTGGGGGATTGGCTCTGGCAGAGCTATATGGGGCTCCAAAGGGGCTCCAGGGGGGTGCGGAGGATGAGGGAGAGGAGGGGGGGGGGGAGGAGGAGCAGGAGGAGGAGGAGGAGGAGGAGGAACATGAGGAAAAGGATGAGGAGGATGTTCTTGATGATGTTGATGGGGAGGATGAGGATGATGATGGAGATGAGGATGAGGATGAGTATAAGGATGGTTATGATGATGCTTGTGATGATGATGCTGATTATGATGATGATGATGGTGATGATGCTGATGATGCTGATGCGGATGACGACCGTGATGCTGCTGCTGCTGATGATGGTGGTGATGATGATGATGGTGATGATGATGATGATGATGATGATGATGATGATGATGATGAGGATGACGACGACGACGACGACGACGACGACGACGACGACGACGATGATGATGATGATGATGATGATGATGATGATGATGATGATGATGATGATGATGATGATGATGATGGTGATTATTATGATGATGATAATTATTCGGAGGAGGAGAAGGAGGAGGAGGAGGGCGGAGGAGGAGGAGGATGGTGAGGAGGAGGAGGAGGAGGAGGAGGAGGAGGAGGGAGGAGGGAGGAGGGAGGAGGGATGGAGGAGGGAGGATGGATGGAGGATGCAGGATGGAGGGAGGAGAGGAGGAGGAGGACGATGAGGAGGAGAAGGAGGAGGAGGAGGAGGGAAAGAGGGGGGCAGGGTGGGAGGGAGAGGAGGAGAAAAATTAGCGTGGGCAGGAGGAAATGGATTAGGACGGAGGAGGAGGAGGGAGGGTCTTCGTGGGTGCATAGCCTCTTCTGAGGAGGGGCATCCAAGATGCATCACGGCGTTTCTTCCCCCTTACCGGGCACGTGATTTGCCCCACCTGAGAGCGATTTCAGGTCATCCTTTCTGATCTGCTTCCGCATCCTCGTCCTCTCTCTCTCCTGTTCGTCTTCCTCCTCCTCCGCCGATCATGTTTTCCTCATATTATCATGAGTACTCCCGCTCCTGATCCAACACGCGCTCCTTCTTCAATTTCCTTTCCTCCTCCTCTTCATCCTGGCCAGTCTCCGGCTTCTAATCCTGCACTTCCCTCCGCCTCGTCCTCCTCCTCCTCCTCCTCCTCCTCCACCTCCTCTTCCTCCTACGCGGCCTCCTCCTCCTCAGTATCCTCCTCCTCCTCCTCCTCCTTTTCGTCCTCTCCGATCATACTGCTTGTCCTGCCGCTGATCCGCCGCATCCTCCTTCTACTCCCCTCCTTCCCCTCTCCCGCCCCCTCCTCCTCACTCTTCTCCTCTATCCTCTCCTTTGTCATCCTCCCCTCTCCTACCTTCCCCCTCCTCTCCTGATACTCTTCTCCTCCTCCTCCTCCTCCTCCTCCTCCTCCTCCTCTCCTCTCCTCTTTTCATCCCTTCCTCCCATCCTCCCCCCCACCTCCTCCACCTCCACCTCCTCCTTCTCCTCGTCCTCATCCTCCGTCACAGTACTCCCCAGTCCTCCCCACTCTTCCCGCGCCCTCCTCCGCCACACACTCCTCGTCCTTAACTTCCCCCCTCGTCTCCCTTCCGCCCCCCAGGCCACCGCGACCGGGAGGGGGCAGCCCCTCCTCGCCCCCGCAGGAGAGCAAGGTGGGCCCCGGCCTCTACAAGCTGCCCGACACCCTCGACGACCACGGCATCCTCATGAAGGGCGGCCGGCGCTTCCAGGACCGCGCGCGCGCAGCAGAAGACATCGAGAGGTCCTTGGGCTCCTCGTAATAATACGAATCGTAATACGAATAATAATCCTTCACATGCTACGAAGAAGAATAATACCAATGCGAATAAGAAGACGAAGAAGCGAAGAAGGAGGAGGACGAGGAGGAGGAGGAGGAGGTGGAGGAGGAGAGGGGGGAGGGGCCAGCGGGCACCTGCCACACTGGAAGCGCATCCCGCGTGCGACGCCGGCCGAGCGTGCCCAGACCTCCCCGAGGAGGTCCGACAGATGGGGTCGGAGGATCGCGCCGCATCGCCGATGCATCGCCGATGCCGCTCGACGTGGAATCTGATTTCCTCGATGCCGACATCGCTGATGCAGCATCGGCGATGCGGCGCGATCCTCCGACCCCATCTGCTCCGACCCCTATCAGGGAGGCCTCCGACGTGCGAGAAAGCAGCTGGCGCCTGCGGCGCCCAGAGTGGCGGCCGCAGGGAGAAGTGCACGTGGAGCGCGTTAGCCAGCGGCGCTCGTGGAGTCCAAAGCGGGAAGCGCGAGGACTCGAGGATCGTTGCCTTTGAATCGAGTACGCGGAGGGAGGACCGAGGATCGAGGGCCGTCAGAACGCACCTTGGGAGAGGTCATGGGAATAGCGGGATCGGCACCTCTTGGTTTCCCCACGTCCTCCTGCGCCCCCTCCCCCTCCTTCTCTCGGGGTTCATATCCAGTAGGGGCCCGACCACAAACAACCTTCCACAAGAGACCCAACCCTGAGACCCCAGCACGTCCATTGATTGTTGGTGTGGTAAGGTCACGCATTCCATAGCAAACCCATCGAAACCCAAGCAAGAAACCCAGGGCACCCTGGAGGCAAGCACGCTGTTTCTTGGGATGGGTCTCCATTGTAGGAGGCTGCCCAGCTGAACTGCGGCAGCCGTCGGTGCAGCAGGGCAGTGATGCTGCTCGTTGAGTCTGGCTTTGCAGAGTGGCCGCTGACGTGGGAGGACTCAAGCGGGGGGTTCCAGCGAAGATGCCATCCGAGTTGTTGCGTCGTCGGGACGCCGAAGGCGGCGCGTTTGGGGAGGAACGCCCGAAGCTCGGCCAGGTCCGGCCGCGGCCGCGTCCGCGCCGCGCCGGGCCCCAATCAACCGGGAAACGAAACAGAAGAGTTTCGCTTCCCGATTCCCGAGCCTCGATCCTCGAGCATCCCTCCGTCCCTCCAGGATGTGTTCGCTGGACAGCTTGTCTATTTGTTTTGTTGTTCTTTTTCTCTTTACAGAGAAAGTATATATATACATATTTATGGTTGTACACACGCCGTATGATAACCAATGGCTGTCCCTCTGTATATATACAGAGAGAGAGAGAGAGAGAGAGAGATCGGCAGTTGCATACACGCCGTATGATAACCCACGGTTTCATACATGTGAAGTGTGTGTGTATACATACGTGTAAATTCGTCTGACGCCGGTTTGAGGTTAGAGATGCCATGCCCCCCGAAGTCGGTGGGCCATCGTGTTCCCTCATCGTGGACTGTATAAACTTGTTGAGGGTCTTCTGCCGCAAGGGTGGCATTTGTCTTCCTTCCTCCTCCCTTTTTTCTTCCGTTTCCTCCTATTTGGCGCTATGGTGTATTGGTGGCCGTGCAGCGGTAAGATCCGCCCGCGCTTCGGCCCCTTAGTTGAGTAATCCTGTCCGCTCCCATCTTTTTCTCCCAGCGGCGGCGGGACTTCTCTGAAGCCCTCGCGCTTTCTGAGAAGTTCCCTGTGCCTTCGCAGAAGGCTGAGAACACTTCTCTGAGGGCCGGGGGTCTTCCGAGCCTCCTGAGCAGGCCTTCTCCCTCTCACTTCCCCACCCGGTCTCGCCGCCGATCCTCTTTTGTGAGGAAGTGCAGCGACTGCTCTCCTCCGTTCCGAGCCGCCGGCCCCGGCCCCCCGACAGGAGGGGCACGAGGCCGAGACGCCTGGCCCCGGCGCCTACGACTCGGCCCCGCTGTCGGCGCGCAGGTTCCGCGCCTCGCCGAGCTGGCCGCCGCCGCCGCCGCCGCCGCCGCCGCCGCCGTCGTCGTCGTCGTCGTCGTCGTCGTCGTCGTCGTCGTCGTCGCTGTCGTCGACGGCAGACGTTCCAGGAGCAGGTGCGTTGTGCTATCGATTGGCTCGGGGCCCATGCCGCCATCGCGATCCGCGGTGCCTGGGCCGTTGGACAAGAGCTTCTCGGAGTGAGGAGGAGGAGGAGGAGGAGGAGGAGGAGGAGGAGGAGGAGGAGGAGGAGGAGGAGGAGGAGGGGGAGGGGAAGGAGGAGGAGGAGGAGGAGGTCCTCTGGAGATCATGTGGGAGGCCTTCTGGCGGGGGCCTCGTGGGAGACCCGTGGGCCAGCGGCTCGGAGAGCACCTTCGCAGCGTGCAGGAGCGCCGAGCACACCGAGCGCGGAGGCCACCCCCGCACGAGGACGCGGCCCCCCCCCACATCATGCCGAGCCGGCGGGGCTGCCAGGGGCCCAGGGCCATGCTGGCGAGAGGGGCTTGTCAGATTGAAGGGGCCCCAGGACACACAAAATAAATACACACAAATAAAATTATTCCCCATATTTTCCCATATTTTCTGGGTTTCTGTCTTCCCCCCCACTTCCCATATTTTCCCATATGTTCTGGGGAATCGAAGATTAATTGTGTCTGTGTGTTTCTTTTCCTCCCGACAGATGTTGCTCCGGTGATGTCCGGGGAGCGCGGCAGGGCCTCGGAGTGGCGCATCTTCCCACGCTGGCCCGCTTGCAGTGGCAGAGCACAGCGGGCACGCCGGGCAAGAAACGGAGCCGCCATCAGGCTCCCCACAGAGATTTCCCATTCCCCGACGACCCCGGGCGTCCATCGGAGTTGATGGCCTTCCCGCGAAAACCCGAGTCGACCGAGCACTATTGAAGACTTCTTAATTTACGCTGTCACAGTATCCCTGCACATTACGGAATTATGCTCAGCTGCTTACCAGACGCCCTGCGCTGGCCAGGCGCTGCGGTGTCGCGTTCCAGGTGGGCCCCCTTCTGTTTTCGGGCAGGGCCAAAGGGGGGTTCACCAGTAAGGGTGTCGCCATCGCCTGGAAACCCAGGGTCGAGGAGGAGCGGCGATGGAGAACCGAGCAGGGTTGGGACATGTTTGGGCGCGTTCGGGAGTCCTGAGGGGTTCTTGAGGTCCGCCATCGCGTTCTCTCTCTGCTGACCACCGCTCGCGCCTCTGCGTGCGAGGAGGCGCTGTGCTTGCTGCCTGGGCCCAGTTGTGCCCGGGCTTTCTGATGCTACGGACCCGCGAGGCCCAAGAGCTTGCCAAAGAAAAAAGGTCCCCATCGGTGGTGACTCTCCTTTGCAGAGCAACATGTTCTGGAATGCCAGTGCCAACGTGAAGTTGCGATGCCAGACGCCATCGCGCATATCGCACTGGGGGCAAGCGACAGAATTCTCACGCTTCAATGCAGGCGCAGCGTGCAGTCTTCGCCGCATACAGCGAGTCCACCGCGCCTGTCAGCAGCATTACCAGCGAGGTTCCCATCAACGGTCCCGACATCATAGACGTGTAGCTGTTTTCAGAGACGTCGCGGTTTTCAGAAGTGTGGTGGGAGCCGCGGAGAATCGCGAAGCCGACAGCAGAACAGCTATGGGGCGATTCGGGGGGTTCTTGAGGCATTCTGGGGACTTCTTGGCGGCCTCTGGGGCTTTTTCGGCGGCCTGAAGGCGGTCTCGGGGGTCATCTGGGGGAGGAAGGCCGCAGAGTTCAGTTCGCGTTTCCCTTGCTGGGCCATGTTTGGTGCTCTCTTGGAGATTTCTCGAGCTCTCTTGGAGGGGAGGTGGGGCCGTGGTGGAGCGATCTTGGGGGCCTCTTGGTTAGTCCTGGGCGCACTTAGAACCGAAGGCCGAGGGCACGACAGAGCAAGCAACAACTTTAGTGTCTCTATGGCCCCGTCCTGCTGGGCCAGCCGCCAGGGTCCCCGAAAGGCCGAGAGGACCTTAAGATAGCGCCAGGGTGGTCCCTTGAGCGAGTCTCGAGGCACGTCGGGAGTGGGAGTATGCGCCCCCAGCCACGCCCCCACGACCTCGGGAAAAGTGTTGCGGGCATCTCCGGGAGCTCCTGGAAGCGCCCAGGAGCGCCTAGAAATCTGGCGCCTTGGGCCCCGCAATATTACACAAGACTCAGAGCAGACAACTTGGCTTGATTTGGGACCACGTAATTCAGTACATACGTCACAGTTTGAGATTATGCGCAACTTCTTTGCCGTATCTGTATATTTGTGTGTGTCTACCGGTGTATATATGTATTGCAATTGTGATATGCCACAATATGTATGACCCCATCCAGGCCCTCTGAGGGCACCGTCGTGGCCACGGATGGATCCACCTTGAATTTTAGGCAGGCGGCGCCCCATGACGTGTCACATGTCCTGGAGTCGTCGTCCTCTTCGCTCCGTATGCGATGTGATGCGATGGCACTTGGAGGGGGCACGGGGGTTCAGCCTGATCGTGCATTGTGCCGGGCCGAAACAGCTCATATGCTTCACCAGAGGCTAGGAGTAATCATGTCCCCTTTACGCGTGCAGGCGCCAAGCGGAGCCAGAAGTTGATTGAGGAGGATCGAGGGTCGAGGTCGTCATCGGATGGAAGAGGGGGGGATCGAGGACGAAGGGGGAAGCACGCTGCTTGAACAAAACCGCCGTTGCAATCATTACGCTCGTTGTTCATTATATCATAAGTGTCGCGTGCGCGCTCTGCGTTGAGCTGTCGAGCGCGTCCGTCTGCACCCGTGGCGGGGAGGTGTAGTCTCTCACCTCCTCGATCCGCGGACCTGCGGCCACTCTCCATCCCTCTCTCTCTATATCGTTTCTGTTGTTGCTCTCTCGCACTCTCCCTCTCTCGATGTGCCTCTCTCGTACTCCCCCTCTCTCCCTGTGTACACCTGTTTCCCCCAACAGCGCCTGCACTCAGGGGTGGTCCCTGCATGTGTTTCGACGAAACTCGATGGGTGTCCCACGCCCTGGCCTGCTGCCGCCCCTCTGCCATCCACTGCCGCCTGTGCGGATGCTCCGAGACTCCGCCTCGACCCGGGCCGCGGCCGCCCGGGCTGCGTCCGCTGCCGCCCGTGTGGGCATGCCGACGATTCGCCACGCTGCCGCCCGTTGCCACGCCCAGGGCCTCGCCGTCGCGAGCGAGGCTCGTGTGCCTCGCTCGCGCGGGGCCTGGCTGGCAGCGCGGGGGGCTCGTGCTCCCCCCTGCGCGCCCGCCCGTGCAGAGGGCCGGGCCCCCGACCCCGCTGCCGAAGTCGAGGGCTCGCACGGCGAGGCCCTGGGCGAAGGGAAAGAATTCTCCTCCTCCTCCTCCTCCTCCTCCTCCTGGCCGTCTGCGCAGGCGTGCCGAGGGTGCCTCCCTGCCGCCTGCGGCTGCCCGCCGGCGTCTGCCGAGGATGCGCGGGTCGTGGGACTCAGCCCATTTGTACATGGGCGAAGACGAGGAGGGCACCGGCGTCCACGTGGCGCCGTCGCTCCGCGCCCATGTCGCCACTGAGCTGTCCAAGGAGACGGCCATCGAGAAGGAGAGGAGAAAGGCCCGCGAGGCCAGAGCGGCGGCCAAGGCAAAGGCCAAGGCCGCCGGGGACAAATGACCAGTGGAGAGATCGGAGGCGGGCCGAGCCCCGCGGGCGCTCATCCTGGCGCGCCCGCCTCCATCGACCCTCTCAGCCAGGACGACGGCGTCGCGAACGTGGGTTGGGCCTGGCCTGATCGTCGTCGAGACGTCGCCCAATTCGAGCCGACGGTAAAGTCGGCTGGAGTGGAGCGGGACCTTTTTCCCTTGCCGCTCCTCGGCCCGGAGTGGCCTTGCAAGACAGGTGGCGGATCGTCCAGGACGGCTCGCCGCCACAGCAGCCTCCGCCGGCACGCATGGGAGGACGCCAACGGCATGGTCCGCGCCCTGAACTCCCTGTACGGGTGCGTCCGTCCGCCAGGCGGGGCTCCGACGCCTGCTCAGCATCAGGTACACAGAGATCTGCTGAGCACCGCTCGTGCTGCCAGGCAAGATTTTGAACGCGTCGTTCCCCGGGAAGCCGCTCGTCGACTTCTGGGTCCCAAAATGGAGTATGGAGGTGACGGCACCACGGTCGAGCCATTCGACGGGGACCGCGTCTCCCTGCCCCCTCTCGGCAAGGGGGCGGCCTGCCTCTCGGGCGCGCTCGACCCGGAGGCGGCCGCAGTTTTGCAGAACTTTGAGACTGACCTGCTCGCCTCGCCTGACGTGGTGGAGCAGCGGCGTATGTCGGCGCCGGCGCAGCCGTACCTCGACCTCGAGTTCCGGGCGAGCCGGCCCAAGTACATCCAGTTCTTGTCGATGTTGAAGTCCCGCGGCATCATCTCTCTTGTCGGCCGCCGCCGAGGCAGCGTGACCCCGTTTTTCGTTTCCAAGAAAAATGGGAAGCAGCGTTTGGTGCTGGACTGCCGGCTCATCAACATCCTTTTCCACCACGCCCCCGTGATGGAGATCGGAGCGCTGGACTGCCTGAGCGGGCTCGAGGTGCCGCGGGGCCGCCAGGTGTTCACGGCGTCGGCGGACATCGAGGCCTGCTTCTACCAGTGTGGCGGGCTGGGGTCGCTCATCGAATTCTTCTGTCTGCCAGGAATCTCGGTGGCAGAAGCGACGCACCTGGGCTTCGACGTCACGGGCTTGTTCCACGACGCAAAGATGAAGCTTCACGTGGCGTTGAACGTGCTGCCGATGGGCTGGTCCTGGGCCTTCTGGTTCGTCCAGCGCGTCCACTTAGAAATGCTGCGGCGCGCTGGGATTGACTCCAGTCGCCTGGCGCTTGGCGGGTGGCCGCTGCCGCTGCTGGAGGGCGGCCCTGTCGAGCTCCCATACTCCGACAACGTGAACGTGATCGGGCTGGACCCGGTCGCCGTCGGGGAGCTCCGCGACAAGATCGTCTCCACCTTCGAGCGGCATGGCTTCGCGATGCACGAGATTTCGCCCGTCTCGGACGCCGCGGTGATCCTGGGCGCGAGCGTCGGCGGATCTCCGCCGAGCACGCGCCGGGTCTTGAACAAGTTGCTGTTAGTGCGAGGGGCGCTGCAGTGGCTGGCTTCGGGGCCCACCGTCACTGGGCGCCAGGTGGAGGTCATCGTCGGGCACTACGTTGCGCTCACGTCCTTCAACAGGCTCGGGCTCAGCGTGATGCGGTCGCTGTACGATTTCATCCGCGACAAGTACGTCATGCCGACGCGCTTGTGGGCCTCCTGCCGGTACGAGGCGTGGGTAATGGCCGACGTGAGCTTGCTTCTCTCTGCGAGGCTCGACCGGCCGTGGTCGCCCGTCGTGACGGCCTCCGATGCCGCGAACCGTGGCATGGCGGTGTGCGAAGCAGTTTTCCCGGTCTCCGCCGTTGCCTCCGTCGGGCGATGGCGGGAGCGGTGGAGGCACAGGCGGCTGAATCCCGACGAGTGGGCGCCGAGGCGCCGTGCCCTTGCCCAGGAGTTCGCTGAGATCGAAGATCCCCTCACCGTCACTGCCTGCTCACCGTCGCCATCTGGTCCAGGGTGGGCTCTTCATCAAGGATTTCCAGAGGTTCCTCGGGAGCTCGCGACGACAGGGTATCGCACGATATATGCTGGCCCCCTACGTTATCAGGAACATATCGGCGTCAAGGAGGGGCGGGCGTTTCTGTGGGGGCTCAGACGGGCTGCTCGGGACGTTCGGAACTTCGGAACTATCAGGCTATTCCTCATCGACAACTTCGGGGTTTGCTGCGGGCTGGATCGGGGGAGGTCATCGTCACACGCCATATTACAGTTGTGCCGTCGGACCGCTGCCATCTGTCTCGCAAGCGGGATCAGCCCCAGGTTCCGCTGGATCCCGTCCGAGTTCAACCCCGCGGACGCGGGCAGTCGGCTCTTCGAGCACCAGGGCCCGCTCGGCCATGCTTGGTCCGCTGAGTCGAGCTGGCGCCGGGCCCTCGCAGAGCTGCGAGGAGAGGCCGACAGCCGAGGCCGAGGCTGCGCCGATTCCGGCCTTCCCGCCTGCTGCGGGACCGCCGAAGCGGCGGCCAGCCGCCAGGCGGCGGCCCGCGGCGGCCGGCCCCCGCGCCCGGCAGCAGCCGGCCGCTGTCCCCCGGCCGAGGCGGGTCGCGGCGGCGCTGAGCCAGGCATTCAAGTCGCCGGCCTCGGCCGCGGCCCGCTCGCACTGCGAGGAGGCCGCAGCAGGCGCTGCCACGCGCGCCAACTACAGGCCGCTCTGCGACGCCTTCCTCGACTTCTGCCAGACGAAGGGCCGCGTCCCAGCCGACGTCAACGAGCTGCAGATCAGGCTGCTCGAGGCGCTCGACCACCTGCTTGGGGCCGATGGTACCAAGGGCGATGCGGACACGCTCGTGGCGGCGGTCAAGGATCACTTCCCCTTCGCGGTCGGCTCGGGGACTCTGCCTCGGGTGACCCGCGCCCTACGGGGGTTCGGGAAGAAGCGGCCGCCTCGGTCCCGGGCACCGGCACCAAAGGAGCTCATGGCGGCAGCGGTGTCGATGCTGCTGGCCCTGGGGCTGTACGACCAGGCGCTGCAAGTCGCGGTTCTGTTCTACACCTACATTCGCCCTGGGGCTCTCCGACAGCTGACGGTCGGGCAGCTGCTGCCCCCAGCGAGGCGGTCGGGGCCGCTGAGCCACTGGTCGATCATCCTGGCACCGACCGAGACGGTGGGCGCGCCCCGGGTCCTGACCAAGACCGGCACCTCGGACGAGACGGTGCTGCTGGACGAGCCCGCCTGGCTGGGGCCTGTGCTGCAGGCGCATGCGCGGGGCAAGCCTCCGACCGCCCCCCTCTTCACGACGGGCGGCCCAGGCATGGCAGCGGCCTTCGGCCGTGTTGTGGCCGCCCTGGGCGTCCCGGGCGTATGCCTGTACCAGCTCCGGCACGGCGGGGCCAGCGACGACCTGCTCACCCAGAGGCGGCCGGCGGACGCCGTGAAGGCGCGCGGCCATTGGAAATCCGAGAGCAGCTTGCGCAGGTACGCGAAGCCCGGGGCCATTCACCAGCTGCTCAACGCGATGCCAGCGGAGAACAGGGCGTTCGGCGTCCAGCAGATGAACTTGCTCGAGCGCCTGCTGAAGCGCGAGGCGCCCGGATCGTGGGCGCCCCGCAGCGGCGTCGCCGCGGCGGCGTGAACTGGAAGGGCCGCGGCGGCCGGCTACACCGACCCCGCCGCTTTCGGAGGCCTGGGGAGGTGTTCGAGCTGATGGCGGGCTCAGCGCGCATTGCCGCTGCCGCCGCCGCTGCCGGTTTCCAGGCCCGGTCTTGGGAGCTGTCCGAGTCGGAGATGCAGGACTGCATGCACCCTCTCGTCAGAAAATGCATTTACGAGAGCCTCCGTTTGAGGCTAGTTGCCCTGCTGTGGATTGGCTCCATAAGCGCCACTTGGTCGCGTGCCAGACGCAACGTCTCTGGGCAGCCCGGGTGGCCAACGCCGCTGCGGTCGCGAAAGTGCATCTTCGGTTTACCCCACCTCGCTGGGAAGGATCTGGCAGCTGTTCACGGAGGCAACGCTCGTGCGACTTGGGCCGCTCGCCTCTTCCAGTTCGCAGCGCTTCGAGGCTGCCCCGTGGTGATTGAGAACCCGCAGAGCAGTTTCATCTGGTGTCATCCAGAGTTCCAGCGCTTGTGCGAAAAGTGGCGGTATATCGACATTGACTATTGCGCCTTCGGTTGCCCATATCGTAAACGCACGAGACTCTTGTATGCTAACCTTGATATTTCTCGACTGAGTTGGGCGCACTGTTCTGGCAGGCACGTCTGCAGTTTCTCTCATCAACCGCACGTAGAGCTTGCTGGCAGGGCAGGCAAGACGTTTCATACCGCCAACGCCGTTGCATATCCACATGAATTGGCAGCGGCCGTTGCTCGCTGCCTGTGGGCCCGCCCACCCTCCCGAGTACAGATACTCTGATCTGGGGATTGGCCAGAGAGTGATTGCCAGCTGGCGCGCGAGGCTCACAACTGCTCGCCCCGCGCTCGATCGAGTAGTCTGCGTGAAAACAGATCGAGGGGGGTGTTAGCATGTGCCATCTGTTTACAGAATAGCATGTGTAGCTCTCCTCGTGTAGTTTGTTCAGAAGATGCCAGTGATGCTCGGTTTATAAACGTGGACGCCCGGGAGGGGGCGGGGGAAATTCTGTACAAAACGACCGTTTTGTACAGAATTTCCCCCCTGGCGTTTTGAACGTGTCTGTTGCACTACTGTGAACTCCGCCGGTCGCAGCTCATGGAACGCATTGGCATCACAGCGGGTCAGAATCATCAGGATTCGCCGGCAGAGTCTCTCAGCACATGTCTGTATTGCTCTGTCCGTGGCTATCCTGGCTCAAGTTTTTGAGGGCCCCCCCCTTGCCCTCCCTCTTCTTCTCCTCTTCTTCCTGCCGTTGGCAGCCAGAGAGTGATTGCCAGCTGGCGCGCGAGGCTCACAACTGCTCGCCCCGCGAGAGTGATTGCCAGCTGGCGCGCGAGGCTCACAACTGCTCGCCCCGCGCTCGATCGAGTAGTCTGCGTGAAAACAGATCGAGGGGGGTGTTAGCATGTGTATATATGTGTATATCAACATACATTTATATGACACGCAGGTATGTGTATGTATTGCAATGGCGTGCCATAGATTCTTTGTTGCGTGTGGGAAGCGGGAGAGGGCCGCTGACACGTGTGCTCAAGCCTTTCTTCCAGCGAGCTGGGGGCACCTGTCCAGGCAGAATCGCGGATGGTTGGCAGACCCTTCGTGCGGCTCCTGGGCGTAGCTACCAACCTGCTGGCGGCCTGGATATCGCGAGCGCCGCCGTGTCCTGCGGCGCCTGCTCGTCCTTCTTCGCCGGCGTGCCCGTCGGTGTCGTGCCCCAACCTCTCGAGCGCCGACCGCGACGTGTACGAGGAGCGGTACGGTCAGGGGAACCCAGACATAGTCGCCGTGGTCTTCAGCCCGACGCGCCAGGCGCTGCAGGGTGTGGACCCGACTCTGCTGTGCAGGTTCAGGCGTGAGCCGAACGCGAGGGAGACGGTCGCTATCCAGGACGTTCTCGTGCAGGTAGCCGACCAGCTGTACTTGGACCGCGAGCGCGCTGCTGGCAGGCCGCGGACGCTTCCCGCTGGTGGCTCACACCTGGAGTTCGACTTCACCGCAGCCGCCCCTGGACCAGGCGTTCCTGGCGCAGGCCCCGCCGCTCCCGCGCCCGCGGCGGGTGCCGCCGCCAGAGCAGCGCCTGCCGCGCCTCTGGTGAGCGTGGCCGGGGCCGGCGCCGTCGCCGCCCCTGCTGCAGGTCCCCTGGCGGCCGCCGCCGTGCCGGCCGCAGGCGCCCCAGCGGGCGCCGCCGGCGCAGCGCCGCCGGCCGCGGCAGGGGTGGTTGGGCCGCCCGCTGAGCTGGCCCCAGTGTGGGTGCTCATCGAGAGCACGGGTGGTGGCAGTCGTGGCGATGTTGTCCAGCTCAACGGGACCGAGCGGATCGAAGGTGACATCGGCCTCCTGAAGCTGAACGCAGGCTGGGTTGCCATCCGTCGGATCTCGATGGACCCATCGGTGTATCGATGCGCGGAGAGCGGGGCGGACATCAGGCTGGTGGACGTGCCACCTCGACCCGACGGCTCCAGGCAGCGACTGGCTTGGCGTGAGGCTGTGCCGATGATGGTAGAGAATCCCATCCCGGGGTGGCCGCTCGACGGACCTCGGACCATGCTCTGGCGCGCGCAATTCATCGACAGGAGGCGGAACGGCCCCGTGGAGCACTACAACAGCTTCTTTGCCTTCTATCATCTCTCGAAGGAGGACTACGAGGTCGCTCATTATGAGATCATAATGAAGATGATCGAACATCTCGGGTGCTGGGATCAGTTGAATGTTCCCGACTTTGTCGGGGCGGAGCTGGCCACTCGCCAGGCACAGCTGTACGAGTACATCTACTCCATGGAGTTCGTGGCGCAGCAGTCGAAGGGCTCCAAGGACGGCGACGAGGGCGACGGCATGAAGAGGGGCCGAGGTCGGGGAGGAGGGCTCCACCGATTCGGCATCGTGGACGAGGCGGCGGTGTTCACAGGGGCGGCCAAGGAGGATGGCCGTTCCATGATATGCCCGCTGCTGCTGGAGCATGTCTCCAAACAGGTGGAGCGCGACGCAGGGATCCTGAAGCAGATCAGGAAAGCCCGTGAAGAGCGTCGCGCTCTGTCATCATGAGCGACGCGGACGGCTCTCGGGTACCCCTCGCCCGAGAGTCAGCCAGGCCGAGAGAGGGGGCGCCCGTGGGCCTCGCGGGCGCAGCAGATCTACCTGTACATGAGGCTTCCGACTCCAGCGCCGACCTTCGCCAACGTGATCTCTTTCCTTTACCTTACTTTGGCGCTGGAACTTCTCTCCTACTACGTCCTCCCCGCCTTCAAGGTCAGTGCGCAGGCGCCTTGAGAAGCGGTCGCACGTTCACGGCATGGTCGAGGAGATGACCGACGCGCTGAACGACCTGTGGGGCTGCCCGCCCGTGGCGCGCCGTCAAGCGCCCGCTGGCATGCCGGTGCCTGCCGCTGGCCACGCCCTCGTCCTCTCGGAGCTCCGACAAGCCGCTGTGAGGTTTGGCCCGTGCCCAGAGGGCTTGGACGGTCCAGGAGCCCTCGAGGAGCTCCGGATATCTCAATCGTACGAGGGTGACGCCACGTTGGTTGCCCCGGTGAGTTTCGACCTCGTCGACTCCATCTCCCTGCCTCCTGCCGGCAGCCAGCCCGCCGCCCTGGAGGCTATCGACGAGATGGCAGGCCAGAACATCGCTCGCCGGCTGAAAGAGTTACTCCTGCCCCAACAGCTGGGGATGGAGCGCATCAAGGAAGTGGGTCCGAGACGGCTCTACACGGACCCTGCCCTTCGCAACCCGCGCCTCTATAAAATGGTGGTGCGGCGGCTTATGAGCGCCGGGCTGGTGGACTTCAGCAGCTCGGCGGAGTGTTACGTTGGCATGTTTTTCGTACGCAAGAAGAACGGGTCGCTGCGGATGATCCTCGACGGGAGGCACGCTTCGCTTAGGTTTGCGCCCGCAGACCCCGTGGAGCTGGCGACGGGCTCGGCGTTCGCCCAGATCTCGGTCGACGGCGACGAGCCCATCAGCATCGGGGGGGTCGACATCTGCGACGCGTTCTACCAGATCGAGCTCCCACAGTGGCTGCGCCGCTACTTCGGGCTGCCCAAGGTGAGGGCTGGCGACCTCGGGCTGGTGAACCTGTCCGACGGCACGCCCGTGAGACCCTCGGCCTGGGTGGTACCGTGCTTTCGGTGCCCGCCGATGGGCTGGAGCATCAGCCTATGGATATGCCAGAGCCTGAACGAGGCGGTGACCGCCCGAGCACTTCCTGGCCATTTTGGCCGTCGACTTGTGGACCGTCGGCCCGCGCCTGACCTGCAGCAGGGAATGGCGCACACGGTCTACGTCGACAACTTCATCGCCCTGTCCCACAGGCTGCGCGAGGTGCGTGATGCAGCTACTGCAGTACAGGGGGAGCTGACTGCCTCAGACCTTCCCTCGCACCCCGTGGAGGCATCAGTCGGCGGGGACACGCTGGGCTGGCACTTTGACGAGGACAAGCCCGTGATCGGCCTCAGCGTTCGGCTTCGCTGGCGGCTCCGCCTCGGCATCGGCGAGCTGCTGGAGCAAGGCTGGTGCAGCGGTCACACCATGATGAAGGTGATATCGCACTTCACTTCGAGGGCGCTAATTCGTCGAGAGCTGCTGAGCTGCCTAGGGGCCGTGTACGGCCTCATGGGCGACGGCGGCCGCGAGAGGCGGCGGCTGACGCCGGCAGTAAGACGGGAACTGGCTTGGTGCCGCGCACTGCTGCCTTTGTGTTTTCGAGACGCCGGGCGGCCCTTGTCGCCTGTCGTGTCCTGTGTGGACGCCTCGTGGTGGGGCGCTGGTGTGACAGAGAAGACCATCACCTCAGACCAAGCTCGTCGCTTGTCTATCTTCAACGAACGATGGAGGTTCAGTCGGGATGGCGAGCAACAGGTTGCCCCTCGCGACAAGGCCTTAGCCTCGGAGAGCAAGCAAGCTCAGCGTATCACCTCGTCATGCTTCAAGCAAGCCTCGTCGGAGCCCTACCGCGATCCAGCAGTCATAGCAGCAGCCATGGAGCAGCAGGTCCCGTTCCGAGTCGAGCCGAAGCCGAATCAGGGGGATGAAATCACGTTCGAGGAGGTGCCCGAGGAGGTCTGGGCGGAAGGATGGCGTCGGGTTCTATCTACACCGTGGACCAGGAGGGAGGCTCAGGTGGTGCTGGAGGGGAGAGCCTTAGTCTTGTGTCTGAAACATCGATTGCGAGCCACTCGAAACTTCAACACCACGCACATCATCCTGAATGACTCCATGGCCCCAGTGTTGGCCCTTCTCAAGGGCAGATCATCGTCGCCCCCGCTTTTGAGAATCTGTCGTCAGGCATGTGCTCTTCTGTTGGCTTCTGGTTCATCTGCTATCTGGCGTTGGGTCCCATCAGAACATAACAGCGCAGATCCAGCGTCTCGTGACCAGGCTGGTGACACCCCCGAGGCCGTGCGGATCAAGACATCGAAGCTCGACGCGTCCTGCCCGCCCGCCCAGGCGCTGGGCCTCGGGGAGGATGACGGCGGCAATGCTGGCGTCGGTCCTCGGCGACAGGGCGGCCCCTGCCGCGCCGGCGATGCGGGCTCGCAGGAGGCCGACTGCGGCTGCGGGTGCTGTGGGCGCTCGCCAGCTGCAGGGCAGGCCGCAAGCAGCGCCGGAGACTGCAGCGCGCCCAGCCGAGGGCGACCGCTGGGCGGGCCGTCAGCGGGGGGAGGCGAACCTCTTTCCTTTCCTCCCGGCTGCGGCCCCCCGCCAGGGCTTGACCCTCCTGGAGGAGTTCTTGGACGGGGGCAAGAGCAGCGCCGTGTGGATGCTGATGGCGGCTTTTGCCTTCGTGCGTCCGACCCTCGGGCGGCGGCAGTGGCGCCAGCTGTGGGCGGCACGGGCTGCCAAGACCTGGTCATGCCTGGCGCCGCCGCGGCCGCGGCTGACGCTCTCACGGCCTGTGGTGTGCCTCATCGTGGTGACGTTGTGCTGCGGGGGCCTGGAGGAGTACGCTTGGCCCGCCGCGCCCACGGTCGACCTGTGCCCGAGGCCGCGCGAGGCGCTGGATTTCGTGCAGTCGCAGCTCATCCCGCCAAGGCTCACCGCTGCCGCGGCGCTACACCAGTGGTGCATGGTCCTCCAGCCGTCCGACATGCAGACCCCATCCATGACAGACGTGCTCGACGAGACCCTGCGGGCGGGCCTCACCCGCTCCCCGAGGGTGCCACGACCCGAGCAGGAGCCGCACCACCGGACGCCCGGTGGCCACCGCCCTTTGCCGGTGGCCCAGGCGCAGTGGAGCGGCCACGTCAAGGCCGTCTTGGCCGGGCTCGGCCTGCAGGTCTGGAGCTACCTGATGCACGGGCACAATGGCGCAAGCCACGAGCTGTTCGCGGCGGCGCGGCCTCTGCGGGACATCCACATGCGCGCCAGGTGGCCGACCGACGCCGCGCTTCAATGCTACGCCGAGGGGAGGCAGGTGCAGGAGCATCTTCGCGGGCTGCCGCGCGCCCTGCCGCTAAGTGCCGAGCAGGCGCTCCGCGGGCCTGGCGCCACCCCGTCGGCGAGCTTGCATCGTGGGTGAGACATTCCAGATCCGGCGTCTTCCTGGAGGTCTTCAGCGGCTCTGGGCGGATGGCGGCAGCGTGGCGCCTGCGTTTCCATTCGCAGCATGCCGCTTTCGAGCTGGACATCCGCCACGACGCCGACAGCGACCTCCTCCTCAGGCGGATCAGGCAGCAGGTTCGGGGCTGGGTGCGGAGTCGGCTCATCGTCGCGATCTGGATTGCGACGCCCTGCCAGTCCCTGAGCCGCGCCCGCAACCGCCCCAACGGGCCACCACCCTTGCGGACGGCTTTGTTTCCGCTGGGGCTGCCAGGCCTGTCGCCAGGAGATCAGCTCAAGGTCGAGAGAGGAAACGCACTTGCCACTTTCAGCTTCTCTCTTTTCTTGCTTGCCCGCAGTTTAAACATACCAATAGTGATTGAGAATCCCAGCACATCCTGGTTGTGGCAGCTTCCAGGCGCGCGCAGTCTCATTCGAATTCATAACACTCGTATTGTGGACTTTGATTTCTGTGCGTTCTCGACCCCTTGGCGCAAACGCACTCGGCTGCTGTACTGCCATCTCAACCTCGACCCGCTCATCCCCTATAAATGCTCGGGTCGTGGGGTCTGCAGTTTTAGCCGCCGCCCCCATCAGGTCCTCGAGGGCAAAGATGCCTCAGGCAGTTTCTGGACGCACATCGCAGAACCGTACCCAAAATATTTTTGCAGGCTGGTAGCTAAGTGTTTCCAACAGGCTCTGCGAAACCATTCGTTTCTGAGCCTGGACAGGTTTGTGGAGGCCTAAGGCCAGGGTTTTAAAATTCGCTGGTGCTCGAGTTTTCAAGGTTTCGGACTGTGATTGTCTCGGGCCACGGTTTCCTTGGTCGAGGGGCTCGCCCGTCCAGTCAACGTTTCACGGAGCTCCGGGACGAGTCATCACACAGAGTTGCGGATGCAAAACAAGTCTGGCCCTCGGGAGTCTCCCCAGCTTACACAGATTGCAATGGCGTGCCATAGATTCTTTGTTGCGTGTGGGAAGCGGGAGAGGGCCGCTGACACGTGTGCTCAAGCCTCCCGCCCACGCTGCGCTCCCATCCCATTTTCAGCTCGAGCAGTGTCCTGTGGACTGTGATTGTCTCGGGCCACGGTTTCCTTGGTCGAGGGGCTCGCCCGTCCAGTCAACGTTTCACGGAGCTCCGGGACGAGTCATCACACAGAGTTGCGGATGCAAAACAAGTCTGGCCCTCGGGAGTCTCCCCAGCTTACACGGATGCAAAACAAGTCTGGCCCTCGGGAGTCTCCCCAGCTTACACAGATGTATGTATGTATGTATGTATGGATGGATGGATGGATGGATGTATGCATGTATGTATGTATGTATGTATGTATGTATGTATGTATGTATGTATGTACAGATCATTAATATAATATATATATATATATATATATATATGTATATATAGGTATGTATGTCGATATCATATTGCATTCGGATGCCGATTTGTAAGATAATGTATGTATTTGTTTCTTGGCTCCCCCTCTCTGTCCGTCTGTCCGTCTGTCTGTCTGTGTGTCTGTCGGTCTGTCTGTCTGTTTGCCTGTCTCTCTGTCTGTCTGTGTGTTTGTCTGTCTGTCGGTCTGTCTGTCTGTCTGTCTGTCTGTCTGTCTGTCTGTCTGTCTGTCTGTCTGTCTGTCTGTCTGTCTGTCTGTCTGTCTGTCTGTCTGTCTGTTTCTCTCTCTCTCTCCATCTTCCTTTCACGAACTCTCTCTAAGTCTATTTGACATGTCTGTACACTCGTACAGCGGTTTAAAATGTAGATGTTTTATGTAGAAGTAAGTATGCATCCATTCTCTCTTCTGTCCTCTCTCCTCTCTCCGCCTTCTTTTCCGCCTCGCCGTGCCGTATCCTTCGCTGGCCAGGCGTTTCTCCGTTGCGCGTTGCGGCGCAGCCTTTGATCTGCTCATCTACAGAGCTCCCGGGTAGTGATGTTATTGTCGCGCGGAGGATGTGGAAACACGGCCTCCCCTTACCCCTCTACCTCCTAATCTTCGTGCTCCGCCTTCTTCTCCTCCGCCTTCTTCCGATTTGCATCCTAGGCTTCCTCCTTCCCCCTCTCCGTTCCCCCCTCGTCGTCCTCTCGTTACCTCCGGCTTTGCCTTCACCTGCTCCTTCTGTTACGCTCCGTAGTTTTGTTAATCTTGTTATTGCTTCTCTCCCTCCCTCTCCACCTCTCGTGATGCCCCACCTTATCCTCTTCTCCTCAGCGTCTTCGTCTCCTTCCTCCTTCTCCGCCACTCGTTGCGCTGCTTCTCCTCCGTCCCCTCCATCGTCTACTCCTCGTCGCCCCCCCGTTGCGTTCAATCGGAAAAACCAGAAAGGGCCCTATGCGCGCATGGATGCTTTGGAGAAGTCCTAAATGCGAACGGCCGAGGGTCGCGTGCGTTCCCCCGGCCTCCGGCCCCCGTCCCCTTGCCGAGCCTTCTCCCCCGTCGTTGGGGGGGGGGGCGCTCAAAAGCCTGGCGCGGGACTTTCGTGGGGTCGCCTCGAAACCATAATTTGGAGAAGTGTCTGGCGATTCGTACTTTTGAGCGCGGTCCTCAAAAGCACGATCGGGCAAGTGTACTTCTGAGCGGAGGGGGGGGCACTCAAAAGTACGATCTGGGGCCGCTGGCCAGGGCCCTCGGAAACGCAGGGCGCGGGCGTCGCTGCGCGGCCGCGTCGGCGAGCCCAGTTGCTACGTACCCGAAAGTGCGTCTAAAAGTACGCTCAAATAATTCATTCGTTCGTAGCACCCTTTCTGGTTTGCCTTACTCAACCTTCCTCTCCTTCTGCTCGCCTTGTCACGCTTCACCCTTCTTCCCCCCTCCCCTTCCCAATCCTGTTACGGCCCGCCCTCGCCTGCTTCTTTGTTGATTCCTCGTCTCGGCAACTCCGCTTCACCTCCTCCCTCCTTCTCTCGTTGCAATTACGGCGGATGAGGGCGGCAATGATATCGACGGCTCAGCCTCAGCTGGAGTCCCCCCTGGCTTCCAGACCCTGGATTCCTTTCCCAAGGGTTCATCATCCAATGCCCCCCCACCGTAGTTCCCCTTCCTCTGAGGAAACCCAAAGATACCGATACCGCTACTCAACAGACCTCTCCCAGGATGCGTTCTGACTAGAATTTCGAGTCGAATCCAGTGGTGGCGACGAAGGCCTCCCAGGAGGCCCAAAGAGGCGAAAACGACTGAAGGGTAGCGGTATCGGTACCTTTTCCTCTTCTGATTTTCCGCCCCACTCCACGTCTTCCCAGTACGAAGCATATCTCTCCCAGACCGTCCCTCCCGTTTTTTTCTCCCTCCCCTGATCTCGGCACGCTCCCTCGTCTGCTCCTCCGCATCCGACCCTATTCAGAGCACGGCCACTCCCCGCTTTCCTCCTGACCCTGCTCATTCTCGTCCTCCCCCGCTTCGTCCTCGTCCTCCTCCTGCTCCTTCTCCTCCTGACCCTGCCCAGTCCCCAGGCGTACACTCCAGCCCCCCCCCGCTCCCCCTTTCCCCCGCTCCCCATCCATCTTTCTCTCTCCCCCCAGCCACGCACGACGACCACGACGCCGACGCCGAGCTCGACGACGAAGAGGAAGGCAAGTCGACGAATCACCGCCGACGCCGGCGCGCAGGTCCAGCGTCTGCTCCTGCAAGGAGGCGCGCCCGTCCACCCCAGGGCGCAAGGCCACGAAGGCCCAGGTCTCGGCGACTACAAAGGGTACTCCAGATTTCGTAATAAAAGGGAGGGGGTCTGGACCCTCCAAGACAAGCCATTTCAGACCCCCCCCCGTGGGAGAACCCTCCAAAACATCGTCCGCAGACCCCCCCCAGGCCCTCCAAGATAGCCTGGAAGAGACCCCCCCCGAAATGAGACCCCCCTCCCTTTATTACGAAATCTGGAGTATGGTTACGCCGGGGTGTGGTTTGCGATCGGCACCGTCGGGGCCTGGTGGGCACGACACCGTCCTCGTCGGGTCGGGGCGCGGCGGAGAGCTCCGTCGGAGGTCCTCGCCCGCCCCCCCCGCAGGGTGCCTCTCGGGGTGCCGGTTGCAAGCCACACCCTCTGCAAACCACACCCCTCGGAGCCGCCGGCAGGTCTCGGCGCAGGCCTCCCCGAATCGGAAGGAGCCAGACCAGAGGAAGAAGGAGCCCCCCGGCCTTCGGCAGCAACTCCTGGGAGCCTTGTATACCTTCTTCATGCCGCCTCGTGCACCAGCGTCGGTTAGCGTCTGGTATCCGATGACATAGCGCCGAGCCAGCGTCGATTAGCTCCGAGTCGCGTCGATTCAGAGTCGATTGGCGTCGACGAGCGTCGATTCGAGATTGCCAGCAAGATGCTAAAGTCGGACCGAGGTATAAGATCGAGGTCTGTTCGGGGAGGGTGCCCTATTGTTCTTCGTGTTTGCTGGATGCTCTTGTGCATCTTGGGGATGGTACTCTTGGATGCTCGGTGTGTTTCGGCCGATGGAGGGTCTCATGTTGAAGGATGTTCTGTTGTCCTAGGTCCAATTGTATGAGAGGACCCCATGAGTTGCCACCGGACCGACCGCCAGCCTGGCGCCGCCGCGGTCGTAGTCTCCTCCAGGGCGCGCCAGGATTGGCGGGGGCCAGCGCCGATACAAGAGATCGGCGCGGACTCCTTAATGCAGCCTTAGTGGATCGGGTCCTGTCCTTAATGGGCCCCAGAATCGGCCGGACTTTTTTTTTCCTCATCGTTTCCGAAACAGTGTCTCTTGAAAATGGAAATGGGAATTATTCCGACGGTAGGACCCCACATGAGAATATGTTTAGTTCGCCCCTCGAGTTGTTCTTGTCGCCCTGGCGGACGGCCTTCTATCGGCCTATGTTTCGCCTGCCCCTCCTCGTCATCTTCGCCCTCCGTTTCCTCGTTCTTCTCGTCTCCCCACTTCCTCCTTTCCTCCTCCTCCTCCTCCTCCTTCTCGTCGTCCCTATGTTCCTCCTCCTTCTCGTCCTCTTCCTCCTCCTCCTCCTCTTCCTCCTCATCCTCGCAACCCTCCTAATTCTCTCTCTCTCTCACTCTCTCTCTCACTCTCTCTCTCTCTCTCTTATATCCTCCTCCCGCCTGTTCTCTGCATGCAGCTCCGCTGCCTCGTGGCCGGGGCAGGTCGATTTTCCGCGGCGCCGTCGACGCCACGGCCAGCACGGGCGCGTTCTCCGACGGCTGGCTGGGTCACGAAACCGTCGGGGTAACCCTTCGAGCCAGCACGTTGGGACAACCCCGCGAGCGGCTGGGGCGCGAGATCATGCCGTTTGGACAACCCCGCGAGTATCGAGCTAGTCGCGGCCGCGCTCAGGCTGGAGGCAGCACGAAGTCCAGCTCTGCCGCGAGCTGCCCCGCCTCAGCCCTGGAGTCCACCGCTCTCTTGTCGAACTCCTCGAGCGCTTGCCGCGAAGACGCCGGCGGCCCTCGTTCCAGGAACTCTCGCGTGGGCGGCCGCAGGATCAGCATGTTCCACATGCACGCGGCGTGGGAGAACATGACGTAGAGCGAAGCCACCGTTGCTCGTCCGACGTGACCGTGCGACCAGCGTCATCATCCCGTGCGAGGCGGAGAAGGTGGAAGGTGGGTGAGGTTGCTGCGCGGGGGGTGTCCAGAGAAAACAAAATAACCATTCAGGATGTTAGAAAAAAACGGCAACTGGAAGCAGCGAAACAAAACGGCTCCGGAATCGAAATCGGTACCGGAACCGGCAAAAACACGGCGACGGAACCAGAAAAAAAAACAGCGCGGGAATTGCCAGACAATTTACAATCGGCACAGGGACCCAATTGCCTTGTCGATTCCAAGTACCAATAAGCGGTCTGCCTAGTGTTTTCGACGATCCTCGGGACGCGCGGCGGCGTCAAAGGGCTGAGGACTGATCAGGGGTGTGTTATGATATCATGGCCTGAGCCATGGGATCTCCCCAGGTTTCACGGCCATCTCTTTTATTTTTAATGCGTTCCTTGGCCCCCCCCCACCCAAATTTGATCGCAATCGGTCCCGGACCCTTCCTGGGGTCTTTTTTTACCCGTGTTTCGAGGCGGATGCGCCATAGTGGCGAGAAGCTTCCAGAAGGTAAAATGCAAGCAAACGTGTCAGGGAGGGCGGCATCCGCCGATCTGATTTTTTCAATACGCGGCCCCAGAGGTCCCGACCCATTCCATGGATCAGTTTGTGATCCTGGATCCATGTTTGATGGCCCAGGGGCCGAGAACGGATCCCGGGAACCGAAATTGATCTAGGCCTCTTAGACGGGGTCCGAGTTGACGGGGTCGGAGGATCGCGCCGCATCGCCGATGCATTGGCGATGCGGCTCGATGCGGAGCCCGATTTTCTCAACGCTTGCGTCGCCGATGCGCCGCCGACGTCGGCGATGCATCCACGATGCGTCGTCGATGCATTGACGATGCGGCGCGGTCCTCTGACCACATCTATTCGGACCCCATTTGGGAGGCCTCGAATTGAGGAACAGCGCCCCAGCTGAAGAACAGCGTCGTCGGAGAGATCCACTCAAAAACTGTTTTCGGACCCCTCACGCGGCCCATCCTCGCCTGTTTTGTGAGGCGTTGGGGGCGGACAGAAACCCCACCTTGACGCGTCGATTAGTGAATTGTCCGTTTTCGGTCATCGAGAGGGCGCCGCGGTCGTCATTTTCGAGGTTTGCGCCCGCCAGGTTTGGGCCCGAGGTCGTTTACACGGAACCTCGTTTTCACAACAAGGGGCTCTATCCATCCCCGAATGATGGGCCTGTCCTCCACCACCACCACCACAAGTTGGAGGGGGAGGGGGTCCTCCTCCTCCTTTTCGTCCTCCTCCTCCTCCACCTCCATCTCCACCTCCTACTCCAGATTTCGTAATAAAGGGAGGGGGGTCTCATTTCGGAGGGGGTCTCTTCCAGGCTATCTTGGAGGGCCTGGGGGGGTCTGGGGACGATGTTTTGGAGGGTTCTCCCACGGGGGAGGTCTGAAATGGCTTGTTTTGGAGGGTCCAGACCCCCGCCCTTTTATTACGAAATTTGGAGTACTTATGGTGGTGGTGGTGGAAAACAGGCCCATCACCGAAGGCGGACCAGGCCACAGCAACGAGAAGCTTCCAGCAGCGCCAAAGAAAGGACGAGCAAACCACAAGGGAAGGCCGCCGTTGCCTCGGCTGGCCCTCGCGCCCCCCCTCCTATCCTCTTCCTATCCTTCAGACTGGCACGTCCCTCTACAGTCCTCCTCCTCCTCCTCCTCCTCCCTCCTCCTCCCTCCCCCTCCTCCTCCTCCTCCTCCTCCTCCTTCTCCTCCTCCTCCTCCTCCTCCTCCTCCTCCTCCTCCTCTTCCTCCTCCTCCTCCTCCTCCTCCTCCTCCTCCTCCTCCTCCTCCTCCTCTGGGGGCCATCTTGGGCCGTCTGGAGGCGCTCCTTGACCGTCTTGGGCGCTCGGTGGGGAGCTCCGGGAACGTCTGGGGGTTGTTTGGGGCGTTGCGGCCGCTCCCGAGGGCCACGCGGCGCACCCCGGGGCGCCAAGAGCGCCGGGGAGATGTGCGGTCGGGGCCCTCGAGGTATTGCAATGCTGGCGCGAGCCTTGGGGCGCTCCGCTTCGTGCCGGTTCGCCGTGGTGCGCCATGCTGTGCTCAAGTATGCTCGTTTTTTGGCTGTTGTGTCGTGTGGCGTGATGCTGGGTTATGTGTGCTCCGTTCTGCCATTGCGTGCGTCATGCTGATCTGGCCTGCTGTGTTATGACCTGCTGTGGTACGTCTACGCTGTCACTGTGGGGTGGTATGGTGTAGTACGACCTGCTATGCTATAATGTTTTGTTTTGGGTCGCGACCTATCCTGGCATGCATTGTATTGTTATGAGATGCCATGTGATGTGATGATGCGCGATGGTATGATGTGATCTGTCATTGTGTGGTGTGTTATGCTGTGAATTGGTATGTCGAGCTTTGTTGTGTTATGAGATGGTGAGTCATGTCACAGGGTGCGCTGTTATGGTATGTCTTGTATGCTCCATCATGTCATAGCTTACGGTGTTATTATATGATATGTGCTGCTATGGTATAATATGTTAAGCCGCGCCCTCTCATGCTACGATTTGTCCATATTTGACATGGTATGTGCTGTAACGGTGTAGTGTACTATGTTTTGTTCTGAAATGGTATGTGAGGTTATGCTGTGCTATACCATGGTATGGTACATCGTATGTTACAGCTGTGGGGTCATGTTCTACTATAGGTGCTCCGCTCTGTCACAGTATGCGTTGATATGTTGTGCGGTGCTACTGTATGTTATGGCATGTTATGCAGTTATGCGCTATGCAATGGTTTGGCGTGTTCAGTGTTGCTATGCCTGTGTTATGCCATGCGTGTGTTATCATGCCATGTTTTGTTAGATGCTTCGATGCTATGCGATGGTAGGTTATGTTATGTCATGTGCACCATGGCGTAATATGTTCTATTATGGTATGACATGGTATGTATTGCTATGGTATGTTTTATTGGACGGTGTTATGCTCTGTTACGTGTGGTCCGTCTTGTCGCAGTTGTTGATGTTATGGTATGCTGCGTCTTGCGTTTTTGTATTATGTTGTACCGCGCTCTGTCATGTTATGATGTGTCATGATGTCCAATGTTCTGTGCTGTGCTATTGAAGGCGCTAGGCGGGAAACTCAGGGGATGACAGGTGGACATGGGGATCAGGCGGCCACGGTATGCAGATTTGGCGGGTCGGCGCGAGGCGGGACACCCGGGGTACACTCGGTGGACCTTGGGATCTGGCGGCCGCGTTGTGCAAACTGGGCAGTTCGGGAGGCTTGTTTTTCTATAATCTAACAACCCGAACCTGGCGGGTGAGAAAAACAGCGTGCGGGCCTCCTAGAGATTATGTTTAATCAGTGTGCTGTTCCTCTGGTTCGGGCTCTCGTGGGGTGTTCCGCGTGAGTATCTGGAGGCGCCTCGGAGGATTCCTGCCCCCTCCCTGGGAGCGTTGTGAGGGCCCCTTGCAGCCCTCTTGGGCGGTCACGGTGCGCTTTTCTTGAAACAAGGATTGCGGCATGAACGCACGTGCTCGGCTCAAGGATGTCGAGCTGGGGATGTCTCGACCGAGCAGGGGGAAAGCTGGGTGTATTGAGCGAGAGGCGCCTTTCCTTGCCCTGTTCTCGTTCCCTGTTCCCTGACCCGCGAAAGGTACGAACGTTTCCTGGAAGTCCAAGCCCTGACCCCACGTCCGGGTTTTCGCCCTGAGTTGTTTTGTTGTCGGCCCCGAGGCCCAGCAATGCCCCCCGTAAGCAAACAGTAGACAAGCGGTCCGTCTTATTTCTTTTTGTCACGACGCGAGGGGTCGGGGCCTTTGGTTCCCTGCTCCCTGGTCTATCCACATGCACGCAGAGCAACTGCGTTGTCGATGTACTGCTCAGGTCACGGCTCATGGCATGAGTTTGTGCATTGCAGGTCGGCTTAAGCGGTGTTCTCGGTCGGCCGAGCGACCTTTTGATTCGCGATGTGGTTTTGCCACCCTTGGTGCTCCGCGTGGAAAGAGATGCCCTGCTCCTTGCCCCCCCCCCTTGCTGTGTTTCGAGGAGGCCGAGCTGAGGGCCGCCGTCGCAGAGGCGAACCGCCTCGGGGAGCTGTGCGAGGGTCTGCGGGAGAAGTCGCTGCAGGACCAGGCGGCGCGCTCCAACTGACGTGGGCCCAGAGGCACACAAATAAACTGGCACAACTTCCAGGATGCACAGTACGTAGCACCCCAGTTGCGGATCAGAGTGAGGGGTCGGGCGCGGGGTGTGTCGCGGGGTGTGTCGGGTCGCGGGTTGGGTCGTGGGGTGTGTTGCGGGTTGGTCGCGGGCAGGTCGCGGGCGAGGATGACGACATCGCGATCACAACGTTCATTTCAAGATTGCTCGATCTTATCTGCACGCGTGCCACTCAACACAACATGTATATCCCAAACCCTCGATACCCGCCCTCTTCGTCTTCGGCCGATCTTCCTTACCTGCCACGTCTAGTGGAAGGGACAAGTGGGAGGGAGAAGGATGGATGGAGGACGCGAGAGACTAGCGGGAGGGGGTTAGGAACAGGGGACCAAGCGGCAGAACCAGACGGGCAGGTCGGGCGGGCGGACTTTGATGGGCGGGTCGGGCGGACGGGCCCAGCCGGCAGGGTCGAGCGGGCAGGTCGATGAAGCATCAGTCCTGTATGCATCGCGAGGAGCTCTCGAGCGATAGCGCGATCCCGTCAGGAAGTCCAGAGCGAGAGCGTGATTTTTGAGTGCCGAGGGCGCGGCGTTTCAATACATTGGCAGGCTTCACGCGAGGGCGCGACTCATGGACAAATTGTGAGGAAGTCCAGCACGAGAGCGCGATTTTGAATGCAGTGTGAGGTGGTACCTGGCGGGACATGGGGGGCAATATGTGCCTGAAGATTTGCCCTTGCAGAAATCCAGGGTGCATGCCCCGAGATTGGCACTTCAATTGAAAAACATCGTGGGCACCGAAAGGGCTATCAACAACAATTATTTTCTAGAAATGGTAACTCAACAACAGCACCACCAGCAACAACATCAATAATGCTGACTGGTCGCTCTTATCTGCTCGCGTGCCATTCAACACGTATATCCCAAACCCTAGATACCCGCCCTCTTCATCTTCGACCGTGCACCCTTAGGGACAACAACAGCAATAACAACTATACCAATCAGTTCAATACTGTTCGCTCTTATCTGCTCGCGGGCCAGCCGACACGTATATCCCAACCCCTCGATACCCGGCTTCTTCGTCTTTCGTCGTACGCCCTTTGGGTGTGTATAAAGGACAGTGCGCAAGAATTTGAGGCAAGCTGATTTTTGTTATTCGATCCGTGTCATGGTGAGATATTTGGTGATGACTTTGCGTAGCCAGCCAGGCATCACAAGGCCGTCGGAGTGCGATGTATTTTCTTCTGGTCATCATGAGTCGGATTAACTTTCCGAATGGGTTTGGGCGCACAGAGATGATGGCGATGCAGTAACTAACGAGATGCTTTGGCAGCGCACCCCATTCTATGAGTAGCAAAGCAACACACGCAGTCACATTGATCAGCGTTGTCTGAAGAGAACGAGTCATTCCAGTCAGTGTGGATAACCGTCGGCGGCGAGCCCAGGGGGGAGGTGAGAAGGGGTGCGCCTTCTCAGAAGGCTCGAAAGTCCCCCGGCCTTCTGAAAGAGTGTTCTGAGCCTTCCCCGAAGACGCAGCAGTCCTTTCAGAAGGCGCGAGGGGCTTCGCAGAAGTCCCGCCGCCTTCTGAGAAGGCCGTCTTCTTCTCGCTCCCCCCCCCCCCGCGCTCGCCACCGAAACTGGCGCGCGCCGGCAGGGGCGGAGTGTGAGTTCCTTTGACCGCCACCTCATCAAACGGTCCACCGTGCCACGCCGGGCGCCAGGCGCCAGCCGAGCGCCTCACGGCCGAGGGGGGCAGGGGGGCATGCAAGCTGCGGATGCAGCCATGTCGGAGCCCATTCCGGTCAGACGGATCTTCCCGCCACGTCCTTGCGCAGCAGGTGGAGTTGACATTGCTCGGAGGTGTGCATTGTTTCGGCGAGGGCCATCGGGGAGCACTTCGGGTCATCTGGCGAACAAGTACGCGCACGAATTCAGAAAATGCACTGGGAATGGACGCCGGAGCGATTGCGAGTTTCCGATCAGACGAATCATCCCACCACTTCCTTGCGCAACAATTGGAGGGGATGAAGGCATGTGTGCCTTGCCACATTGGCAAGTCTTGAGCTGTTAGCCGACCGAAAGAAAGTCCACATGCGTTTTTCGTGGACGCCGCGAGCGCAGCCGAAGTGGACGAAATGGTGCGCGTCTTCGTTTTGCGACCACGTCGCGGCATGTGGGGACGCTCGGGGCCGAGTGCCCACCAAAAGAGCAAGCGCCGTCGAGCGCAGCTGGATGCTGGTCTCGTGGAGACGCCGCGTCTGCATCAGCGAGCACGAGTTGTAATCAACGACCGACAGGTGCTTCATGGACTCACCCTGAGAGCCCTGCACAAGGAGCTCGGCCTGCCAGTGTGCGGCCCCTCCCAGGCCCATCAGGAGAAGCGAGATGTAGTTCACTGTGGAGAGAGCGTCCAGGCGCCCACATCACTGTTCGACCTCTCCTGAATGGGCTGCGGATGGAGGGCGAGGTGGAGGAGGAGGAGGAGGAGGAGGAGGAAGAGGAGGAGGGGGGGCTCCAGTTCAGACCCGCCCCGCTGCCTCCAGGGGGAGGGGGGGCCTGACTGCCGGAACGCCCTCGGAGCGCGAAGCCGCGCCTGCGCGTGCGAGCGCCGCGAGGCGGCCGCCGAGGGCGCCCGGGCGGAGGCCTCCGCACTGGAGCAGCGGCTGGCCGCGCTGCAGCTGCAGGCCGCCCCTCGGCGCCGCGCCCGCCTGTAGCGACGACGGCGACGGCGACGGCGACGACGACGGCGACGACGACGACGGCGGCGACGACGACGACGACGGCGGCGGCGGCGGCGGCGGCGGCGGCGGCGACAACGACGGCTGCCACGACGACGGTGGCGACGGCGACGGCGACGACGACGACGATGGCGACCGCGACGCCCCAGGGTGACTGGCAAGCTGGGCACTTTTGCCTCGCCTTCGGCGGGGGCCCTCCGCGGCGGCCCGCCGCGGCGGCCCCGGGGCCCTCGGCGCCGGCGGTTCGCCTCGGGCGGCCCGCCTGCGGAGGCCCGCCGCCCCGATGCCCTGGCGTCTGCATGCTTTCGAGCCGGGCTTGTCCACCCAGTTTCGGGCCCCGAGCTTCTCACGGCAATGTCGGGGGCGGTCACGAGGGGGGGGTGGATATCTTGGCGGTGGCCATGAGATCTCCCCAGATTTCACTACTGATTTGCCCCCTTTTGGGCACCCCCTTCCTGGGCAATGACGTCGGTGATCGGCCCTCCCCCCACTCCCAGATCACGTCACGCTATTGTGCCAACGTCTGCAAGGATGTCCTACCGATTCTTCGAGAACTTCCTCAGATTTCCGGCGCCCTCCCTCCCCGTAATGTGATCGGGGGGTACGAACTCCCCCCCCTCCCCCGATCACCCCCGCTCTCGCGCGTAACAAAAACAGGCACAAACCTCGACCAAACCAAGCCACGCAGTGTATACATCTTTGTGCATTCGCTTGCAAGGGTGACCCTGGGCAGGAGTGACGTCTGGTGGGCCAAGGCCACACCCAGATTCAGGCACGCAGGCCAAAGTTGGGGCCGCCCCTGTGCCCTGGACCTCCACCTCCCGAACCTTTGCTGCGCAGTAGGTCCCGCAACGGCGCCTCCGCGGCGACCGGCGAGACCGCCGTTGTGGCCTCGACGGCGGCCGCCTTTGCGGCCGCGCTGCGCTGGCGGGAGTGCCGGCACGGCCTCCCCGGGCCCGTGCCTCCCTAGCGTGCGTCCCTGCCGTGCGCGTTGGCTGCACCTCTCTCCTGCAGCCCGTCGCCTCGACGGGCGCGGCGGCCCGCCATGTGGATCTTGTCAGTTTTCCTGTTGCCAGGGTGAGGGCGTCCGCGATGCCATATGAATGTTGTTTTCTGGTGACTGGTCACTGACTACTTATCAATATACACCTTTGTATGTGTAAGATTTTGCGTGTTGCTACTTTCTCTGACTTTCCTTCCCTTTCTTCTCCCTTTCTTCCCTTTCCTTTTACTTTTCCTGACTGTTGTTTACTTTTCCTTCCCTTCCCTCCCTTCCTTCCCTTCCTTCCCTTCCCTTCCCTTCCTTCCCTTCCCTTCCCTTCCCTTCCTTCCCTTCCTTCCCTTCCCTTCCTTCCCTTTCCTTCCCTTTTCCTTTCCTGACTTCCTTCCCTTCCTTCCCTGACTTCGGCGGCCCACCTCTCGGCGGCCCTCCGCGGCGCCCCGAGCGGCCCCCGCGGCGCGGAGGGGCCGCGCTCCCGCGGCGCGCGCCCGCGCCGCGGGGTGCTCCACGGGGGGGCCCCTCGCGGCGGGCCTCGGAGGTCCGAGGGGCGAAGTTTTGACGCCGGCGGCGAAGACGCCGCGGCGGGGACGACGACGACGACAGGTGCGAAGACGCCGACGGCGGCGACGACGACGACGAACACGGCTACGACGTGGCCGGGGACGGCGGCGGCGGCCGCGGCGGCGATGGATACGACCGTGACGTTGACGAGGACGTCGGCGGCGACGCCCAGGACGACGGCGATGTTGACGCCGCTCCCTGCAGTCGGCCTGCACAGCAAGCGTGGGCGACGTTCCCAGGGGTGCCCCTTGCATGTCTTGCCTCCTCGGCCCATCCCTTGCCGCTTCCGTTGGCCGCGCCCCGCTCGGAGAAGCTTCGACACCGGCCATCCAAGGCCCCTTGCATCCTTGCTGCGCGTCCTTCTCTCTATACGGGTTGACTGCAACCACCGCCTGGGGGACGGATCTTCGCGGACCTCCGCAGGCGGCGTGTATGGATATATTCGGGCCCCCGGGGGCCCAAATACATCCAGATTCGACGCCCGCTGGGGCACCGGGACGTCGGTTCCCAGGCGATGGATCTGGACAAGTCCTCGTGGCCGCCCAGGCCTCCAGCGCCGCCCGTGCCGCTCGCGCCACAGCAGTGGGGCACAAGCCGTGCTATCGACGCCAAAACGTGTAGGTCCGCGCGGGTTCCTCGGATCGGCGCTCTGCCTCCCTGGCGGCGGCTCCGGCGCCGCCCCCTGGCGCGCCCCGCGCGCCTGGCGCCGATGCGGGAGATCCGCGCGGACCTCCGAGTTTTATGTGGTGTGTCATTTCAGGAGGGGAAGAAACACACAGACACAATGAATCGTCGACTCCCAGGAAAATGTGGGAAAATATGGGAATTGGGGGGGAAGACAAAAGCCAAGAAAATATGGGAAAGTATGGGGAATCATTTTATTTGTGTGTATTCATTTGCGTGTCCTGGGGCCCCTTGATCTTTGCCTGTTGCCGCACGTAAAGGGCGCCCGTGTGGGAGCGGCGGCCATGGCCGACGCGGGGTCACAAAAAGCCCCGTCGGGGCACGGGGCCCATGCGGGGTCTCACAGCGGCCCCGTGAGGCTCCCGGGGGCTCCCCCCCGGTTGCTCCCGCGGGGGGTCGCATGCTGTCTGCCAGCACGGGTGTGTGGCTGCCGCAGGCTGGTCACGCTACAAGATGCACGCGGCCGAGAATCATGGGGTCGCAGGATCGCGCCGCATCGCCGATGCATCAGCGATGGGGCTAGATGTGAAGCCCGACGTTCTCCACGCCGACTGCGCCGATGCATCGCCGAGGTCGCCAATGCATCGCCGATGCCGATGCATCGGCGGTGCGCCGCGATCCTCCGACCCCATGATTCTCGGACCTCATCTAGGAGGCCTCCACTGTATACAGCAGGTTTATTGCCCCCCCCCATAGTTGCCGTTCGGGCTTTGGTGTGATCGCGCGGTTTTGGGACTCGGGTCGTTCTTTAAGGATGTGTTGGGCGATTAGGGCCTCTGAAGTCCCGAAACGGTGCGGTCCACACCGTGTGACGAGTCATTGGGGATTATGTGTGAGTGCGCGGTTCTGGGACTCGGGTCGTTCTCCAAGGATGCTCCCCCTTCTACTGACCTGCCCCTCCTCTCTCTCCTCCCCGCTTTTCCTCGTTATCATTTGGTCTTCCTCCGCGTCCCTCATTGCCTCCCTCAGTTCCGTGTTGCCTTCGCTCTTACTCTCTCGCTCTCGCTCTCTCGCTCTCTCTTTCTATCTCGTTTTCTCTCTCTCTCTCTCACTCTTTATTTCTCTCTCTCTCTCTCTCGCTCACTGTCTCTCTCTCTGTCTCTTTCCCTCGATCCCCTTTTCCGCCCCTCCCTCCACCCCTCTCTCTTTCTTTTCCAGTTTATCGTTCTCTCTCTCTCTCTGTCTCTCTCTCTCTCGCTCGATATACCTATCAATATCTCTCGTTCTCTCTTTCTCTATACATCGTTCTCTCAGGAAGTGTGTTCTTCCTTTCTCTCTCTCTCTCTGTCTGTCGCTTTCTCTCTCTCTCTCTATAGATAAAGGTGCGTGTATACATATATCCTATAACAAATAAGCACCATGAATACATCTCTCCTCTCTCCCCTGACTCTGTGCGGAAGATGCTTGGCTCTCTCTCTCTCTCTCTCTCTCTCTGTGTTTCTTCCTTCCCCACGGTATTGCAAGCGTTTTTTCCAAACCATCTTGTGGTGTTGGGTCTTCGTTTTGAAGAGGCGGTCCCCGCGTTCTCCTTCTCTCCTCCTCTTCCCCCTCCTCCTCCTCCACCGTCCGCATGCGTCCCGCACACCCAGTACAGCGTTTCGTGGCCCTCCTCCCCCTCCTCCCTGCGTTTCACCCACCCAGTACAGGGTTTCGGGGCCCCATAGGGAGCCCCACCGAAGGTCCCAGTGCTACCGTCCGCATGCGTCCCGCACACCCAGTACAGCGCTTCGTGGCCCCATAGGGAGCCCCACCGAAGGTCCCAGTGCTACCGTCCGCATGCGTCCCGCACACCCAGTACAGCGTTTCGTGGCCCCATAGGGAGCTCCACCGAAGGTCCCACTGCTACCGTCAGCATGCGTCCCGCACACGCAGTACAGCGTTTCGTGGCCCCATAGGGAGCTCCACCGAAGGTCCCAGTGCTACCGTCAGCATGCGTGCCGCACACCCAGTACAGCGTTTCGTGGCCCCATAGGGAGCGCCACCGAAGGTCCCAGTGCTACCGTCCGCATGCGTCCCACACACGCAGTACAGCGCTTCGTGGCCCCATAGGGAGTTCCACCGAAGGTCCCACTGCTACCGTCAGCATGCGTGCCGCACACCCAGTATAGCGTTTCGTGGCCCTCCTCCCCCTCCTCCCTGCGTTTCACCCACCCAGTACAGGGCTTCGGGGCCCCATAGGGAGCCCCACCGAAGGTCCCAGTGCTACCGTCCGCATGCTTCCCGCACACTCAGTACACAGTTCGTTGCCCCATAGGGAGCCCCACCGAAGGTCCCAGCGCTACCGCCCGCATGCGTCCCGCACACCCAGTACAGCGTTTCGTGGCCCCATAGGGAGCTCTTCCGAAGCCCAATTTGGCAAATTCACCCAACCAGTACAGCGATTCGTGGCCCCATAGGGGGCTCCACCAAAGGCCCCAGTGCCACCGTCCGTATGCGTCCGGGAAGTGTGATTTGGCATTTTCACCCGCGCAGTGCAGCGGTTCGTGGCCCCATAGGGGGCTTCACCGAAGCCCCCAGTGGGACTGTCCGCATGCGTCCCGGTAACCCAATTTGGCTTTTTCACTCACTCAGTAGAGCGCTTCGTGGCCCCATAGGGAGTTCCACCGAAACCCTCAGTGGGACCGTCCGCATGCGTCCCGGAAACCCAATTCGGCACACCACCCACACAGTACAGCGTTCCCCCCCGCCCAGTGCATCGCTTCGTGGCCCCATAGGGAGCTTCACCGAGGCAGATATTCACAATTACGGTACCCACAACTGCATATGCTTGGGACCTTCGCCAGGATCATTTGATGTGTATGTGCAATCCATTTGGTTCAGTGTTTCGAAAGGCTGCTTCCGCTGCAGCTTGGGTCTCATCTTTCGAGTCGGCGCTGTGCTCTCGTCGTTCAGAATGGCGCTCTCGACCCGGCGCGTTCTACTGTTCTGGATCCGAGCCTTTTTTCATCGCTGTCGCCCGTTCGTTTCCCCTCCTGGACCTTCCCCTGGTCCTCCTGCCCATCCCGCTCCTTCCACTCCGGTTCCTGCTGCTGCTGTTCGCTCGTCCTCCTGCTCACCCACCACTTCTTCTTCTCCTCCTCCTCCTCATCCTCATCCTCATCCTCATCCTCATCCTTCTCCTCCTCATCCTGTTCCTTCTCCTCCTCCTCCTCACCCACCACTCATTCTTATTATCCTTCTCCTGTTCCTCCTCCTCCTCCTCCTCCTCCTCCTCCTCCTCCTCATCATCATCATCATCATCATCATCATCATCATCATCATCATCATCATCATCCTCCTCATCCTTCTCCTCCTGTGCACGCTGTGCCCGCTGCGCCTCGACGCGGGAACCACACATTAAGGCATCGTGCATGGCAAGGTGAGGAGGCCGTCGAACGAGAGGGAGGCTTTTGTCAAGGACAAGGTGAGGAGGTGGGCGGAGGACGCGGACAACGTGCTCACGTGCTTCGGAGTGTCCAACCATCTTGCTGAGTCTTTCCCTTGCCCTCTTCAGTCGGGTGGTGTGCAGGCCGAATTGGTTTCCCTTCCTGACGGGGACTCCACGCTCGACAACGCTTTCGCCGGGGATACATTCACGGACGGGTCATGCAGCAAGAGGGTTATTCCCGAACTCGATCGTGCGGGTTGGGCTTTCTCGCTCCGGCATCGTGACACAGGTCTCGAGGTCGTTAGAGTGCGGGGGCCAGTCCGGCCCCCGTGTCCACAGACGGCGCAGGCCGCTGATTTCTACGCTTACTCGATCGCACTGCAGTTGTCGAGTGGTCCTTTCGAGTTGTTCATTGGCGGTAAAGCCTGCGTCGATTTTCATGCCATTCCGTGGGAAGAGCACTGCTCTCCTAAGCGCGCGTACTCTGGAGTTGCTGAATCAATTTTGTCGAGGTTTGTCCCAGCGGTGCAAAGTGCACAAAGTCAAGGCCAACCAGTCCATCGAACGGGCCGAATGCAGCTGGGATCTCTACTCGCGTGAAGGTAACGATGCTGCCGGCGCTTCGGCGAAGCAAGCTGCGTTGATCCACCCGCAACCCGACGGCACGGACGTTGAGGATGTAGATTGCAAGCTGGCCATTGCGAGAGCTGTGGGTATTATGGTCGCGAAGCTCTTACCCCTGTGGCGGCGGCTCGACCTAGGGCCGAACGTGCAGAGGGTCCCTGTTGCCGCTCCGGCGAGCAAAGGGCAGGGTCGCGGGCGTCGGGATCCGTGGCGTGGATGCTCCTGCGTTTTGTGTTCTGGGGCACAACATGCTCTGTCATGACGCCTCGGACTGCAGTTTTGTTTTTGTGTGCCTCAAGTGCATGTTCGAGGCTCCGACAGCTCTACACTGGAGTTGGGCAGGTTCGAGGCCTCTGACAGCCCTGCCAGCCGATTTCGAAGGCTGCAGCTCAGTGTCGGAAGCGCGCCTGGAGGCAGATTGCGAGGGAACGGCACCCCAAGCGCGGAGGCGTCGCGGTCTCTGTTGGCCCCTGGGCCAATATGGAGGAGGAGGTGGCCACCGCTCCCTCGGTTGAGCTCCCCCCCTTCGGCCGTGGAGGAGGAGGATGCTCGCGAGAGGCGCTGGGCTGATTTGGCCCAGCGCGTCCTCTCGGCTGCCACTTCCAGCCTGCCTGAGGATCTTGGGCGTCGGTGGCCAGAGCCAGATTCCTCACCGCGGAGACAACGACACGGATTAGGCATCTAGGAACCTGCTCCAAACTTGTCTGGTCAGATGGTGGGGTCGGGGGTCGAGTCCTTTTCCGGGGTTGCCCCGAGTCAGTGCCCGCCCCGCCTTACCTTGCGGTGTCTGGTTGGTATTGACCTTTTGTTCCTTTTTGTGCGTTCCTGGCTTGTGCTAGCACGCTTCTCCCCTTGCCGCGGTGGCAGCGGCACCGTTCAGACATGTAGGGGGCTGCCCCATGCTTGTCTGAGTGTATGGTGGAGTTGTGGGTCGGGTCCTGTTCCAGGGTTGCCCCGATACAACACCCGCCCGTTCTAGCCTAGAACGGTCCCGTTCTTGGCTCGAACGGGGCCGTTCTACTATAGAACGGGGTCGTTCTAGTCTAAAGCGGCCCCCTTCCTGCACTGGTGGCACCAGGCAGGGCTTCATTTGTTGTTTATTATCGCTCAGCCTGTGTGCGCGGGTGTAAACTTCGAGCCTGCATGTTATCGTTTGGGTTTGTTGTTGTTTTGCCTCTGGGGGTTCTCCCCCCTGATGTGAGGTGCGGGCTGCATGCTGCGCTGCGGCAGAAAACTCCTTCTCCTCCTCCTCGTCCTCCGTACGCAGTTCTCTTTATCCGATTGCCGTCCGTTTGGGGGTTTCAGGTCGGCTATGACACGCGTCCGCGCATAAAGAGAAAACAGCCCCAAACATGGGGAGGGATGGGAGGGAGGTATTTGAAATCAGATATGGCGCGAGCGCACCCAGCTTGCCTCTCTCCGCTTTCCCCTTCGCCCCCGTTCTTCTTCCCACTCTCCTCCCCCTATCCTCTCTCCTCTCTCCCTCTCCCCGTTCCTCCTCCCCCGGGGGCACCCGGAGACCCAAATAGAGCCAACGCGCGGGAAACAGACGTCGATCCTCCGTCCTCGCCCCGCCGTCCCATGGATCGGACGAGACAGCAGCTCTCCTCGCCCCAACGCTCACTCGACTTCTCCTGTTTCGTCGGGCGGTCGTGTCTAGGTGCGTTTTGGGGGATAACGTTGTCGGCCTGGAATCAGCTCCCTGTCGACATCCCCGGGCGCCGAACCTCCACCCCTCGACCCGAGGAGGAAGACGAGGAGGAAGACGAGGAGGAGGAGGAGGAGGAGGAGGAGGAGGAGGAGGAGGGGGAGGAGGGGGAGGAGGAGGAGGAGGAGGAGGGAGGGAGGTAGCAGGGAGGAGGGAGGAGGAGGAGGAGGATGAGAAGAGGAGGAGGAGGAGGAGGAGGAGGAGGAGGAGGTGCCGCCGCCCTGGGACCGAACCACCCCGGGAGCTTCCGCGGCCGCACCCTCCGCCGCCGCGGGCGCGGCAGCATGCTGCTCTCGCGCCTGCCCCCTGCCGTCGCGGAGCGCATCACGCCCCTGCTCCTGGGCGAGTCCCGCCGCCTGGAGCTCCTCCCCGGGGGAGGAGGGGGAGGGGGAGGGGGAGGAGGGGGAGGAGGAGGAGGGGAAGGAGGAGGAGGGGGAGGAGGAGGAGGAGGAGGAGGAGGAGGAGGAGGAGGAGGAGGGGGGAGGAGGAGGGAGGAGGAGGAGGAGGAGGAGGAGGAGGAGGAGGAGGAGGAGGAGGAGGAGGAAAGGAAGCGCGGGCCCACATCTCCGACGAACTGTTTTTGTTCCAATCCTGGCGCGTTTCCTGGATTTCGGTCCCTGGGGTCCGTTGTCGGGCGCCGGGGCCATCAAGCATGGATCCGGGACGGGACAAAGCGCTGTCCCCAGGGAAGGGGTCCGGACCACTCGGGCCGCGCATTGGGAAAGACATATCTGCGGATGCCTGGGAGCGCAGGAGCAGGAGCAGGAGGAGGAGGAGGAGGAGGAGGAGGAGGAGGAGGAGGAGGAGGAGGAAGCGGGAGATGAGGCATTTTTCTCACAAGGCGGCTGGGCTTATCGGAGGCCCTCCAGCCTGCTGGCTTCTGAGAAGCCCTCGGTGGCTTTGGAGGGGGCTTCTCAGACGGCCGGAGGTCTTCTAAGCCTTCTGAGGGGCCCGCCTCCTCTGCATCCCCCCCCCAGTCGCGCCGCCGAGTGTAGGAGGAGGCGGAGGATCGAAGTCCTACCTCTCTCCCCGCATCACAAGGAGAAGGGTGATGATGATGAAGAGGAGAAGCGGGAGTGGAGCCGGAGAAGGAGGAGTTGGAAAGAGGATCGCCCGGGTCGAGGTTGTCGACCCCTGTTGGGGCGCCCTCGTCGCCATGGCTGTGTTCGCTGATGGTTCTGCTGTTGTTGATGATTGTAATACTGGTGATGATGATGACGGTGGTGGTGATGATGATGATGCTGATGCTGAGAAGGAGGAGGAGGAGGAGGAGGAGGAGGAGGGAGAGGAGGAGGATGAGGAGGAGGAGGAGGAGAAGGAGGATGGAGAGGATGAAACGCAAAGGAACAGCAGGACAAATGGATGAGAAGGGGAGGAAGAGGAGGAAAGGTGTTGGACGGACGGAGCAGGAAACGGAGGAAGATGAGGCTGATTTTCTGGGCCTCCTAGGATTCCCTCCCGACGCAGCGGCGGAATGCGCTGACCATCAAGTACGAAGGACGCAGACCTCCCACGTCGCAAGAAAGAAACTGTTCTCGAAAGTGTCTTCAGCCTCTCAAGAGGTTTTGGAGGTCTGCGGGGCTTCCCTGGAGGTTCTCGGCCCCCGAAGGAGTGTTTTTTTCCAGCGGCCGTTCTCCAGAACAGCGCCAGGGTCCGGCTTGGAAATGGCGAAGGAGGCCCAGACCGCTGGCGCTTCGTGACGAGATCACCCTTCCCTCCCTCCCTCCCTGCCCCCCCCCCCCTTCCCTCCCTACACCTTCCCTCCCTTCCTTCCCTCCCCCCCTTCCCTCCCTCCCCCTTCCCTCCCCTCCCTCCCTCCCTCCTCCCCCCCCTCCTCGGCCGCCCCTCACTGCCGCTGGGCTTCTTCGCTGGGCAAAAGGATTTGAAGAGACCACGGCGGGCGTCTCCTCCGCATCTCGGCGCGCGTTGGCCGTCTTCAGGCCCCAGCCCCGGCGGCAGGAGAAGCGCCCCCGCCGAAGGAAGCCGGCCCCAGGGATCCAGGCCTCCTGGATGGGTCTCTGGACGCCCGAAATGGGTACTGAAAGAATGGGTGCGATGCCCAACAGCAGTTCCTGTTCATTTTGAACAGGACTCGCTGTCCACGCCGCCGCGGCCTGTGTCCATTCGAGACAGGAGGCCGCCTGCCCAACAGCGGCCGCTGTTGGCTTGGGACAACATTTGTTGTTGGGCATCGTACCCATTTTTTCGGTACCCATGTCGGGCGTCCAAAGATGGGGTCGGAGGGTCGCGCCGTGTCGCCGATGCATCGGCGATGCGGCTCGATGTGGAGCCCGATGTTCTCCACGCTGGCGTCGCCGATGCATTGCCGGCGTCTTTGGTGCAGAGCCGATTCATCGGCGATGAATCGGCGATGCACCGGCGACGCATCGGCGATGTGGCGAGATCCTCTGACCCCATCTACTCCGACCCCACCTAGGAGGCCTATATCCTAGGGAGGGAACCGACAGGTCGGGGGAGGGCACGCCGTGAAACAGTAACTCTCTCGGAGCTCTGGGCGAGGATGCTCGCTGGAGGAGTACTCGATGTACAACGACTCGCTGCACGTGCCCGCCAACGCCAAGTCGAAAGGCATGCACGACACCAGGTCCAACGTGCACCGTGGTCTGACCCTGGCGCCCACCGACTCTTGGGAGATCGAGTTGTGTATGGGCATCGTGCTCAACCTCGTCATACTGCCGCTCTTTTCTGAAGTGAAGAAGCTTGGGCGCTCGCTGATAGTCTTCAAGGTGCACAAAAGCCCGGCCGTGTGCGAGATCTTCTTCATGCCTAGAGACACGGTCCACGCCACGTACCACGAGCGCATGCCGAAGACGTTGGAGTGGGTGGACCTGTACTGTTGCGACGTGGAGGTGGCTTTCCGGGCCGAGCTGTATCCAGCCTGATGAAAAGAAAGCCACACAATTATGTGAGCTCTGGACGTCCGCGGACGGTGTCAGCGCCGAGTTCAGGCTCCCCCTCCCCCCGCACCCGCAGCGGCGGCTTCGGCGCTGCCTCCCCGGCGCGCTCCGTGCGCCAGTGGGCCATGAGCTGACAACTGGCACCCATACTGACAGTCGAGGCTGATGAGTACGTCGACCGCGTTAAAGCAAGAGTGCCCCTGGGTCCTGTGCTTTGCGACCCATGCCTTCTACATTCCTGTTGCCACGTGGCCCTCGGAAGGGTCTTGTGTCCTCATGCGTGTCCTCTTCAATCGGCCCCGACTGTATTCGACCCCCAGTATTCCCTGGGTGAAGGATTCTTCGGGGGTTGGGGGTGCCACGTACAGGGGCGTGTGTTGTCGGATGGGGGTCCCCGCTCGCCTGGGAGCCCCATTCGGGGTCCGACAATCCGCGCCCACACCCGGCATGCGCCCTTCAGATCGCCAGGCGCGGGCCAGCCCGCATAACTACGTGTACGACTCGGCGTCGCACGGGCGTGTGCCTCTTTCCTCGGCGAGGAACACCAAGGACCATCTGGTGACAAAGTACACGCGCGACATGTTTAAAAACTGCACAGGGGAAAGGACGTCCGAGCGACGGTGAGGTGCGAGCGTGCCTTAAGTCGGGCACGTCCCTCTACAGGAGGAGTATTGAAAGATAGCCCACACATAGTTTGGGGTCGATTGTTTGAGTATTTTTTACTGTGTTCGAGTATTGTTCTGCTACTTGTCATTCTCCGTCCACAGTCCCCCTTTGTAGGGGGATCTGCCCGACCATGGGCATGCGGTCCGCTCGGCAACCTCGGCGGGTGCGTGGCGGGTGCCCGGCGCCGGCGGGGCGACGACCCGTCGGGCGTGCGAGCCTCCTCCCGCTTGCGCCGCGCTCTCCCAGGCGCCCCCCAGGGGGTGGTTTCGGCGCGAGGCCGCGGGGGGACACGGCGGGGCTCTCTGCGGTGCCTCCGATGCGATGCAACTTCGCTTTTGCGATGGCTTCCGATTTTCCGAGTCGATTCGGCTTGGGATTCCGATCCCGGTGCCGATTTCCCACTGGAGGCGCACTATAGCCCGCCGATTCCTGCCGAGTCGACATCTCCCGACTCAGCTGCCGATGTTCGCCGATACAATTCCTTTCGATCGCCGATCCGACTTGTCGATTCGATTCTGGGCTCTCCTGGGCGCGAGGCAACGGGGTCCACGCTGCTGATACTCGGGTGTCAGCTGCCCGCGTAAGGTCGCACGTGGCGGCGGCGAGCGAGGGGGGAAGTGAGAAGGAGAAGGCCCTCTCAGAATGTGGCGGGGCTTCTGAGAAGCCCTCCGGCCTTCTGAGAAGCTTTCTGCGTCTTCGGAGAAGGCTTCGAACACTTCTCAGAAGGCATGAGAAGTTCCGAGCCTTATGAAAAGGCCCGCCCCTTCTCACTTCCCCCCGGGCGCGCCGCTTAACGTGAGCGCCCTCGCTTCCAGTGTGGCGTGCCGCGCTGGCGGCTCGCGCAAGCCGCGGCGTAGGGTCGCTATACCATCACGCGTCAGACCCTTTTCTTTTCGTGGCACAGGTGGCCTTCTGGGCCGAGCTGTACCAGCCCAACCCGAGCGGGCGCAAGAGCAAGAGCTCCTACCTGACGGACGAGCTTTGCGGCGGCTTCGGCTCGCGCTGCTCGCTGGCCTCGAAACTGGAGGACATCCGGTAGCAACTTACGGGAGCCTGATATACCTTTGTAATTCCATCTTTCGAGCGCACCGGCGTCAATCCGTTTCTGGTAGTCGCTTGGACAACGCCGATTCAGCGTCGGCCAACGTCGATTTGCGTCGAATTAGCGTCGACTCGCGTCGACCAGTGTCGACCCGCAAGGGCCATCAAGATGGCATGGGAGGTCCCCATGGGTTGCCACCGGAGAGGACACGCACTTCCAGCGCATGGAGACCCAACTCAACGCCACCCAGGAGGAGAGCGAGGAGCTCGCGAGGAAGGCGGCGATGAGGCGCCAGAAGAAGCACGCGCAGAAGGAGCGGCAAAAGGCCAAGAGGGCGGAGGAGAAGGGGGAGCAGAAGGCTGCCGAGGCGGCCCTGAAGGCGGCTGACGACGACGACGACGACGACGATGACGACGACGACGACGACGGCGACGGTGACGACGACGGCGACGACGACGACGCCGACGCCGACGCCGACGACGACGACGACGACGACTACGACGACGAGCAGCCGAGGAAGTCCCCAGGGTCAGGAGGTCCCTGGAGGCGGTTGCAGCGGCCTCCAGAGGCCGATGCCCAAGCAGGACCAGCTCGAGTCCGCAGACCTCTCTCCTCGACCCTCGATCTCCCTCGATCTCCCTCGATCTCCGATCCTCCTCGAGCCTCTTCCAGCGACGACCTCAATCCTCGATCCTCCTCCTCGGTTCTCGAGCCTCCTCGACCCTTCTCTGGCGATGGCCTCGCGCGCGAGAGGCGGCCGAGGAGGAGCGCCAGGCGAAGGAGCTGCGGGCGGCCAGGATTGCGGCGCCGGCGCTCCACGGCGTGGACTGGGGCCAGACGCTGTCGGCGCCAGGACCAACCTTCGACCCTCCCTTCCGGAACCAGCGAGAAACTGAATGAGCGAGAGCGAGAAGGAGAGCCAGAATGACGGAGAGCGAGAGCGGAGGCCAGAGACCGGCGAGGGTGAGCGAGATCGAGGAGGAGCGAGAGCGAGAGAGAGAGACAGAGAGAGAGAGAGAAGAGTGCGAAGACGGCGAGAGCGACGAGGGCGAGAGCGAGAGTGAGGAGGAGGGGCCCCCTCCCCCCTCCTCGTGCTTTATCTTTCTTTCCTTCCCCGCCTCCTGAACTCCCCCCTCGCTGTCGCCTTCGCCGCCGTCGCCGTCGCAGTCGTCGCTTCGAGTATCGAGGTTGCTGGATTGAGGTCCCCTACCACGTGTTTGAATGGCCTTCGGAGGCCTCTGGTGGCCTCCACGGACCCCGAAAGGGGCCGCTTTTGATTTTTTGTGTCGTCGGGCGACAACCCAGACGCGGGCGAGGGCGACAACGATGGCGGCGACGGCGGTGGCGACGACGACGGCGGCAAAGACAACGGCGGCGGCAGTGAAGGAGACGACGACGTCGCCGTCTCGGAGGTGTTCAGGCGTCTCAGGAAATTCCTTGGTCACCCTTGGCAGACGCGATTCCGCGAACGGGCAAGGGAGGACCGGGTAAGGGTTCCGCTGCCGAGTTTGAGCGGACTTTAGTTTGACGGAGAAGACGGAAGGCGACGACGACAACGAAGTCGAGGATCAAGGGTCGAGTATTCCTTTGTGTAGTACCCGCAGATGGTCTTTAGTTTTGCTCTCCCCCCCTTGTTTCTCTCGGCGGGAAACAAGCTCGCCCCTGCTCCTCCTCCTCCTCCTCATCCTCCTCCTCCTCGTCATCCTTTTTGTCACAGCGTTCATGTCAGCTCGAAAATCAATATTCCGCCTTGTTCTAGGAAGGTTGCCGTGAGAGGCTGCTCCGCCTCCTCCTCCTCCTCCTCTCCCTCCTCCTCCTCCTCCTTCCCCTCCTCTTCTTTCTCCTCCTCCTCCTCCTGCTCCTCCTCCTCCTCCTCGTCCTCCTCCTCCTCCTCGTCCTCCCTTGCTCCTCCTCGTGCCATTCCTGATCAGGAGGAGGAGCAGGAGGAGCAGGAGGAGGAGGAGAACCTCTTGAGGCACCCGCGTCGCGGGAATTCTTTCTCCCAGCGGTTAGAGCTCCATGGGCTACCCTGCACGACAGAGGGATTTCAAGCACGCCTGTCAGAGGATTGCAATCTAGATCGACACATTCGTCGCCGAAGGCATTGCTCACAATATTCTCCTTCATCGCGCCGCAGTTGCCCTACGATTGCTATATCTGCTGGTACATGTACAATCGAGTTCTACATGTTCGTCGTCGGTGCACGCGTCTCGGGCCACCGATTAGTTCCCCACGAATTTCCGCCGCGTGGGATAATGTCTGGGGCTCTTTTTTCCCAGTGCATAATGAGTGCTCTCTGGGCTCCCAAGCGCGACAGAGGATTTTTGAGCACGTTTGTAAGTGGATTGCATTCTAGATCGACACATGTTTCGCCGTCGTACTCGTAGTCGTACTCGTAGTCGCAGTCGTAATAGTAGTCGTGGTCGCTAGCTACTCTTAGTCGTAGCCGTAGCCATATCGTGGTCGTCGTCGTAACCGTGGTCGTAGTCGTCGTCGTCAGCGTCGTTGTTGTGGAGCAGGTGCTGCGGAGAAATAGTTCATGTCCACTATTGGTCGGACCCCAATCCGTCAATAAGGTCGCCGAGAAAATAATCAGTTGCCGACTATGGGGGGAGGTTCTAAAGGCCCTTAGGGGTTATTTGCCCCCTTGCGGGGCCCCGTGATGCCTCTTGAGGCTTTTGCAGGGGGCATCCGGAGACTTCCTGAGAGAATTTTCCGGAGATCTCCTGAAGAGGACGACGACGCGGATCGATGGTTCGGGATTTGAGAAGTTCTCGTCTGGGGATCTCCTGCAGCATCCAGGGGTCTCCAGGGATATTATTCGGAGACTTCTTGACCGCAGACCTCTGGGGACATTCGGTGACTTCATCAAAACCTCCGGGCAGACCTCCAGAGGAGATGACACAGACGCCGACGACGACGACGACGGCGACGACGATGACGGCGGCGACGGCGGCGGCGGCGACGGCGGCGATGGCGTGGACGGCGTTGACGACGGCGACCGCGATCTCCCGCAGGCAGCCGAGGAGGAGCGAATAGGATCGCAGCGCCAGCCCTTCACGGGGTCGACTGGGGCGCGATGCGGGGTAAGGACTGCGCGGCGGTCCCCTCGCCCGACGTCTCTGACTCCGAGTCCGATTGAGTTTGAATCATTAGTGCCCAGACCTCCGTCGTCGTGACTCCTTCTATCTGGGCTCTGCGTGGCGGTTTCGGCGCCTGGGGGCCGCCCTTGGGCCCCAGGGCCACAAACATAACGAAAAACGACCAGAAGTCGGTCCTTGGGGATTGCGTCGAGAATTTTTTTGGTGGGGGGTCCCACAGATCGGACAACAAGGACATCGCAGGTCTGGGTGGTGCGCATGGCGGACACGGAGCCGCTTCTTAGTTGGGTGTTGCGCTGCTGCTCATCCGCTTCCTCGCCTCCTCCTTATCCGCTTCTTCCTTCTCCCCCTCCTCGCTCCGCCTCATCCTCCTCTCCCTCTCCCTCCTCCTCCTCCTCCTCCTCCTCCTTTATCCCCCCTGCCTCATATTTTATTATTAAAGCTCCTCCCGCCTCCCTAACGAGGAGCAACACGTCGGCATACACATGCACGTTCGGAGCTCCGCGCAGTTTTGGCCCACCACGCTTTGGCGCGACACGCTGTCAACGTCATTCCCCCGAGCTTTCAACCCGAGCGTCCCGCCCCGCCGAGCGGAGCGACACGCTATCCGCTCGCAAGTCATAGCGTGTCGCCGGGGCCGCCGCCGCCGCACGCTGCGCAACACGTCCTGACCAGTTGTTTGACCTTTATTCTCCCCCTCCTCCTCCACCTCTTCCCTCTTCCTCTTCCTCTCTCCTCGCATGGAGACAGTCTCCCTCCAGCCCGCCACACTGCGATCGCCCGCTTGCGCACGCAGTCCCGAAGCCGCGAGCCTCAATCCGACGCCGCGAGCCACAGTTAGCAGTGTCGACGAAGAAGAAGAAGAAGAAACGGTGTAAACATGGGCATTCGGAGCTCCAAGCGAATTTCCTGGACTAGGGCTGGGCCCCCCCTGGCGGCGCCCCTGGCGCCGCCCCTGGAGCTCTGACAGCTTATGTTTCTGCCGTTTCGTCTTCCTCCAACTCCCGCGTATCAGTTGGCAAGAGCACTGGACCGCCGTTACGGGCGGCATCCCGAGCAGACGGCATCCGCGGAAAAAATGCAAACCTCGGAAGGGAGAGAGGTGATTGATGACATGTTGCTGTCGGCAGCCCGTCAGCGTGTTTCTCCGTGATTGTTGACAAAAGGCCTGTCCTTCTTCAGCAGTTACAGTCGGACCGAGGTGTATGATCGAGGTTAGTTCTGGGAGGGTACCCTCGTGTTCTTCGTGCTTGTTGGATGTTCTTGTGCATCCTGGGGAGGGTACCCTTGGATGTTTTGTTGTATTTGGCCGACAGAGGGTCTCATTCCCCAATCAGTGCTTGCACTGAAGGGGTCCTAGCGAAAGTTGAAGGATTTGGCGAAAGTTCCCCGCCGATTTTGGTGGCAGGCTGGGTTCCCGAGTTCCCGGGTTCCGGTTCCGGCTTCCCGGGTTCCCGGTTCTGGGTTCCGGGCCGATTTCGGAGGGCGGCGAGGTTCACGGGTTCCCGGGTTTTTGGTCGATCTTCTTCTCGATCGGCCTCACCATCGATCTCATTACCGATTTCCCGATCGATCTCACAATCAATCTCACCATTGATCTCACTATCAATCTCACAAGCGATCCCATTAGAGATCGCATGAGCGATCTCGCGATCGATCTCACTATCGATCTCATTGAATCGATTCCACTCTCGGTTTCGCGATCGACCTGGCAATCGTCCTCACTATCGCTTCCACAATCGATCTCATTATCGATCTCACAATCGATCTCAAGATCCAGAGTAAATATTTTCAAATCATCCACTGATTGGTGTTTTCTCTGGTGTGATGTTCTTGAGGGATGCTCTTCTGTCCAAGGTCCGACTGCAACGCGCTGGTGGGTGCCCCACGGCAACGTGTCATTGATAGTGTGGTATGGGCTCCCCGAAAGACATGCATCCGACGGCGAGGTGTCTGATCACGGCTCTCGTTATTTTTCGGGTCTCCTTGACGCCTCCATGCACGCGGAGGCCTCCTCGGGCTCCTCCTGACCCCACGGAAGCCTCCTGGGAAGGAGTTGCTTAGGGCCGCGACCCACGAGTCCCGGCGGCACTCCGAGCAATCGGCATCCTAGGAGCAGAAATCAGGTGCCCATACATCGGGCGCCATGGGCATCAGGGCGAGTGCCGTCGGGTTAAGCTGAAGTCGGGCGTGTCCCTCTACAGGAGGACAATTCACGAATAGTCAAACCATACTCTGGGAACGATTTTTTAAATTATGCTTGGAGCCCCAGCCAGTCAGAGAAAGACGTCGAATATGTGGGTAGCTAGTTCTGGACCTGCGAACCTATGGTTTGATCGCGCACTAGGGAACGGATCAGGAAGAGAGATCTTCAGATGAAAGGGAGGCGGGGGTAAGAGGAGAAGGAGGAGGAGGAGGAGGAGGAGAAGGAGAAGTTTGACAAGGTTGAGAAGCAGGAGGAGGATGATCAATGAGAGATTGAGGAAGGTTAGGGATGGATGGAGGAAGGGAGGGAGGGGTGAAGAAAGTAGGAAAGGGGAGCGACGGGGGAGGGAGTGAGGGAGGAAAAGGGGCATGAGGCGGAGGAGGAGAATGAGGGAGACAGGCTATGGAGTGAGGGGGAGGAGAAGGAAGAGGGGTAGGGAGGCGTAGGGGATGGAGGAGGAGGGAGGGAGGGAGGGAGGGAGAGAGGGAGGAATGGACTGGCTTGGATAAGTAGGACGAGAAGGGGAGGAACAGGGAGGCGAGAGGGTCAGGAGGAGAGCAAGTCTGACAGCAGCCACCTCCCAATGGCCTCCCCCTCTGCTGCTGCCGATCTTACTCTTGTCCTGTTGCTGCTTTTCGCAGTCAGATCCTCCTCCTCCTCCTCCTCCTCCTCCTTTAGGCCATGGACGCGGCTCGGCAAACTAGCCAAGCGCCAGAAGTACGTTGAGACTGACGATGTTGCACGCATTACGCAGCATTGGAAGACGCGAGTGCGCAGATGCTGCAGCGGCGTGCCCGAGAAACGAAGGCAGGCACGATGACACGCCTGTACAGAGGAGGGGCGCCACAAGCGTGGCCAGGTCATGCTGCACACGTTTTCAAGGACGTCTTCCCTCCATCAGACAGCCCTACGAGCCCAGTCCCCTACCAGTCCAGAGTGCCGGAGGGCTCTGGCGGTTCCTGGAGGCTCCAATTTCATAGGTCCGTTGGGACTCCGGGTGCCTCCTTGGGCACAGAGCGTTCAAACGCGCCTAGCATTTTGACACACTAACCTCGATTGGGAGCACGGCATCTATATCACATCGTGTCGATGCCGCTTTCCATCCTGAGTCGTTTTTTGTGGGTCCCGTTGGTCAGGGAGGGCCGCCCTGAGGCCGACCTCTGCTGGGTCGCTGCTCTCGCTGCTCCTCCGTGCCTCGCCGCTGTTGTTGCCCAGCCCCGTGCATACCCGACGTGGGCAACCAGTTGCGTCACAGCACACTGCAGTAGGCGCAGCATAGCCGGCTTGCCAAAGGGTGCCCCACGCTGATGTTCGAGTACACGTGAGAGTGACCCTTTAACGGAGTGACCTTTGGTGCTGGCCCTCAGGGGGTCGGGTGATTTTTCTTGTGGGATGAGCTTGACCTCGCGTCGGCACCCGCGTCGCGTGGTTACGCTCGCATCCGAGCGCGCCAGGTTTGGGCCCGCCCTTTGCAGTCGACAGCGACGCATACGCGTCGCACCCTACAGCTTGCATTGGTTACCCGAGGGGGGCCGGTCGACCAGACGGCGCGTTTTCCGGCCCAGGACCAGTCCCGAATCTCAGCCCTCATCCCGAAACGGCTGGCTTGCATATTTTTGGATATTTATGATATCTTGGAATATCTTTGAATAATTCTGAATGTCTTTGAATATGTGTTCGAACCAGCGGGGATCTTCACTATCTTAAGTTACCCAAAGATATTCAAACATATTCCGGCCTCTCGGATGGGGCCGGTTTGGGCCATGACGACAGGCCTTGTCAGACGTCATCGCGATGCAGCCCAGCAGTGTCAAACCTCATCGCCGTGGCCCCCAGCAGCGTCTGCTTTCGCAGCGCCTTCAAAGTGCCATTCGGGGTGCTCGAATTCAATCGGCGGAAGTCCGCGGTTGCCCGCTGGCGCAAAAAAAAAAATCGAGTGGCACCCCGCCGATCGTTGATGCGGTGAGATGTTTTCTCTCCCGATGGGGTCTCGAAGCCCTGGGGCATTTTGCGAGGCTCAGGGTCGACGGCGGCTGTGCCCCCCTGTGTCTCCTGGAGCAAGAGCTCGTATCGTCTGCGCCTACTGCGTCGCCCATCGCCACCGTGGAGGCCCTCTAGTTGCTTTGCTGGTAGCCTGTTAACCGCGCCTTCGGACCTGGGGGGGGGCGGGCGGGCGCCGGCGCGGAAACCGCTAGCGTACGTCCGACGGCCTGCGCTGAGGTCCTGGCCGCTCTTCCGAGCGCGGCGGAAAAGGACCTCCAGAAACGCCGAAGCACCTCGAAAGCCCCCCCCCGGGATCCGACGTCGCGCCAAACGTCGAAGATCGTGAGAAATCGCGACCAGAGCTCCCCGCGGCATTTCTCGGGAGCTGGATGGATCTGCGAAGTTCCCGGCGCGCCCGACGCAGCACGGAATGAATCGCCCGGCCACGCGCAAAGGTGGTTAGGGTGGGGGCGTTGGTTAAAGAATGTGCCCGGGGGGGCTTCAGACCCTGGGGCTTCCTTACCTGATGAGGGGGGCGGTGATATCCATGGCCAAGCCTCGATTGGAGTTCCACCGGCCTCAAGACCCTGGATTCCTTATCTAAGGGTTCCTTATTCCATGCCGTTACCGTAGCGTTGTTTCAGCTGGGCCACGCGCAGAAGGGGGGTAGGGGGAGCGGGGAAGGCTTCTTAGACGCAATCCTCTTCTTTGATGGTACAGGCCTTCGGTATAGATGCAGGGCCGGCGCCCTTGAGAAGCAACCCCTTTCTAAGAAGCCTTCCCTTCTTCCCCATACCCCCTTGTGCGGGCCGCCAGCTGGGAATGTATCGCGAGGTAGACACCGCTGCGATACCCGCGTGCAGCCAGACTGGCCGCAGTGTGCAAAAGTGTGTGGCGCTCAGCAGGGAACAGATTTACGGATACCGCTACCTTTCCCTTGTCGACGCTGCTGGACTCGCCTCGAAATTCTAGTCAGAATGCACCCCTGGAGGGATCGGGGAGTCGAGGTATCTATATTTACATCTGCTCATACATCTACATGTTTGAGTCTAGGTAAGCGTTTGTCCCAGCCATGTGTGCGTGTGCGCCGCCGTGCGATGAATCCGAAACGCTGCGGCGAATGTGCGTCTCGTTGCACTCAGCCAGGCGGAACATGCAGCCTCGTCACAGCAGGGGAAGGAGGACAGAGGAGTCGCACGTAGAGTCGGAGGATAACGATGCGATGAATGCGAAACGTTAGGGGGAATGTGCGTTTCGCTGCATCCGGCCTGCCCGAACATGCAAACTCGTCGAAGGAGGGGAGAGAGGCGGAGGAGGAGGAGGAGCAGGAGGAGGAGCAGGAGCAGGAGCAGGAGTAGGAGAAGGAGGAGTTGCACGTGGAGCCGGAGGGTAACGAGTACGAGGAGGCAGGAGTTGGAGCAGGAGAAGGATGAAGAGGATGAGGAGGATGGTGAGAGAGTAGAGGGGGATGAGGAGGAGAAGGAGGATGAGGAGGAAGAGGAGGAGGAGGAGGAGAGGGGAGCAGGAGGAGGAGGAGGAGGAGGAGGAGGAGGAGGATAACCTACTCCTGCCACTGCTGCCTTTCTTCTCTCTCCATCTTCGCGGCCTTCGCTCGGCTTCGGTGGCCTGCGCGGGAGGCAGGAAGGAAGGCCCACCCTCCTCCTCGTCCCCAGTCACCCCCCCTCTCTCTTCCGCCCCCTTCTCCCCCCTTCCCCCAGTCCTCGTCGTCACCCTCATCCATGTGCCCCGCGTTTCTGCGCCAGCCTCATCCTCCTCCTCCCTCGTCCTCCTGATCCTCCTCTCCCAGCTCCTGCCCCCCTCGAGGAAGGGAGAAGCTCGAGGCTGAGGAGGATGAGGAGATGAGGGGGATGAGGAGCAGGAGGGGGAGAAAGGAGGGGGAGAAGGAGAAGGAGGAGGAGGAGGACGAGGAGGGGGAGGAAGAGCAGGAGGAGGAGGAGGAGCAGGAGGAGGAGGAGCAGGAGGAGGAGGCGGGGGGGATGCGGGGGGGGGGAAGGCGTGGGGGAGGGGTAGGCGGGCGTCGATGGGGGCAGGCACGGAGGCCCCCGCACTGACGGTGATCCAGGCTCGAGGCGCGAGGGCCATCCGTCGTCGTCGTCGTCGTCGCTGCCGCCGCCGCCGTTGCCGCGGCCGCCGCCGCCGCCGCCCGAAGCGCGGAGGCCGCGGAGGGCGAGGCGGAGGCCGCGGCGGGGGCCGCGGCGCTCGGGGCCGCGGAGGCGCGGGCGGCTGGCCTCGCCGAGGAGCCGTCGACGCCGCCCGCTCGGCGCCGCGCGCCGCCGCGCGCCGCCGCGGCCGCCCGCCGTCGAGGCCGTCGGCGTCGGCGTCGGCGTCGTCGTCGCAAGGCGCCGTCGGCCGCGGCGTCTTCGCCCGCCGCTGTCGCAGTCAGGGTCGTGGTCGAGTCCGCACGTCGAGGTCGAGGCGCGACCGGCTTCCCAGTAGGTCGCAGCCTCGGCCGCCGACGTCGGTGCTGGCGTCGTCGCCTGCTTCGCCGTCAGGATCGTCGTCGTCGTCGTTGTCTTCTTCCTCGGCACAAAGCACGTCCTGTAGCCCACGGCTCGTCGGCGGCGGCCAGAGAAAGCCACGGCCGGAAGTGGCCCTCGGCCCTCGCACCGTTGCCTGTCCCGCAGGAGCTGAAGCAGGCGAGGGACTCGGCCGCCGCCGAGGCGGCGAGCATGGACAGGACGGGGCGTTCTCGCCATCGTCGTCTTCGTCGTCGTCGTCATCGTCATCGTCGTCGTCTCCCCTCGGCGTCAGCGTCGGCGCCGGCGTCCCCTCGGCGTCGTGGTCGTCGTCTTCCGTCGGCGTCGGCGTCAATGTCGATGTCGGCGTCGTCGTCGTTGTCGGCGTCGTCGTCGGCGTCGTCGTCGGCGTCGTCGTCGTCGTTCTCGTCGTCGTCGTCGTCGTCGTCGTCGTCGTCGTCGTCGTCGTCGTCGTCGTCGTCGTCGTCGCCCCCACGACAATTCCATCTGGTGGGGGCGGCTGCGTAACCCTGGGACCCATCCCATCTGGGGGGTGGCTGTGAACCTTCGACCTGGGATACTATCTGGCCTAGCCTAGCTTATGAACGGGTTTCAAATGCCCCACGGGTGGCTAAGGGGGTTTAATGATATTGGCTAAGTGGGCTCCGTCCATCCCGCAGAGTTGCCTATCCCCCCAAGCCGTTTGGGCATGCGCCGATCACAGCGCCCCCTCGTTCATCCTCATTCCCCTCGCTCTCCTCTCCCTCCCAGTCTTGCCGCCACCGCAGATGGCCGTCATAACACACACCCCACTAGACCACAAAGCCGGCCGATAGCCAATCCATCCGCGCGCTTCCATCGCACCAAGGATGCTTTGTCGTCGACGCACTTACTTCTTCCTCCATCCTTCCTCCTCCCTTGGGGAACCAACAGCTCACCCGCCCGCATTTCTTGGATGGACGTTAAGCCTCCCTCTCCATGGGGTTCGGAGGGCGCCAGACACGGGGCCGGAGGCGCCGCCAGGGGGGCCTGGCGTCGATCCAAGAACTCCGCGCGGACCTTCGAACGCTTTTGTCTGTGCAGCTTTTCCTTCTTCAAGCCGTCCGTCCTCCCCTTCCCCCTCTGCTTTCCTCCTTCCCTCCCCCCCCCCCTCTCCCTCCTCGTCCTCCTCGTCCTCCTCCTCCTCCTCGTCCGCGTCCTCCTCCTCCTCCTCCTCCTCCTCTTCCTCCTCCTCGTCCGCGTCCTCCTCCTCCTCCTCCTCATCCTCGTCGTCGTCCTCCTCGTCCCCTTCCCCTCTCCCTCCTCTCTCCGCGCTCCCGCTGCCCCCTGATGCTCCTCCCGATCGCCTCTCCCCACCTCGCTCCTCCCTGATCCCACTCCTTTCTTTCCCCCCCCTCTTCGACACTGTCGCCGTCGCCGCCGCTTCGACGACGATGACGACGACGAGGGCGACGAGGGCGACGAGGGCGACGAGGGCGACGAGGACGAGAACCAGGACGGCGACGACGACGACGACGATTCCTCCGTCGCTGTTCTCCTTCGTTCCCTCATGCCGCATACTCCCTCCTCCATCCATCCTCCGCTGCCGATCCTTCACCTTGTCGTCCACCTTCTGCTCCTCATCCACTTTCCAGGGCCAGGAGGAAAAGTCAACCACGACGACGCGGGCGAGGACGACGACACGGTCGAGGACGACGACGAGGAGGACGAAAACGACGACGCCGACAAGGAGGACCAAGAACCTGGGAACGTGGACCCGGCATTCGAGGGCCAGAACTGGGGTCTCGGAACTGTGGCCCACGAACCGGGAATCACGATATGGACCCAGGAAATGGGGACGGGAGCTGGGACGCAGGAACCATGACGCGTGAACCGCGGACCTTGTCGAGGATGCTCCTCTTCATTCCTTTTCCCCGTCCTATCCTCCCCTCCTCCTTGTCCTCCTCCTCCTCCTCGCCTTCCTGATCCTTCCAGTTCGCTCATGCGTATGAAGAGATAGAAATGAGGGGGAAGTCCCCGTCGAAGGCGTCGTCGATGCAGATGCCATTGTCATCGTCGTTGTATGGTCGTTGTCGCTGTTTTCATCGTCACGATCGTCGTCGCTGTTTTCTTGGCCGTGGCCCTCGTGGCCGATGATCTCGCGCGTGTCGTCGTAGTAGTCGTGGTTGTCCTGGAATCCTTCATGCCCTCGTCGTTGTGGTCGTTGTCGTCTTCGCCGTCGACCTCGTTGTCGCCGTCGTCATCGTCGCCTTCGCCGCCGGCATCGTCTTCGTCCTTATCTGGCCTGACAGCACGCCCGCACGCTCGCCATTCGCCTTGCCAAGCTTCGTGCTCCTTGCCCTGTGCAGGGCCAGAGAGGGAAGAGGGACAGAATATAGTAGACGCCCCGTCCATCCGTCGTCAGAGTCGTCGTCGCCTTCATTGGAGTCGGAGTCGCAGTCGTTGGAGTTGGATCTGGCTTCGTCAGAGCCGGAGATGTCGTCCGGAGCCTCCTCCTCGGATACCGGGCTCGGATACCGGGAACCGGCCCCGCCGGGAACTGGGTCGGCAAACCCGTGGGGTTCGCCGACTCCCGGATCTGCCCGGGCCCGCCCGCCCGATCCGCCAGGGTCCGCCTTCTCGCTCGCCCGAGAGCCAGCCTGGCCGTTGGACTTTCTCCCGCCCGCCAAACCTGACCTTTGGGGACCGCCCGCCTGGCCGGCCCGCCTGTTAGGGTCCTCCCGCCCGTGCGTCAGTGCGTTTCGCATACAGTCAACGCGCCTAGTCAGGACGCGCGCCTTCATCTGGGGTACCCTTGTGTCCTTGCGGCCAGTCCTTTCACGTTGTCATTGGTCGCCAGTCACGCACACAAGCCCTAACTTCGGGCTCCAAGGGTCCTGCGTCATTGCCACCCGTCCTTACTACACGTTCTGACTGTACTCGACCTGTCCGTCAGGGTCCTCCCGACGGCTCGCTTGAAAGTCAGCCCGCCCGCTTCAATTCCCAGCCTGCCTGGCGTTCAGTTCGCTCCGCCCGCCCGCTCGTCCCGCGCGTTTTAGGACCCGCCCGCCCGCCATTTGCTGACGTTGGTGTGCCCGGCCCTTTCATTAGGGTCCATTAAGGTCCTTCTGAGGGCTCGCTTGACGGCCCGCCCGCCCGCTTTATTGTCCCGCCCGCACGACCTGCCAGTCAGGGTCCGCCCACTCGCCCGTCCCGCCCGTTGGGGTAAGGTCGGGCCTGTCCCTCTACAGGAGGAATATTCAAATATAATCAAAACATCGTATGAGGACTATCTTTTCAGTTTGTTGGGCATTTTTGGAGCATTTGTTTTGTATCTTTTATTTTTCGTCCAAAATCGGCCTGTAGGGGGACTGGCCCGACTTCACGTTGGGGTGCGCCCGCACGATCCGTCCGTCGGGGTCCGCCCGCTCGTTCTCTTGGGAGCCCCCACCGCCCGCTCGAGCGTCCTGCGTCCGAGCAGGACGCCTCCGCGCGGGAGGCGGATGAGGAGCAGATTGAAGAGGGTGTCTAACGATGACGACGCTGATGGTGCCGAATATGAGGAGGAGGAGGAAGAGGGGGTGGAGGGAGACGAGGAAGGACAATGTGATGGCTGACTTGGATTGTGGTGCTTGTGCCGGTGGTCATCGTGGACATGATAACCAATGGGGGGATGAATGATGATGGGGATACAATATTATGATAGACATGAGGCGGATGAGCTTATGATGACAAATAAGCTGCTGATGTTGATTCGGATTCGGTGTGCGATAGTATTGCTGCTGGTGCTAATGGTAAATATGAGGATGAGGATGCTGATGAGGATGATGATGATGATAAGGATTATGATGATGATGATGATGATGATGATGATCATGATGATGATGATGATGATGATGAGTGTGATGATGATGCTGATAATGATGACGGTGAGGATGTTGTACATGATGATGCTGTTGATGATGGTGTTGATGATGATGATGATGATGACGATGATGATGATGATGATGATGATGATGATGATGATGATGATGATGATGATGATGATGAGCAGGAGAAGTGAGGAACATCATGAGGGTTATGAGGACGAGGACGGGAATGAACTATGAGGGTGCTGACGATGCGTGTGGCGATGAGGATAGTTATGCTGCTTCTGATGCCGATGCTGATAACGATGGTGATGGTGACGGTAATGGTGATGGTGATGGAGTTGTTTCCTCCTTTATATAATATGCAAGGCGTCCAGGTCCCCGGGCCCAGGGGCAGCCCACTTCTCCAAACCCCCCCCCCCCCCGCACCCGACTTTAGTCCCCGGCGCCGGCGAGCCTATTTGAACGCTCCAGGGCGCTCCCTGCGCCTCGGGGGCCCTCCTTGGCGCCCGCAGAGGGCGCCCAGAGGCCGCCAAGACAGCCCGAGAGCGCACCAAGCCGCCGAAGATGGCCCCGTGATGGCCCAAGAGGCCCCCAAGGGGCCCCAATATCGCTCCAATAGAACCTCCCAGAAGGCCCCAGGAGGCCAACATCGTCGATTTTCATTCCCAACCATCCTGTGGTGTTGGGTCCTCGTTTTGAAGAAACGGTCCCCGCGTTCCTTCTTCCTCCTTCTCCTCGCCCTCCTCCCTCCTGCGTTCGCATGCCTCCCTACCACCCATTTCGGCACACCCCTCACACGGTGGCGCGGGCCCCTGGCCCGCCCGCCCATTTCGGCACACCCCTCACACGTTTCGTGGCCCCATAGGGAGCTCCACCGAAGGCCCCAGTGGCTGCGTTCGCATGCCCCCCCACCCATTTCGGCACACCCCTCACACGTTTCGTGGCCCCATAGGGAGCTCCACCGAAGGCCCCAGTGGCTGCGTTCGCATGCCTCCCCACCACCCATTTCGGCACACCCCTCACACGTTTCGTGGCCCCATAGGGAGCTCCACCGAAGGCCCCAGTGGCGTTCGCACCCCACCCATTTCGGCACACCCCTCACACGTTTCGTGGCCCCATAGGGAGCTCCACCGAAGGCCCCAGTGGCTGCGTTCGCAGCGGCCCCACCCATTTCGGCACACCCCTCACACGTTTCGTGGCCCCATAGGGAGCTCCACCGAAGGCCCCAGTGGCTGCGTTCGCATGCTTCCCATTTCGGCACACCCCTCACACGTTTCGTGGCCCCATAGGGAGCTCCACCGAAGGCCCCAGTGGCCGCATGCTCCCCACCACCCATTTCGGCACACCCCTCACACGTTTCGTGGCCCCATAGGGAGCTCCACCGAAGGCCCCAGTGGCTGGGTCCGCATGCCTCCCCACCACCCATTCGGCACACCCCTCACACGTTTCGTGGCCCCATAGGGAGCTCCACCGAAGGCCCCAGTGGCTGCGTTCGCATGCTTCCCCACCACCCATTTCGGCACACCCCTCATACGTTTCGTGGCCCCATATGGAGCTCCACCGAAGGCCCCAGTGGCTCCCCACCACCCATGTTCGGCACACCCCTCACACGTTTCGTGGCCCCATAGGGAGCTCCACCGAAGGCCCCAGTGGCTGCGTCGCATGCCTCCCCACCACCCATTTCGGCACACCCCTCACACGTTTCGTGGCCCCATAGGGAGCTCCACCGAAGGCCCCAGTGGCAGGGTCCGCATGCCTCCCCACCACCCATGTCGGCACACCCTTCACACGCTTCGTGGCCCCATAGGGAGCTCCACCGAAGGCCCCAGTGGCGCGGTGCCTATGAGAAGAGCGGCCTAGTTTGCGTGCCCCCTCCTTCGTTACATATCCGTGCGGTACTCGCAGCTGCATATGGTTGGGTCCTTCGCCAGGCTAATTCTGTTTTATTATGTTTTTGGGCTGTTCGCGTTTTCGGGCTTCCGACACGCCAAGACTGCGCAAGTAGCCTCCAACATCGACCCAACAGGGCCCAAGAGGCCCCCAAGAGGCCCCCAAGAGGCCCCCAAGCCGGCCCAATAGAGCCCCCAAACGGCCCAAGAGGGGCCCAAGACGGCCCAAGAGGGCTTCAGGACGACCCCAAGAGGGACCCAAGAGGGGGAATCCGAACCGGCATGTCGAGTTTTCCGCGCCAAGAGGCCCCCAGGAGGCTCCAAGAGGCCCCCGAGAGGCCCTCAAGAGGCCCAAAAGAGGCCACCAAAAGACCCCAAAGATGATCCAAAACGGCCCCCCGGAGGTTTCAAAACGGCTTCTGACACATAACCCATGCACGGTGGCAGGACGGGGCGATGGGCTCTAGGAGTGGCACGCGAAGAGAACACTCTACGTGTTTCTTTCGGACCGGTCTGAGAACCTAAGCGCGCGCGAAGCGCGCGCGTGGTTCTAGTCTTTGAAGGCCAAAAACAGCAGGTTCTCAGAGCCTAGCTCGACATCTTCTGGCAACTTTGGTGTGTACGAAGGAGTCTCAGAATACGATCGGACACAGTGTATCTTAGCATTCAAGAGGTACGCGTGGTGTTTTCGCACAGTCGGAAACAGAGGGTGTCGTTCGTGTCAGCGTCGGCCTGCCCCGTGCGGCTGTTTTGTGGCAGGTCCTGAAGAGGATAGCCAACCACACGCCGAAACGCTGGAGACGGACTGGACCAGGGGTGCCCGAAAGAGTGGGCATACTCAGTCCTAGACCAGAAAGGAGACCAAAGGAAATTGCGCAGTCAACTGCTTTTCGATGACCCTGGCGCGGCACAGCCGTTGCCAGGCGAGCCTGAGGCGGGTGTACAAATAATGTCTTGTATGTTGCACTACTATGGAAATACTTGGCAAAAGACTGGTTATCAGCCGAAAGTCTCTCCGGGAACTCGTGTTCGGTGGTGATGCAGGCGCAGTGGGTATGATCAAACGATTCGAAGAATCGATCACCCTGAACATTGCCAGTGGTCCCTCACGGGCCCTCGGAACAGGTTGCGTCGCATGCCCCAACTCCACTGGTGGCTTTACTCAACAAGGGGGTTTCGCAGGTGCGCTCTGATTATCCACGGGCGCCCAACGCAGGGGTCGGGTGGCTCACCCCCCTGGGCCGTGGTTAGTGTCCGCTCAAAGAAAAAGGGGACAATCGCCCGGTTTAGCTGCGGTTGCCGGCGGTGTCACGAAAGAGGGGGCAGTTGTTCTCCCGCGTCTTCGAAAGCCAAAACAGCAGGTTCTCAGAGCCTAGCTCGACATCTTCTGGCAATTTTGGTGTGTACGAAGGAGTCCCAGAATACGTCCAGACAGTGTATCTTTGCATTCAAGAGGTACGCGTGGTGTTTTCGCACAGTCGGAAACAGAGGGTGTCGTTTGTGTCAGCGTCGGCCTGCCCCGTGCGGTTGTTTGTGGCAGGTCCTGAAGAGGATAGCCAACCACACGCCGAAACGCTGGAGACGGACTGGACCAGGGGTGCCCGAAAGAGTGGGCATACTCAATTCCAGACCAGAATGGAGACCAAAGGGAATTGCGCAGTGAGCTGCTTCTCGGCGACCCTGGCGCGGCGCAGCCCTTGCCAGGTGAGCCTGAGGCGGGTGCACAAAGAATGCTTCGCAGGTTGCACTAATATGGATATGCTTGGCGAGTGACGGATGGTGATGTTGACGTCGACAAGAATGTGGCTGCTGTTGTTGATGTTGATGTTGATGATGATGACGATGCTGGCGATGCGGAGGGCGATGAGGATGACGATGACGACGACGACGAGGATGGTCTAGATGATGATGCCGATGAGGATGATGATGCTGATGATGGCGATGATGATGATGGTGGTGGTGTTTGTCTAGTACGATGAGGACGATGACGACGAGGATGGTGATGATGATGAGGAGGAGCAGGGCGATGCTGATGATTAGGTTGGTGCTGCTGACAATGGTGATGTCGGTGGTGATGAGTGTGGTGATAGTGGTGATGATGAGCAAGAGTAGGAGGATGACTATGTTTATGATGATGATGCGATGGTGGTAAAGTGATGGTGGTAATGCTGATGATGATTTTGATGATGACGATGAACACGGTGATGCTGATATCGATGATGGTGGTGATGACGATGCTGATGCTGATGATGACAGTTATGATGATGGTGGTGATGATGATGACGCCGATGAGGGTGACCATACTGCTGGTGTTGTTGGTGATGGCGGTCTTGGCCATGATCGTGATACTGATCAAGATGACGATGGTAAACGGGAGCAGGAGGAACAGGAGGAATAGGGGCTCTCTCCTCCTTGTTCGTGCCCTCCTCCCTCCTCACCTCCTCCTCCCCTCCTGCTGCTGCTCTTGCCCCCCCGCCACGGCGCCCCCGACCCGCGCCAGGGAGGGTGCTGAGGGAAACGGGCCCTGGACCCCGGGGGCCTCCCCCCGAGGCCACATGTTTTCCTTCCTCGAATCGTCTTTTGACGGTCCGAGGGCCCGTGGAGGGATCCGGGAGCCCGCCAGGACGAAGCATCCAGGGTTCCCCGTCCCTGTGGCGAACTTTCTGCGGCTACCCACGGGAGCCCCCCATACCTTCAAGCGCCAGAGCCCCGCACTCGCGACGGCCCCCAGGACACTGGGACTCCCGAGGCCCTCCCGCACGGCTGCCCGAGGCCTCCCTTCTGGCGCCCTCGCGAGACTTCTCTTTGGGGCCCTCCCCCTGGGGGCCCTCCCCCCGGGACCCTGCGGAACCTCCATGGGTCCCCACTGGGTCCTCTCCTCGGGCTCGTCCTCGTCCTCGTCCTCCCCGACGTCGTCGTCGTCCTCGTCCTCGTCCTCCCCGTCTTCGTCGTCGACGACGTCGTCGTCGTCTTCGTCGTCGTCGTCTTCGTCGTCGACGTCGTCGTCGTCGTCGCCGTCGTCTGCGGGGACGCAGCCGCCGCTGGCTCAGGCTGGCCTTGCCCGACCGCCCGCGCAGGCTCTAACGCGCGCGCCCCGCGGGAAGGCCCGTGGGCCCGCCCCGCCTGGCGCGGCCGCGATGGGTGGGCGGGCGCGCGTTGCGGCCGCCGCCGTGGGGCTGCTGTTGGTGGTGAGCCCCCAGGCCAGGCCGCCGTCCGCCGCCCCCGCCGTGTGCCGCCGCCGCCGATGGCGTCGCCGTCGCCGTCGTCGTCGTCGTCGTCGTCGTCGTCGTCGTCGTTGTCGTTGTCGTCGTGGTGCTCGTTGTCGTTGCCGTCGTCGTTTTGTTGGGCTTGGCGTCGGTGGCGTTGGCGTCGGAGTCGTCGTGTCTGTCGGCGTCTTTGGTCGAACGTCGCCTGTCTTGGTCTTGGTTGCCGTTGCCGCGGCCGTCGCTGATGAGCAGGACGTGGACGGGCGGAGGAGGGATGCTGAGGTGGGGGGGGGCAATAGGATGACGAATCTTAGCAGGAGGCGTAGGAGGAGCAGCAGTGAAGGGGAGGTGGATGAGGAGCACCGGGGGGGACTTGTCGGCGCATGAGGAGAAGGAGGAGGGAGAAGGGAGGACGAGGAGGAGGAGTGAGGAACAACATGATGAGAAGGTGGCGGACGATGCTGGAGGAGAAGGAGGAGGAAGAGAAGAAGCAGGAGGAGGAGGATTGAGGAGGCCCATTTTGGAATGGTTGGAGGATGGAGGGCGGAGAAGGAGTAGTATGATGGCGATGATTGGGAGGCTGGGCATGCGATGGAGGAGGCGATAGGAACGAGGCAGTGGAGGGTCAGGAGCGACAAAAATGTGTTGAGCGATGACGGACGGGAATGGATGGAGTATGAGAGAACAGGAGGCGGCTTAGGAGCAAGAGCATGAGGAATGGCGGCAGTGAGGAGAAGGTGAGAAGGAAAAGGAGTGTGAGGCAAAGGAGAAGGGAGCAGGGAGGACCATGGTGAGGAGGAGGGTGTGACAGGCACGGGAAGTTGGAGGGGGAGGACGATGGATGTGGATGCTGATTGTGATGAGGAGGATGAGGAGGAGGAGAAACAGCATCATCCACACAAGGAGCAGTAGCATCCGAACACGGAGCATTACGATGCTACGAGGGAGAGGAAGAGGGCATCGGAGGAGGAGAAGAAAAGGTTAACGGAACGATGAAGGATGGAGGAGGTGGATAAGGAGGAGGAGTACCAGGAGGATGAGCAGAAGAGCAAAACTTCTGGAAGGAGGAGGAGAAGCAGAGGAGGAGGCAAACAGAGGAGGCGAAAAAGGATGCGAATAGGGAGGAGGAGAAGGGGGAGGAGGAGGAAGAGGGGAGAGTCTTGCAGCTGAGAGGGACATGAGGAAAGTGGATGTAGGAGGAGGAGGAGGAGGAAGGAGAAGGAGGAGGAGGAGGAGGAATCATGTAGCAGAAGAGGGGAGGAGGAGGAGACTGAGAAGGACGAGGTCCAGGAGGAAAATAATGATAACGAAGAGGACGAGGAGGAAGAGGAGGAGGGGGGGAGGGTGAGCAGGAGGAGGATGGAGGGGTATGCCCTTCTCCTTGTCATATTTGTTATGTCCTCCCCCTGGAGGCCCCTGGTTGCTTGCCCACTCGATCCCCTTCCTTCTGGAGCCAAACAATGTGCGCCCGAAAGTTTTCTAGTCCTAGAGGCGATCCTCAGACTCTTGAGTCGCCTGAAATACTCAACGACGCCAAGTCGAGGCCCTGCTCGGTCCTCCTCCTCCTCCTCCTCTCCTCCTCCTCCCCTCCTCCTCCTCTCTCCTCCTCCTCCCCCCCTCCTCCTCCTCCTTCCCCTCCTCCTCCTCCTCCTCCGCCTCCTCCTCTTCGGCCTGCTTCCTGGAGGCGGAGGTGGCGCCGCCCCCCTGCCCCCCCCCCAAGGTTTCGTCCCACGAGGTGCCCGAACCAAGCCTGACGGTTCGCCGGAAGCAGAAGGACATCGAGCCGCCGGCGTCAGTCGGTCGTCGTCCGGCGTCGTGCGTAGCCCTCCGTTGTTCGCCATGAGACTTGTCCGACCAGCGGAGAGCTCTGGACACTTTGGGGACCTCCAGAGATATCTTGCGATTGTTTTTCGTGAGCAATCGTCGTTTCTCATCGTCCTCTCGATGTTTCCTGTCATGGCATGCCTCGTCTCCGTGGTCTCATCATCGTCATCTTCGTCGTCTTCGTCCCCCGTCGCCGTCATCTTAAGCGTCTTGGGATCGCTGTGATAGTCTCGCCGCAGCCCAGTCTTCCGTCGTCCTGTCGACATCATCGTCACCCATCGTTGTCTATCGCCGTCGTCTTCTCCTTCTCCTTGATCTCTGCGCTGTCTCTCCAGACATCCGCCGATTGGTGTTTTGCCAGTGCGCGGCCCCAGAGAACCCGACCCATTCCTTGGGATTAGTTTTTCATTCAGGATCCGCCCGAAAAGCGGCCAGGAGGCCGAGATCGAGAAACATCGCGGGGACACCTGGGTCTGTCGCTGCCGCTGCTTCTCGTCGCCGTGGGCCTCCTCTCCGCGGCCTGTCGTTGGCGCTTGCGCGCAGCCAGAACAGGACGGCTCCCCGATGGCCCTGTTCACTCACGCCGACAACCAGCTCCACTGCCCAGACCGGCACCTCGAGCATCCCTGCGTGGAGGACCGAGGGGGTGATCCCCCACTCTTCACCGAGCGCGTTCCACTATTCGCAGAGTGCCTACTCGCAGATGTCCGCGAAAAACATGCGTCCGCCTCGCCGACGTAACGTATCGTAGATCCCCCGTGGCGGACCCAGCCCAGTTGCGAGTCGTTAGCGAGTATCGGGGGTGGACAGACCTCCTACCCTGACACGTCGATTAAGGAATTGGCCGTTTCCGGTTCGCGAGATGGCGTCGCGGCCGTCCTTTTTGTGAGTCCAGGTCCTTCGGTGTCGGTCCCAGGCCGTTTTCACTAAAGGGAGGTTTACTAAAGGGAGGTTTGTCCACTTTTTGATTGTCTCGCTGTTCATTTGCATGCTTGCGTATAGTTTATCGATGAGGTTTCTGGAGGCCACGGCCTACCCACCAGGTCCTGGGTCGGCCCGGACATTTGTCCGCAATGGTGGCTCGCTTCGCTTCGAGAGTAGTGGGGCGCGCTTGTCTAACGTGCCCTCGCTGCGGAGGACTCGCGGCGGGAGGGGGCCTTTGTAGCAAGAGTCCGCCGTGGGGGGGCCCCTCGCCGGGCCCCCAGGGGCGGCCGAGAGATGAGGCGGGGTGAGCACAGGCAGGCCGCGGGGAAGGGAGCTGAGCTTCTGGGGTCCGCCCGGGCGCACGGCCCGGACGGGCTCTCGGCGGGGCGCGGTTGCTGGAGGGCGATCCCTGGGGCGGGAAGAACCTTCCGACGGGCGGGATCTTGGACGGAAACTTAAAAACAGTCAATCACAATCAAACATCTGCTCTCCTCCTCCTCCTCCTCCTCCTCCCCCCTCCTCCTCCCCCCCTCCTCCTCCTCCTCCTCTCCTCCTCCTCCTCCTCCTTCCTCCCCTCCTCCTCCTCCTCCCCCTCCCCTCCTCCTCCTCCTCCTCCTCCTCCTCCTCCTCCTCCTCCTCCTCCGCCTCCTCCTCCCTCTCCTCCTCCTCCTCCTCCTCCTCCTCCTCCTCCTCCTCCTCCTCCTCCTCCTCCTCCTCCTCCTCCTCCTCCTCCTCCTCCTCCTCCTCCTCCTGGGAGGGCCGGGGGGGTAGAGGCTCGGTGGGCGTCGGAGCTCAAGAGGCGGGGATCGATGCAAACGTCAGCCAGAGCGCCCAATCTTGCTGGCTCCTGCGGGGCCAGAGGCGCACTGACCCGGGTTCGGGTGCAGGATCCTGCAGGATCCTGCAGGATCCTGCAGGATCCTTCGCGCTGACCCGGGCTTGGGCGCAGGATTCTGCAGCATTCTGCAAGGCCTGACTGGCCAAAGTTTGCATCGACCCGGGTCGGTGCGTCGCCGAGGGCGTCGACGAGGGGGTGTCTGCGCGCCGCGCGCGCACGTGCCTCGGGCCAATGTGCGCCAACGTCCCCGCCTCTTCCTGGCCAGCCTCCTTCTTCGGCGCCCCCCGCCGAGGAACGGGGCCGGGCAGGGGGAGGGTCAGGGGCAAGGATCGGGGGGGGGATATGCAGGGGGGACGCATCGAGCCCCAATCGTCCACTCATCGCCGATCGTCGGCCACGCGCCGAGGAGAGCAGAGGGAGGGGGGGAATGCTTCTCAGAATGAAGCGGTTTCGTGGACGGCGCGGGCGTTACACCTGTAGGCAAGGCCTGCGCCTTCTAAGGGCCAGCCTCCTTCTAGGAAGCCCTCCCCTCCCCCTGCCCCCTTGTGCACGCCGCCGAGATAGGGACCCGACAGCCCCGACCCGCCCAGGAACGTTTGGATTTGATTCTAGGTTGAGGGACGGGGCTTGCACGGGTGGAGGAGCTTGGCGCGTACCTCGCGAGCAAGTCGGACGAGCAGGTCCGGACCACGGCGCTCGATTGCGTCAACGAGATTCTCACCATTACAAACGACTACTGGGAACTCAAGAACATGACACACCTCTTGCTGGATCTGGACACGAAGGATCATGTGTTCGACAAGACCTCGCGCGACAATGATTTCGTCATGGCCGGACTCAAGTTCGCAGACAAGCTCATGCGGCACGAGGAGTGCCTCAAGGAATTCGACGTGAAGTCTGAGCTGGAGGGCCGCTGCGTAGCCCTATACGCCAAGATATCGGTCTTGAAGTACAAGAACGCTGGCATGCTGAAGGAAGCCATGGACGTGTACCGCAGGGTCACGTCCATGGCGTGGGAGGGCACCGAGCGGTCGCTGGCGCCACGCAGAAGGGGGGGTAATAGCGCTAGGGGGTGCGGCTTTCGACGAAGGCAGCGGGCCTCTTGGCCGCCCTCCCGCCCTCCGAGGGATGTTCTGCAGCGGCCTCCGAGCCCTCCTGAGAGGCCCACCTGCCTGCTTCGAGTGCCACTTCCCTCGCCCCCTCCCCCCCAACAGCCAAGATCCGCTGAACTCAGGAGGGAAAAACACAGACACAAGTAATCGTCGACTCCCCAGAAAATATGGGAAAATATGGGAAGTGGGGGGGAAGACAAAAATCCAGAAAATATGGGACAGCATGGGGAATCCTTTTATTTGTGTGTACTTATTTGTGTGTCCCAGGGCCCCTTCCTGAACATGCTTCTTGACCCCTCCCGGGGCCCTTTCTGGCAGTGCTTCCAGAGGCGCCTGGCGGTGGCCACACGTGGGCGCCTGCGGAGGCACCCAGAGAGAGCACAACCTGCTCGCGGGCCTCCGTCCTCGAGGCTCCTCCTCTCCCACGCCCGTCCCTCTCCGGCGCGCCGGTCCTCCTCGGGTCCTCCTCCCCAGGTGGGGAGGAGTCCCAATGGGGGGGGGGGGGTCTCAGATACACATCCGTCCCTGGGCGTCCTCCTCCCCCTGCCCTTCTCTCTCCCGCACCGGTCCTCTTCCGTTCCTCCTCTCCAGGGGTGGGGGGTCCCAGGGGGGAGTCCTTTGATCTCCGCCTCTTCCTCCTCCTCCTCCTCCTCCTCCTCCTCCTCCTCCTCCTCCTCCTCCTCCTCCTCCTCCTCCTCCTCTCGGACGACGACGCCGCCCAAGGTCGTACGGCCCTGGCGAGGCTGTGCCCTGGGACGACTTCTCGCACACGCCGCAGATCATCGTCCCCCGGCTGCGCAGCATGCCCATGTTGGGGCCTGTGGTGCGTGCTGATCGCGCGATCGGCGATCACAGATCGCAGTGGACGTTTGAGGTGATCGGCGGCCCGGCACAGGGTGGTTGTCCTCGCGGTTGGCCCAGTAGAGCAGTAGAGTGCGCATCGGCCAGTGATCGCGCGACTGGTTCATCCCCAGGCATCGGCGCCCCACTTGTTTCGGTGCGCGGGCCTCCCAGACCTCTCGATGACTTCCGCCGGTGCCTCGTCCTGGACGGTTTTCCGACGTCCCCGAGGCACGAAATTTGCCTCCAGAGGCCACCGCATTTTTTCGAGGCCGCGGATGTCGGGGTCATCGACCTGGCAGCCACCGTGAGCGGATCACGTGCTCGCAGGTCTTGACCGGCCCAGTGGTCGGCCAGACACGTGAGGTGGGGCCGCGAGACGTGGGGAGACCTTCCGATCTGCAAGCAGCTGGAGGACCTGTCGTCGCCGCCGTTGGCTACGTCGTCGTCGTCGTCGTCGTCGTCGTCGTCGTCGTCGTCGTCGTCGTCGTCGTCGTCGTCGTCGTCGTCGTCATCCATCGTCATTGCCGTCGTCGCCGTCTCTCGTCGACCAGCGTCGTCATCGTCGTCGTTGTTGTCGTCTACTGCCGCCGTCCATCGCTGGCTCTCTCGCTGGGCGTGCTTCTGTAGGTTTTTTTCCTCAGGGGGGGGCACTCGGGGCCTCCGCAGGCCCTCGGGGAGTCCAGCGGGCCCCAGGGGATCGACCACGTGGGGGTCCGGCAGGAACCTTCAGCCGTGGGAGCGCCGGCAGGGCTCAGGGCGCCCGGGTGAGCGACCGGCCCCCGCCTCCACACAGCGCCGACGCGCTCCAGTGTCACATGCAGCGGCGCTGGCTCCACGCCTCGGGGGGCACTTCCGCCGATCCGTGGATCTGGCGCCCACGCGCCAGATCCACGGATCCGTAAGCCATGTTGGCGTGCCCCCACTCCTCCTCCCCCTCCTCCTCCTCCTCCCCCTCCTCCTCCCCCTCCTTCTCCTCCTCCTCCTCCTCCTCCTCCTCTCCTCCTCCTCCTCCTCATCCTCTTCCTCCTCCTCCTCCTCCTCCTCCTCCTCCTCCTCCTCCTCCCTCCTCCTCCCCCTTATGCTTCTCCTCCTCCTCCTCCTCCTCCTCCTCTTCCCCCTCCCCCTCCTCCTCCTCCCCCTCCTCCTCCTCCTCCTCCTGGAGATCCCCGGGGCTCCTGCAAGGGCAGCTCCCCTGCTACCCGTCGTCGGCGCCGCTGGCCGCGCTCCAGGCGCGCTCCAGCGCGGCGCGTCCTCGCGCGCGCTGGCCGCGGGCCCGCACCGCAGAGGCTCTGCTGCCTCTCCCGCCTCTGCACCGACGCTGATCGAAGCGATTGCCGCGCCTGCTCCGAGGAGGAAAAAGGTACCCATACCTCTACCCTTCCCTCGTTTTCCCCTTTTTGGGGCCTCCTGGGAGGCCCTCGTCGCCACCGCTGGATTCGCCTCGGAATCCTGGTCAGGACGCACCCCAGGAGAGGTCCTGGGAGCAGCGGTATCGGTTCCTTTTTGGTATCCCCTTCTCCCGCCTTTGCACCGTCGCTGATCAAAGTGATCGCCGCTGCTGAGTGCCCCTCCTCTTCAATTTCCTTGGCATCGCTCGGACGTGTGCATTCGGTATCTCGGCGAGGAGCATCCAGGAGCATCCTGGACCACCTTGCGAAACAATGAGCGCACGACACCGGACAATGCACACAGCATGGACGTCCGAGCGATGGCAATGTGCCTTTCCTCTTCAATGAATTATGTGCATCACTTTCCACGGGCACGCGAGGGGAGCGCTGTCGCCTCGGTTGTCCTGGAGGCTCGGAGAAGACATCCCCGGGACTCCTGGGGACCCCGAGGGCCCCCGGCCCCAGCTTCTCAGGCACGCGCAGAAAGGGGGGCAGGGGGAGGGGGGAAGGCTTCTTATCGAGGGAGGAAAAGTACCCCGATCCCTACAATCGGCATTTGCTAAACAGCAATGGGCGTTTCCTGAACGGCTCTGCCCTGGTCGATCCCTCCCCTGGGCGCGTTTACGGAAGGCTTCGCTCGTTGGGGTGCTTACTATGAGCGTGCTTCTGTTCTGCCCTCTATCTTAGAGGCACCCTGCTTACTTGAAAATGAGGAGGGGAACAAAAACACACAGACACAATTAATCGTCGATTCCCAGAAGATATAGGAAACAATGGGAAGTGGGGGGGAAGACAAAGACCAAGAAAATATGTGAAACGATGGGGGTTCCTGTTATTTGTGTCTATTTATGTGTGTGTGTGTCCCAGGGCCCCTTCAGAAAGCGTGGGCCTTATCTGCAGATGGAAGGCCGGCGCTTTCTAAGAAGCGGCCTCCTTCTAAGAAGCCTTCCCACCTCCCCATACCCCCTTGTGCGCGCCCCAAAAACAAATATCCAGCACTTCTGGCGACCCCAAGGGCCCCAGACTTCTGGCGGCTGAGGAGCATCGCGCTGGAGCCTTGTCTCTATCTGCGATGTGCCGAGGCTGGTTTCTGGTCCCTGGGGCCGTCTGGCAATGTATCCGGTCCCTGTGAAGGGGTCCAGAGTTCTGGGGCCAGGCGGCAGGCGACCCGAACACATCAGGAAGTCGGGAGTCGAAGAGGGGGGGCTGGAGCGAGGCAGAGGGGGGCGGCTTTCCGGGAAAACGCTGGGGCTTCGGACACGGCCTCTTTTCTTCGAGGGGGTTGGCTGCTCCTCCGAGCCTTCGCAGTGGGCTTCCGAGAGGCACCGGAGGCCGCTCCCATCGCGCTTGCCCCCCGCGCGGTCTGGCAGAGGACGCCTTTCCGACGATCCTGGAAGAGACGGAGCTCGCCCTCAAGAACAAGTCGCAGAGCGGCTTCGAGGACGCCTACCGGTTCCTGTACGAGAAGGGTGAGTGGAACCACGTGCTTCTGTACCACGGGAGAGAGTTCACAGAGGAGAGCGACACAGTCTCATACTCATTTAATTGCTCTCGGACGAGGCGGACGATTTTTCCCACCAGTGCTGGACCCCCTTTCGCGCACTCCCCATCTTTCGCGCGCGAAGCGTGACGGGGGGTCCAACGCCAGCGGAGAAACCGTCGGTATACTTACGTGGTGCTTGGATCACTTAGGAGTGCGATCGGGTGTTCCCGAAGACATGCGCGCTACTGAAGCAGTGGCTCCCCTCGAAGCCCGGCCTGCCGTGGACCTCCAACCAGAACGAGCAGGTCATGGTCATCAGGATGAAGCCAGGCACCGACGTGGAGATGCACAGCGGCCCTGCAAACAATATTTTGAACATCCACCTCGGCCTCACAGGCGATCTTCAGAGGGCTAAACTGGTGGTGGCCAACAAGACGTACGCTTGGGAGAGGGGCAAGGTGATCGCCTGGGACGGCAGTTACGACCACCGGGTGCATTGCCTCGACTGCATCGAGGACAGGGTCATCATGATGGTCCGGTACCAGTGTGTGTGTGTGTGTGTGTGTGTGTCGCCTTTTCGCACCCCCACCATGATGCCTTTGGAGATCTTGGGGGCACCCCCAGGCCTCCAGAGGAGCGCTGCGGCCCGAACAGGGCCCGATACATCCAATTACCTATCTCTTATCCTCCTCGAGGTACATGCACCCGGACATGAGCCCGTCACACTACAAGGGCTCGAAGCGCACCTTCTTCGAAGACATCCCGATCGAGCTGCAGTGACCGCAGCGGGTTTGGCGCCCCTCGACTGTTTTAGGGCGCCTGGGGCCTGTCCCACTCCGCACGGTTTGTGTGTCGACGGACGGCGAGGATGGAGTTTTCCAGCATGGGGCCTTCAGACCACCGACGGCAGGATCTTTTCGAGTTGCTGGCCCTTGGAGCTTTCCAGGATCTACAGGTCACTGATGAGGGCTCCTGATGGGTGTCACGTGCAGGCCTGATCCCAAGCTCCGACTAGACCTTGAAGTCAGAGCCATTGTCGCTCGAATAACACGTGAGTCGCCCACGGAGCTCTCGACCTCCCCCCCCCGTCAGGAGCCCCCTGGATTTGGGTTCGAGTCGCTGGCCCCCTGTACGGACCTCCCGGCCCCTCCCCCAGATGGTTATCCCCCAAAGACGGGGCCCCTGGGCGCCGCAGAAGGAAGAACTCCCAGCACGGCTCCTCTGGGCCGCAACACATCTGGACCGGCGGTGGGGCGGCGCCTGTCCCAGGGCGGCCGGGACTGTTGCGCCCCCCGTGCGCGGAATCGCTCAGAGAGGACCATCGAGAAGAAGCATCGTGCGAGACAACAACAACAACGAACGAAGCCGAAACATGCAGGGGGAGTGGGCGACTGAGCGATGGCGAGCATGGGGGGGAACTCTGGCGTGCGACGTTTCCAGCCGAGCCGGCCTGGGTCGAGTCCACGCCAGAGTGACCCTGCGTCCGAGTGACCCCTGGTGCGGGCCCACGGGGCCCCCCCCGATCGCTACATGCGGTGCGACGGCAGCGGCTTGCGCGCCTGGGATTGGCCCCCCCCGCCCCCTCCGCGCCCCTTCCCCCCCTGAAGCCGCCGCGCGCCAGAGGGCACTCCTGCCCAGGGCCACTGCTGCCACTGCTTCGAAGGATTCCTCTGAGTTCACTGAAGGTTCCGCTGGATTTTCTCAGGGAGTCCCGAGGGATTTCCTGGGGGTCCTGATTGTTCCGCATGGATTCCTTAGGAGTAGGAGTCCACTATTATTACTGAATATGAATTTAATCGGGGGCGGCCAAGTGGGGTTTGATGCTTAGGGGGGGATGGATATCATGATACTGGCTTGGGCCATGATATTTCCCCAGATCTCATGGCGCCTCTTCTTATTTCATCACGTCCCTGGACCCCCCCTGGGCCGCGCACGTGCCGCCAGCCATGAGTTGCACCCCCCCCCTCTTTTGAACACCCCCCTCTTGGCCGCTCCCGAGGAAGCCGGCGGAGGCTGCATGCGGTCCGCGCCGGGGTCGATCGGGCGGGTGGCGAGGGCAGGGCTCGTTTCGGCTCCTCCGGTTCGATTCGATTCGGTCCCGATGGCTTCCGATTCCGGTGCGATTCGGCTCGGGATTCCGCTGTGGCTGCCGATCCCTAATTGGAGGCATACTGGCCCGCCGATATCCGCCGATTCGGTTTTTCCCGACTCGGCTGCCGATGTCCGCCTGTCCGATTCATTTCGATCGCAAGTCCGACTTATCGATTCGATTTTCGGCTCTCCTGCAAGAAACGCTGAAGAAGGAACGACAATGCTTTTCTCTCCACGGCAAGCCTTGGCCACCGATGGGTTCCAGACCTATACATCGAAGGAGCCCCGCGTGGCCCCAGAGCGGTCCATGCTCCAGCGTCGTGACTGTCGGGGGTGACGGAGCCAGTTGCTGTCCAGAACGGGCCCTGAAGTCGGCGTCACCTCAACAACTTATACTACATGTTCGTCGCCCCCTCATTGGCGACGCGCGCACCGAGAAATCTTCTAGCATATGCGTCGTGGCGAGCGCTTTCTGGCCACACCGCTTGGGAAACGATCTACTTCAGGATGGGCAGACTATCTGTTCGGGTCGGACGCCCGCTTCCGAGGAGAGCATCTAGTATTTCTATGTCTCTGTGCGTCCCATGAAGGGACGCACAGGAGGAGGAGGAGGAGGAGGAGGAGGAGGAGGAGGAGGAGGAGGAGGAGGAGGAGGGAGGGGGCGGGAGGGAGGAGGGAGGAGGGAGGAGGGAGGAGGGAGGAGGGCACATGCCCCCCCATGTGGGACGCCCGCCATTGCCACCCACCCGAGTCGAGGTGCCCGGCTGGGGCGTCGGGGAGCCTGCCGCCCCGAGGCCCCCGGGGAGCCTCTCGAGGGCGCGGCCCTCGACGGGCTCGCCTCCCCAGGCGGCGCCGGGCTCGCTGGCCGCAGGCCGCGCGTGCGCCCTGACCTCTTGGAGGCCCTCCCGGCGGGGGCCTCCGGGGGGCCCTTCGGGGAGAAGTCCGCCCAAGGCATACGGGGGGTCAGTGGGAGCGCCGGGCCTTGCAGAATCCTGCAAAGCCAGGGGCGCGTTGGCCCGGGCTTGGGTGCAGGAGCCTACAGGATCCTGCAGGATCCTGCAGGATCCTGCAAAGCCTGACTGGCCCGGGTCTGGATTGACCGGGGTCAACAGACCCCCGAGGTCTTTGGGCGCCGCGCAACGGGGGTGCGATACAATGGGGGCAGCGAGGGCTGCCAGAAAGGGGCCCTTGAGGGCCCCTGAGGGGGGTCCCGGGAAGTGTAACCTTTATTCCCCCCTCCCCGCTCCCCCTATGCACCGCCCCCCCATGAGCGCCGCCGAAGGTCCGCACCCACTTTTCCCCGTGGGAGGGGGGGGGTGAGGGCAAGGGGGCAGGGCGTTCCGAGAGGGGGAGCCCTTCAGTGTGTCACCCCTTCGTTTTTGTCCGAAGGCCTGGTGTGTCGTCAGCAGTCTTGCGAGCTGGTGGCTCCCCCACACGGCGGCGTGCCACTGATGCAGTCGTGCGTCTGATGAAGAAGCCTCCCCCCGAAGAGCTGGGCCAGCGTGTCTTGACCAACTTGTCGGAGAACTGGCCCAGTTTCTTGGCCGGCGCAGCAGCCGAGGTCCAGAATCTTCTCCCTCGGGACCCGCTTCCCCTATGCCAGAACTGGGGAGGGGGCGCTGCTCCCGTCGGCTGCCAGGCGATGGCCAGAGATGCCGCCATACGCGCGCCAGAACCTCTCACTGGCTCTTTCTCGTCCTGGTCCTCCTCCTCCTCTTCCTCCTCCTCCTCCTCGTCCATCTCCGCTTCGCTCCTGCGCGTTCTCACCATACATTTCTCTCTTCCTCGCTCTTCCGCCTCCTCCCGCTGATCCCTTGCCCTGTCTCAACACTCTCCTCTTCCTCATGCCTTCTCCTGCTCCTCCGCGTCTCGCCTCCTCCTCCTCCTCCTCCTCCTCCTCCTAGACTTCCGCCCATCCTTGGTCTCCTCATCCTCTCCTGCTTCTCCACTCCTCTTTCCTTCTTCCTTGCGTCTTCTCCTCCATATCCTCCTCATCCCTGCTCCGCCTCAATCCTCCCAGGCCTCACTCATCCCCTCTGCCTCACTCCTGCTGCTGCTCCTCCTCCCCTGCCCACACACACACCGCTTTATTATGCCTCCCCTCTCCCCTCCTAGCTTTCAGTCATTTTCCACACCCATTATCATAGTTCCCCTTGTCCACCTCAATTCCCTTCGTTTTGGTTCACCTCTTGATTACGCCTTCCCCTCCTCATTGTTCTGCTCCACCTCCCTCCTCCTCGTACATCGTTCTGTCGGTTCGCTTCGGCCCCCGCCTTCCCCCTCCTGCGCCTCATTCCTTCTCTTCCTCCGCCTCCTCTGCTCCGCACCCGGCACCCAGCTCTCTCCAATCCCTCTCCTCCTCTTTCTCATGTCTTGTTTCCCCGTCAGCGCCGCGCTGTTTTAGCCGCGAGAGCGCCTCTTCCCTCCGCCTCCCCCTCCTCCTTCTCCGCCTTCCGCCCTCTTTGATCTTCGAATCGATCTTGAATGATCGAGTCTCCTCGTATCCGAAATACGAGGTTGTGGTATTAGTGGCACGCGTCCGCCTCCTCACTCACCAACCTCCTCGCGCTCGCCACCACACTCAGATTCATTCACACGCAAGCCACGCACATTCAGACCCATCTCTCGTTCAGACTCACGCACACCCGAACTCACTCACGGTCAGGCCCCACTCATAACCAGCCTTTCTCCGGCGTAGACACAACCACGCCCATATTAGCTCATACGGAGGTCCGCTCTGATTCAGACCCACTCATACGAAGACCGAATCGTATTTACGGCATTGATGCTCAGTCGCATGTTCAGACTTGCTCGCACTTATACGCGCCCATGCCCTGATCATTCATACTCTCAAAGTCTCACGCTCATATTCGCTGGCATCATATCAATGCCCAGTTAGATTACGACGCGGCATGCGTAGACCAACTCAAACTCAGACTCGCGCCGAGATTGTCGGGACCTGTCAGGTAGAATTGCAGTGTTGGCGAGGTGGACGCAGCGTGTCTGAACCCCAATGCCATCGCCATTTAGTCGGCATAGCAGCACAGCAGTTGGGCCTTCACAAGGAGAAGCCGATCAGGATGCTATCACGGGGACATCACTGGGGGAATGGCCCGCTTTGGTAGTGTACAAGTGCCTTTGTTCCGTAGCCCCACTCGCATATCGGTGTCGTTGGCATGGCGCTTGGGCATCCCAATTGGGAGCGGACCAAGGCGTTATTACGGGCCCGCTCAATGTTGGGACCTCGCAAACAGAATTCCTGTGCTGGCGGGTCAGACGCGCCAGTTTTCATAGCCCCAGAATTTTCGAGTTGTAGCAGCCCTGGCACTAGGGCGTCCCAAGGGAGAGCCGAGCAGAGGGGGTACCAGGGCCCGTTCGCGCTGAGATTGCGAGGACCTGTCGGGCAGGGGCCTTTTTGTGGCGGGGTCGACGTGTTTGTTTTCGGAGCCCCATCATCGTCGTGGTACAGCAGGCATGGCTCTTGGGCCTCCCAAGTGGGAGCCAATCGACGCGTTAACCCCGCGCCCTGGATAACAACTCATACCCTTCCCCCCTAAAAGGTGATTCTCTCCGGCAAAGACAGAGTTGGTCGGGGGAGGGGCGGTGAGGCCGAACTTCATTACCGAAGGGGAAATTTACTGATCGAAATTGCGATCTTCTTTTTCTTCTGAGTAGCAGCGTCATCACGAACGTGTGGAAGGGCGATGGGTCCTCACCATGCCTGCTTTCCCCACTCACGAACGCGTGGCAGAGATGTTTGAGATTCTCCGCATTTCATCTTTCCCAAATCACAAACATTTAGCAGGGCTAGAGTATAATC